AGGCTGCGGGCAGCTTGGCAACCCAGCGCTCAACCGCTGCGCCACCGGGGAGGCCCATATAGATTTTAATATATAAAAACTAAATAGGAATACCTAGATTTAAAAAAAATAAATATCTTTAACTTCCAAAAACCTTTGCCATGTAAAATGTTAAAGTATTAGCAATCTTATCAATAAATAAAAAAGAGGGCCTCCCTGGTGGCGCAAGAGGTTAAGCACCACACTATGAAGCGATCCGCAGCCTCTGCAGCACTAGTTCAATCTCCAGTCAGCCAGGGAGCAACCCACATGGAGAAGCAGACCTCTCCTCTCTCGCCCGCTGCTCTCCTCAGCAGTGTGCTTCAGTCAATCTGCCTGTTGGGTTCCCCACTTTGTCTCTGGTGATCCTCTCACCCCCCCCCCCACATCTCTGGCCTGTACCCCAGCTCTTGTATGTATAAATAAATAAATCTTTAAAAAAATGACTTTAAAAAAAAGAAATTTTTTCATATGCTTCAAGAAAGAAAAGCATTAGAATTTTTACATTTAATTATGAAGGAAAAGTTTGATGGCATTTCAGTTACAGAGCCTATTGGTTAGGAGAAATATAATTAGAACGCCATCTGGTATTCTGTTACAGTCTTTATGTCTTCTTGTTTCATCAGATAGCTATGGCAGCAATATAGAGGGAACACTGAAGGATTTAGCTAAAGTGTCAGAATGTATCAAATGACCAATTATAAATAATTAGGAAATATCTTTTAATAGATATTTCATAGGAATGAGCTAAAATGCTCATTTAAAGTCTAAATTAGATTTATGATCATCTCTTTACTAAGCTGGGGAATGTATAATGTACAGTTTAGAAAGAATTCTGTTGGAAATAATAGAAATTGCTTACAAAAGTTTATTACCTAAAGAATATACATATGTGACATGCCATATTATCTAATCATGGCTGGCAAATGTGTTTTTGCTCTGATAGTATGTGTGTATATATATTATCATGCATACATAAAGCCAGTTATAGCCAAATACATAATGAACTAGAAGCAAGCCTAGACAAATTTTAAACAGCGTTCTGAAGGAGTAATTGATTGTGGTCTGCTTAGAGATTTGGTTAGAAGTAGGCCTTTGCTCTTTTTCTGGGTTGGAGCAGCAGTCTTAAACTTTTCTAGTTATTTCCACTGCAGTTACAGCTTATGTTAGTATGTATCTGCCTTCTGCAGCTTCACAAGGCACTATTTAATCTAATGCTTTGCCACAATATTTATAAGGGTCACTAACTACCTTTTAAACCCACTAGTTGTTCTGATAAACCATTGCCACATGCCATAATATTATGTGTACTATTCCATTTTATGTATTTAATTTGGCATTATGATATAAGTTTGACTGCCCAAAAGATGTTCTAAAGTAATAGTAACTTAAGATAAAAGTTTACTTTTCTCTCATGTAATAATCTGAGTTTATTAGTTTTCTCTTCTCTGTGGGTTAAACTCAGATCTAACCTTTGTCTTATTTCTCTGCCATTCCTAGGATGTGGCCCTCATCCACATGGTTTAAAATAGTTTATTACCTGTTTAGTATTCTAGCCAGCAAGAATAGTAATTCCTAATAGTAAGTAGGATGGAGAAGACAAACTGGTTCTTGCTAAGAACGCCATCAGAAGTTGCATCACTCTGTTCACCTGCCCGTCATTAGAATTTAGTCATATGGTAACAGTGAGCTATCTGCAAGGATGGCTAGAAAAGAAATCTTTATTCTAGGATATGAAGTGTCCAGTCAAAAAATTGGAAGGGAGTTTTTTTCCTTTTTAAAAAAAATACTTATTTTATATTATGTTATGTTTTTTAAAGATTTATTTATGCATACAAGAGCTGCGGTACAGGCCACAGATGCAGGGAGTGAGAGGATTCACCAGCGACAGTGGGGAATGGAACAGGCAGATTGACCAAAGTACACTGCTGCGGAGAGCAGTGGGTGAGTCAGGAGAGGTCTGCTGCACCATGTGGGTTCCTCCCTGGCCGGCTGGGGCTCAAACTTGTGCTGCAGAGGCTGTGGATTGCTTCATAGTGTGGTGCTTAACCTCTTGCGCCACCAGAGAGGCCCTAAATATTTATTTTATTTATGCATACAAGAGCTACAGTCCAGGCCAATGGTATGGGGTGAGAGGATTGACCAGAGACAGAGTGGGGAACAGAACAGACAGATTGACTAAGAACACTGCTGAGAGAGGAGTGGGCGAGTCAGGAGAGGTCTGCTGCGCCGTGTGGGTTGCTCCCTGGCTGGCCGCAGGATCGAACTCATGCTGCAGAGGCTGCAGACAGCTTCATAGGTTGCGTGGTAAGCCCTTGCACCACCAGGGAGGCCCATCTTTTTTTTTTTTTTAAACAACAAATCACAGACTAGATAGACAATAAGCCATCTAACAGTCTCACTGGTAGGTAGATACCAGATGTTTCAGTTAACACATGGATATTGGTAACATTGGTAACTCTCACCCAATGTATCCCTTCAGTTCTAACTTTTCTCCTAAACATCAGATCTATACTGTTTTTGCCCACCATCACTTGGATAAATATATGTATCTAAATTTAGTATGTTTAAATATAATAAATTTCCTTCCGATCTTCTTTGTCTTGAGTGGTGACACCATTATCTACTACCATAACCCACATCAACAACCTGAAATTTGTCCTTAGCTTTTCTTACCCCGATATCTGATCAGCACAAGTTCCTAAAGTTCTTTCGAATCTATTTCTCCCCTTCTGTTTTGAAACAGCATGCCCTGCTCATTTCTCATTTTAATTACTGTTTTAATTTAGACACTGCTGTCAGAGTGAGCTCTCTGAAATAGGTTGAACTATTTTAGCCAATACTTAATAACTAATATGGATAGTATATTTACTATGCATCAGGCACTGTTTCATACATTGTATTTCGCAAGCCATCTTTATCCTCAAAATAATCCTGTGGGGTTGTATAGTTGACAAAACTGAGAAGAGAGGTTGAATAATTTGTCAGCTAGTAATTGGCAAAGCCAGGATTGGATTAGTCTGTCTCCCAAGTTCGTTTTTATATTGCTTCAAAGTTTGTCCATTGCTTCCTGAGAAAAATACAGTATACTTCTTCCACAAAGGCTTTTCAAACTAATTTTTCCCCTTCCATCCTGTGCCCACTTACCTTTGTATTGCTACTTTCCCTTCATGTCTGCTACGCATTAGCTCACTGCATTTGCAGTTTCCCAGTGCAGCATGCTTTCCTCACCGATGTACTGTCCCGCATCTCTGGCAGCTTGTTTTTGTTGTTCTTTCTTCTTGACTCCCCTATTCAAATACCACCATGACTGGTACATCTTTTTGGCTAACCCAGTCTGAGTCAGAAACCCGTATTCTGTGCTAGTATGTCATCCTCTAGCTCCCTCTAGTTTAGCTCCCATCATCTTAGGTTATAATTACCTGCTTTCTGTGTGTCTCTTTGTAAGCTCCTTAAGGATGGAAAGTTGCCTCTTACATTGCCTAATGCCCTAAAACGTCTAGTTTCCTTTCTTCCCACATTCCTCTGTTGCTATTCGTCAGTGACTTGTAACCAACAACATATATGGCCCTTTTCCAGGCTTCTTTCTCTTTAAAGTCTTTGTATTAGGACATTGAAACATCTGTTCTTTTGATCTCCATGATACCTTAACACTCTGATTTTTCCTTTTTTCTCTTTGATTACTACCTGACTCCTTTCTGACCTTTTTATTTTCCTGAATGTGTGTGCTTTTTAGGACTCAGTCACCAGCTCTTTGTTCTCTTACTTTTCATCTAGTCAGAGAATTCTGATTTTTTGTCTCTAGATCTGATATCTTTTCCTTTTGTAGTTGTTCTCTAGGAACTTCCCAGGATAAAACAGTTACCAATAGTTATAGAATCCTTTATTCTGTGTAGGCACTTATCTCTTCCTATAATTTATCTCCTTGAATTCTTAGCTATGATGTACATGGTCATATTCCCATTTTGCAGGTGAGTTAAATTGATTTAATAGAAAGTGACTTGCCCCAGTTCACACAACTACTAGGTAGTGGAGCTTCAGTTCCAGCTTAGTCAAAATCCATGATTTTAATACACCTAGAGTGCAGCCTATTAAACATCTTATACTCATTTTATCCAAAATTGTACTTTGAATGGAACCTCGCAGTGTTACTGTTTATCTTGTTATTTTATGTGTTTAATTTATTGCTCTATTCCTCCAGTTCGTCCTTAGCAATTTTCCATTTTTATTGTCACTCCCTTAGTTACATATTGCCAGTTCATCCTAGTAGTGTTCCAAATACATATTTCAGAGAGACAAATATAAGTTTTAAAATCTGAACTATATGAATGAATGTTGTTGATCTTCCTTTTGAACCTAGTTCAAACAGATCAGTCCACTTGTGTTTGTCATCATTGATTCTCCCTGTCTAAAATACTCTATTTTATTTTCGTTTAAATCTGAGCCCCACCCAATAGTCTCAATTTTTTGTCCATAGCAGATTGCTGTCTTTTCTGAACTCTGATACTACTCAGTACCTTGTAATCTCATCTGACCTTTAATCATATAATATTTTATATTTCTGATTAACTTCATGTCTGTATGGTGTTTTTTGTTTTGTTTTTGTTTTTTTCATGTCAACTCTGCATTGTAAACTCCTTATATTCAAGGCTAGTTTTTAAACTTCTCTAATAGTTCCCATAATGCAAGGAACATTTTAGATTATTAAAACATTGAGTGAATTGATTTTATTATTTTGGTATTTATCTACTTATTTGGGATTTAGAAAAATGTTAATAATAGATATTACTGATAGAGCTTAAATCACCATGGAACTCTCTTGGAAGTAGCCTCTTAAAGCATTATGTTGATGGATTGAGTAGATTAGTATTTTAAATAACTTGTTTTGTACTAGTTTTATATTAAAAAAATGATTTTCTGTCCTTCTCTGTCTCTCTGTCTCCCCCCACCCCCGCCTTTGTTTCTGTTTAATTATTTGGCAGCCGGTGAGAAGACAGTCCCTTACCCCTCCTCCTCAGAACACTATTACATGGGAAGAATATATATCTGCTGAAAATGGAAAGTAAGTGTGTATTTTTTTTTCTTTCTCTATATATTCTTTGGTGTTTAGAAAAAGATTTTAAAAAACATTGTGAATATTTAAAGCATAAATTTACATTAGAGAGAAATATTAGTATAATTTTGTCTGAAGTAGTTTTTTTTTACTATAAAAATATGGATTAAGCATGATGAAGGTGAAGTATCCCCAGTTACATGTATTCTTTAAATAAGATGTAGAGGGGTCTCCCTGGTGGCTCAGGTGGTTGAGTGCAGCTCTATGAAGCTCTCCCCAGCCTCTGCAGTGCAGGTGAATCCCGGCTGGACAGGGAGTTACCCACATAGCACGGCAGACCTCGTCTGTTTCTCCTGCTGCTCCCCTCAACAGTGTATTTCAGTCAGTCTGCCTGTTCTGTTCCCCACTCTCTCTCTGGTGAATCCTTTTACCCTCCTGTGCATCTGGCCTGTAACCCTTGTATAAATAAATAAATCTTAATAAATGAATAGATAGATAAATATGATGTAGAACCTTCATTTTTACATCTCTCCTACCAATTTGCACACACCAAAAAACCTATAGGACATTGTTCAAAGTAAATATAATGTGAGGAATTGCCCAATGCAATTGCTTATTTGACTTTTCTATTGTGTGATGAACTTTTATATTTTGTTGTTATATGCTGAGTTTTTAGTATGCCAATAAGACCATTCATAATTTATCTACTTTTTGCTATTCCATGCTCATCTCCTGTCAATTTCCCTTTGTTTCAGCCTATGGCTGACTTACATCTTACCATCTTTACACAGACTCTTAAAGTTAATTACTAGTACTTACTAAAGTACTAAGCTCAAAGTTTGTATTAAGTAAATATTTACTGAAATAAAGAATGATGAATGGATTATTTTCAGTAAATAAATATTTTTTTTTCTGGATGATCATGTCAAGAAAAGCACTTGACATGATTGTAGAAATAATTCCTTTTGGTGGAGATTAAAAATATTACCATCCCCTGTGTTTAGGAAGAAGTTGTAGAAATTACTATTTTTTGTATTGAAAGGTTCATTATTATACTCTTCTAATTTCTTCAAAAGGTTTCCATCTTAAAATATCCTATAGTTAATATAGAGCTCATTCTTTACATCACTTTTTATGTATTGATCTTTGCTGAGAACTGTAGATAGTAAAAGATTGAATTAAATAAGTAGTTTTTAAAGGTATCCAAAGATATTTTGAAACTCTTTTATAGTGATATGCTTTGTTCCTAAAAATGATTATTAAAATTATATTCAATGTGAAATTTGTTGAGTTTTGATAATTTTTCTGAATGTTTACACTTCACTTCTTTTTTCTTTAAATTTTAAATGTAGTATTTGTTTTTTAGATCGTTGTTAATTTTTGGGCAATAGATGATTTCACCCCTGAGATGTGGTTAGCCAAGTTCTCCCATCACCAAAGCACCCTTAGTCCAGTACCATATGCACTTCCCTATTTTGTTGATTTTTTGTTGTTGTTTCCCATGTCTCATTTCTCATACGTTTGGTTCACTTTCTGTATAATTTTAATTTGTTTTGATACTCAGAGTAAGAAACTTTGAAATACTTATGAATGCCATTGGAAGATGACAGATTCTGTTTAGAAAGATGAAGCATGTGAGGAAAGTTTTCTAATATTTTTCTTTCTTCCCTCCTTCTCTCCCTTTTTTCCTTCCTTTGTATTTCTTCCCCTCCCTTTTCTTTTTCTTTTTCTTTTTTTTTTTCCATTTTAGAGCTCCTCATCTGGGTAGAGAACTGGTGTGCAAAGAGAGTAAGAAAACATTTAAAGCCACAATAGCCATGAGCCAGGAATTTCCCTTGAGAATTGAATTGTAAGTTTGTTACTAACTATCCAAGTTTATGAAAGAAGCTATCATACCTTAAAAACTATAAGATTTAAATCTAAGTGTATATTTAAGTCTTTGATATGTAAAAGCAAGTAGCCATTGCTTTGATAATATATGTACTGCATAGGGTTTACTAGTTCATGAAATATTAACTTTTTAAAAATCATTTTAACCAGATAAATGTTTGAATAGATTTTTTAAATTATAAAAGTAATACATGTGAATATGTTTACTGTAAAAAGCAATATAGCAAAGCATGGAAATTTGGAGAATAAAAGTGACAGTTTCTTTCACCTCACTAATAGTTTAAAGATGAATAATTGGAAATTATGTGCATTTTATGAGAAAAAAAATCTTGTAAAAGTGAGTGTTTCTTAGAATTTTTACAGTTACATTTTTGTTTATCTTTTTCTTTCTATGATATTTTGTAGTATCGGTGTGCTATAATTTGTTTTGTTATTTTCTTACTGATAAGAATTCTGATTGCAATTTGTCATCATTTTAAATAATACTACAGTAAACATCTTCAGTATATTCTTTCAAATCTGTACTCGTTACATGTTCACCTTTTTAAAATTTGGTTGGCAAGATGGATGGGATGGGAAGTGAGTAGTTAGGGCTGACTGTTAAAACTGTAATTTCAGGCGCCTCACTAGTGTCAGGGTTGGATTGAAGTACCGGGCAATTTTCCCTTCCTAGTTCCTTCCTTTTCATTTGACCTAATTTTTTTTTATTTTTAGTTTATAACACTAAATTTTTTTTTTTTTTTTTACAAGCAGCAAATTTTATTTTATTTTATTTTTTTTTTTTAATAAATTTTATTGTTATATTCCCCATACAATTGCAGCCCCCCCATTCTGACCCCAATCCCTCCCCTCCCACCCCCGCCCCCCTAAAAGTGTCTCTGGTTCATAGTTTTTTGTTGATTTTGATTTTCACTTTCTTATAGTTATTCATTTTCCTGGTCCCTTATTTAAGTTTTCTAGATTCCTGCTATGAGTGAGACCATCCGGTATTTTTCTTTTTCTTTTTGGCTTATTTCGCTGAGCATGATCCCTTCCAGCGCCATCCATGTTGCTGCAAATTGCATGTGTTTATCTTTTTTGAATGCTGAGTAATATTCCATGGTATATATGTGCCACATCTTCTTGATCCAGTCATCTATTTTTGGGCATTTGGGTTGTTTCCAAAGCTTAGCTATTGTAAACAGTGCTGCTATAAACATAGGGGTGCAGGTGTTCTTTGGAATTGATGTTTCTGTGTCCTTTGGGTAAATACCTAGGAGTGGAATTGCTGGATCATATGGAAGCTCTATGTTTAGTAGGTCCAGAAATCTCCATACAGTTTTCCACAGTGGTTGGACCAGTTTGCACTCCCACCAACAGTGCAGAAGAGTTCCTTTTTCTCTACACCCTCGCCAACATTTGTTGTTGCTAGTTTTTTTAATATGTGCCATTCTCACTGGTGTAAGATGGTATCTCATGGTAGTTTTGATTTGCATTTCCCTGATGACAAGTGATGTTGAACATTTTTTCATATGCCTGTTGGCCATTTGCATTTCCTCTTCAGAGAAGTTTCTTTTAAGCTCTTCTGCCCATTTTTTGACTGGATTATTTTCTTTGTTGTTGTTGAGTCTCATCAGCTCTTTGCAGATTTTTGTGATCAGTCCTTTATCAACACTAAATTTTTTTAGGCTTACAAATTCATACCTCTTCAAAAATATGTTACCACACCATACCTACCACCAAAGTACGAGTAACCCTCTATCACAAAACATTGGACCCCCTCTTCCCTTTGTTCCCACCTCCTTCTCCTTTGGTAATCTTAGTTCTGTAGTCAGAATCCAAGGATTTGTTTTGGTTTGCTTTTGTCCTTTGCTTTGTTTCTTTATATTCCACATCAGTAAATAATCCAGTATTTGTCTTTCTCTTTCTGACTCCAATTCTATCCATGTTGTGGCAAATTGCAAGATTTCATCTCCTTTTTCATAGCTGAGTAGTAGTCCATTCTGTGTAGTGATGCATCTTTACCCAATCATCCATCATTGTGGACTAATACATTAAAAAAGTTTTCATAAGGGTGTAGGATCCATATTGTCCTATAAGCTCTACACATATTTCATATTTCCCAATAACCAGCTTTTCAAAAAGTAGATAGAATGCCCTCAATCTATATGTCAGAGGAGATCAATAGTTTTCAGGGAATGTGGGGAGTTAACCATACATACAAATTTGAGTATTTCCTCATATCAAAGATACACTGGTTTTATATTCTAGTAAGGAAGAAAATTGTGCCTACTTATAAGATGTTATCCATCTTAGGAACTATTTCAATTTTAGATATGTTAATATGTGAGAATATGGGTGTCTTAGAATTTCTATAACTTGGCAGTTTATAACCATTCCTATATAGATCAAAGAACTGAAGAAAATTGCAAAAGAAACATAAATTGAAAATGAAATCATTAAACAAGATTAAGATAAAATGATAAGACAAAAAAAAATGGAGATTTTAAAGCTAAGGAATTAAACACTATGCAGAACAGACATGTTAAGAAGTAACAGTGAAGAATGTTTGTGTCTGAAAATTAAATTTTGATAGTTAACAGTGAATACAGTGATAGAAGAGGTAAAAGAAATTAAAGAAGTAATATTTATGCATTATATGGGAGGAAAAGATACTTCAACATAAGGATCATTGGTTTTCTACCTATATAGAAAAGTATATATAAGTTTATATAAGTATATAAAAAGTATATATAAGTTTATAAAAGTATATATAGGTATATATAAGTTTTCTACTTATATATACTTATAAAGTCTCCAAAGCATAACCAAAATAGTATTCAAAATATGGAATAAAATTTCTCTGCAATTAAGAACTGAATTTGTAGTGTAACATTACCTCCAAGAAAATTTCATAATGATTAGTAACAAGAATTACCCTGACAGGAAATGCAAATCAAAAGCACAAGGAGGTATCACGTCACACCTATGAGAATGGCCCATCTTAAAAAATAAACAAACAAAAACTAGAAACAAGAAATACTGGTGAGGATGTGGTGGAAAAGGAATCCTCTTACACTGCTAGTGGGAATGCAAACTGGTCCAGCCACAATGGAAAGCTTTGTGGAGGTTCCTCAAAACACACAAAAATGGATCTACCCTGTGATCTATTGATTCCACTCTAAGGAATTTACCCAAAGAACACAAAAAACACTATTTGGAAAGGAAACCTGCATTCATATGTTTATTGCAACACTATTTACAATTGTTAAGATATGGAAACCATCTAAATGCCACAAAAGAGATGACTGGATCAAGAAGCTGTGGTATATATACACAATGGAGTACTTAGCAATCAGAAAAGATAAACTCATGCCATTTGTGGCAACATGGATGAAACTGGAGGGGGTTATCCTAAGAGAAATAAATTAGAAGGAAAAAAGTAAATATCGGATAGTTTTATTTGCGTGTGGAATTTAGAGAAATGGAACCAAGGGTCACGAAAAAGACAAACTTGCTAGCTGGCCATGGATCTGAGGCATCCAGCAGGGGAGGGGGGAGGGAAGAGCACAAGAGACCTTGGAGATGGTTCGTGGGGGCTCTGATGGTAGGGGACAACGGGGAGAAATCAAAAACTGTTCCAAAATTAACATAATGTAAGAAAGTAAATAAAATTAATAAAATTTTAAAAAGAAATAAAAGTATGTTTAAATAATAATAAAAAATTACCCTGATAGGACAAATTGACTTAAATTGTTAATAAATCTAAAGACATTTAGACAGAAAAGGAATAATACACAATCTGCCCTAACATTTTTGTTAGGTATTCATTTTCCTGAGGCAAAGAAAGTATGATCTGATAGTACACCTAGCTATGATGTCACTTACATATTTAGGAAATTGAAGAGGACACAATGAAATTCAAGAATTATAGCAATCATGGACCATTTTGGGGGGGGACGGACTACCTGAAAATGAAATCTATCCAAACAGAAGATACAACAAAAAGTTATTGTATAATTGTTATAGGGCAGCAGACCTAGTGCGCTTTATGGTGACCAACGCAAGAAAAATTACTTTGGGCTGGTCAACCACCGGTGAAGCTTAGAAACCACGTTGGGCACCAGCTGTTATAGGGTAGCCCCGATATTGAACGGGTTGCTTGGCTGTGGGTCCTCACCCGTGCGCTTACAAGGGACTTTAATACTCCACTACAGACACACACAAAAAGGTTAATAAAAGGTTTATTTACAAGGGAAAAGGAAATAAGGAAAATGTACAACTCAGGGAGAAAATAGGGAAATAAAGTCTTTAATGCGTCCAACCAATCCACCGACCTGGAAACCCAAAAAGCACTCTCCAAGCTGGCCGGACGCTGCGAGCTGGCGGAGAGTCAAAATGGGGGACCCCTCCAAAGCCCACGTGTCTGGCTTTATACCAACGTGGCTGCTTAACCCCACCCTCAGGTCCCATCCACCTTCCCTTTGGTGGTGATGGGATTTGGAGTTCCCAGTGTCTTTGGCTTTGGCCTGGGGTGGGGGTGGAGTCCACAAAGCCTGTATGGAATTTGCTTTAGGACATTCTTTTCCCCCTAATATAATGACTAGTATAATACTGAATGCTAGCAGACATTATTAAAATACAGTTTTAGTATATAAATTGAATGTTTATTCAATTACAAATTGAAATTTCATGCCAGCTAAACTTCCCTTTAATTATGCAAAGAAGAAACCCTCATTTATAAAATTTGCAAGAAATGAAGGAAGAGTTCTTTATACACAAAAATTTGGCAGTTCAGTCATCCAAATATTAATACTAAAAAGAACTTAGGAATGTGTAGTCTTCAGGAAAAAGATAGTGTAAACCTTACTTAACTCAAGCCTTAAATTCAAATACATTTTAATACAGACTTAAAAAATCAAACAACCGAAATTAGAGCTGCACAATCAAAAGTTAGAAACTATTATCCAGTAAAAAGAATAATGAAACAAGTAAAATGATCAAGGAGGAATAAAGTGGTATCATTTCCTCATCTTCAATTCTAATTTTGAAAAATGTAATTACAAATTTTAGACACAAAATAAGCTATTTGAAAAGCAAACCTTTTTTTTCTCCTTCCATTTTTCAGATTATTGAATGTTCTGGAAGTAATAGCTCCCTTTAAGCACTTTAACAAGCTTAGAGAATTTGTTCAGATGAAGCTTCCCCCAGGCTTTCCTGTAAAACTAGGTAAGAACAATTTGCATGTAATTTCAGTGTCTATTAGAATTATAGTTCTTCACATTTAATAAGAAATATGCTTTGCAGGAAAATGGGTTACTTGTTTGTTTACATTTTTAGGAAGTTTTTTGTAATTACATGCACCAATATTCATGGTATGTCAAAATATAAAGTACCTGATGAGAGATCTAATTCTACTTGATTTAAGTTAAATTTAAATAAAGAGGGTATGAGTGACTCTGTGATGCACTGTAATAATGTATTTAATGTGGAATAGAAAGACTGGATTTTTAGTCCAAATTTTTAGCACACTGAGTTTCCATACAGTGAGAATGTTTCTGGAGTCAACAGTCATTATTTATGGATAAAGTAGTACTTGTACATTTTATTTTTCAGTCTTACATGTTTTAAAGTTGATTTAGTCTTAAGCATTAACCTTTAGAAACAGTAAACTTTCATTTTCGCACATCTTCCTAACATGTCAGAAAACTGGGAATGAGACTATTAAAAGATGTCTGAAGAGTTTAAAAGGTTGATTTAGCATTTCCAAATAATTACACTAAAATTCTTTACTTCTAGAAATAATGCTTTAATTGCTAAAAATTAGATCAGATCTTTTCTTTTTTCTATGGGGGTTGGGGGCATGACTTGGGATTATGCCAAACTAAAATAACAGATCTCTATTTATGTATTTATGAGTTTCTGAAAAATCAGAATTAGGTTAATAATTCTATCTTGAATCATTTGATGTCCTAGAGATAACCTTTTGTTCCTGATTTGGTTCACTTTCCGCAAAATCTCCAAGCATTGAAGTAGTGGCAAATTTATTTAGAGAGATAGCACCCAGAGCTTCTGTATGTAATAGTTTTTCTTTGCATTCTAGATCTATCTCATCCTTTCAACTAACAAAACTTGGCCATAAACATTTTGTGCACTGAAAAGGATTTTGAAAATCTGTTTAGAAAATATTACTCTAGGTCTACCCTAGAGTAAAAGCACTGGTAACCCAATGTCTACTTGAAGAAAATAGTTGTAAGATCTAGGCAGAAATGTTTAGGATATTAGAGCAATCAAGAACTGTATATTTGTGCTTTGGTTAGAGATCGTTTGGGTTGTTCTTATCTCAGGTCTTTCCTGAAAGGTGACTTTATGAAGCGTTTCTATCACCTTGTTGAAAATTATGCAATCCTGGGACTCATTATACACCGCCCCCCCAACTTACTTTATTTTTTGTTTATATACTTAGTCACAATTACTTTTTACTTATTTGTTGTCTATATCTTCTGACCAGAATGTATTCTCTATAAACTCATGTATTCCCCCCGCCCCGCCTTTGTGTGCATTTAGTGCCTAAAACAAGGATCATCAAACTGTTTCAGAAAGATTATAAAAATTTTGGGCTTTGTGGACCATATGGTTTTTGTCACAACTATTCAGCACTTGTTGGAAAATGAAAGTAGCCACAGACAATAAGTAAACAAAGTACATCCTGTGTTCCAGTAAAATTATACTTATGGAAACTGAAATTTGAATTTCATGTAGTTTCATCAGCACAAAACATTGTTTTTTTAACTTAGCTCACAAGCCTTTCAAAAACAGGCTAGACAACGGACTTTAGTTTCCTGACCCCTGAATTATTAATAGAACAGCATCTGCACTTAGTAGACACGAAAAATAGATGATTTTCCCCCAGAAATAACTGGAAACTCTTGTGGTCCTTGTGTTGATTTCTATTTTTTTTTTTTTTTGTGGGACCCTCACTGGTGGCCGGGGACTGAACTGGCACTGCAGAGCCTCGCAACCCAGTTCTCAACCGCTGCGCCACCTTATTTTTTTTTTCATGAAAATGTACTTTCTGCAATAAAATACTAGGTTTCAAACCTTCAAGTAAACTTAATTTACTGAATGCCTGTATTCTGTATAGACACTTAACTTTCAGACTCATTTCAGTGTTAAGGATGGTTTAGAGACTATTTTGTAGTTGTAATCCCTGAGGCCCATAAAGTGAAATGATTGGTAGAAATCAGAACCCAGGTTTAATATTTATATTTTTTCAGGGCCTCCCTGGTGGCGCAAGGCGTTAAGTGGCAGCACTGTGAAGCTATCACCAGCCACTGCAGCACTAGTTCGATCACTGGCCAGGGAGCTAACCCACATGGCACAGCAGACCTCTCCTGTCTCCTCCACTGCTCCCCTCAGCAGTGTCTTTCAGTCAGTCCACCTGTTCTGCTCCCCACTCTGTCTCTGGTGAATACTCTTACCCCCTGCACCTCTGGCTTGTACCCCAGTTCTTGTATGCATAAATAAATAAATCTTTTAAAAATATTTATATTTTTTCCAGTAACTTTATATTTGGAATAAAACTAAACAGAGTGATTAAAGTACTTGGTCGTTTTTAAAAAAAAAAAAACGATTTTTTTTTTATGCATAGAAGAACTGAGGTACAGGTTAGAGGTTGGGGGGAGGTGAGAGGATTCACCAGAGACAGAATGGGGAGCAGAACAGGCGTATCTACTGAAATACATATCTGGGGGGAGCAGCAAACAAGACAGGAAAGGTCTGCTCCGCCATGTGGATTAGCTCCCTGGCTGGGGATTGAACTCATGCCACTGTGCCTGGCAATAGCTTGATAGCACTGAGACTTTAAACCCTGTGTTACCAGGGAGGCCCTACTTGGCCATTTTTAATGTCAGATTTTATTCATAATTTCAATCAGAAATATATATTATCTAGAATATTTGACTAGATATTGGTCAAATATTGGTGGTATGGTATTATTTTAAATCTAATGAGACTTTTTATTCCATATACTAAAGTGATAGGTTATTTTAGTGTTTTGAAACAAAAAAAAAAGGATTAATGTATTTCATTTGTGTTAGAATGAACCATAAACCAACTCAGAATCAGATTAATATTGTATGTATGTATATATATTTAAAATTGAAGATGTCAGAATGCAAAAAGCACAAATGTAAATGTCCCTTGCCCCCCAAGACAAAGATGAAAAAGACTTGGAATCTTGGAATTATTGTCTTAAGATTGAGAAGCAATAGGAACTTGAGTTTGTGATGTAATTTATGACACTTTGCTCTTTTCTCACCAGTAATCAAACTCCTCTCCCAAACACACGTATCCAATATTAGACATATTTTAGAGTTTGTGTGCTTCTCCAGTAGTGTTGTTTTATGTTTTATGGAATCTGAGTATCTCTGCAAGTATTTTATATAATCTAAATAGATTAACATTTCATTTTATAATGTTATCATTATTGTCCTCTCTAGATATACCTGTATTTCCTACGATCACAGCCACTGTGACTTTTCAGGAGTTTCGATATGATGAATTCGATGGCTCCATCTTTACTATACCTGATGACTACAAGGAAGACCCAAGCCGTTTTCCTGATCTTTAACTGACGTGGAAAATGATGTCATCTAACCAAGAAAAAACAGGAGAATGCAGAGACCCCACCAGTGGATCCAAATCGAAGGGACAAATATTTTCAACAAAGAAAAGGGAATGACACATTGAACTGACACATCAGTAATATGATATAATGAAATGGGCCTCTAGTAAGCATTTCTGCAAGTTTCCTGATGTGCCATTTTCAGTCTTTGAAAAAAATATACATATTATCAGTGTAATAGTTTGACACCTTAATGAACCTAAGTCCTTCTTATGTAAAACAGCTATGAGTGCTGTGATTTGTTTTTAAAAATTTTTACACTTCTTGTTGAAATATATATGCATATAAATATATCTATATATCTAAAACACTCCTGGACCATTATCTTAAATTAAATGTCTTAAGAGATATGAAGCCCTTTTAAACTTGTCATCTTATATTCAAGGTGACATTTATAAATATTCCTTCAAGCTTTGTTTTCATAAAATGTAAATTATGTAACATTATGTATAGTTCAGTAATTTGAATGTTTATTCAATATAATGAACTAGAAGGAATGCAGTTTTCTGTAGATGAATGAACCAAATGGTAACCATTAAACAATTGCGTTTATATGTTGCAATACATTTCAGGAGGAGCGTTCACACTGCAGGGAATAAGGTACCTCCTTTAGCACCTTAGTGCATTTCATTGTGGTGCTATTTGTTTTTACCTGAATTCTTTCTTCAATGGAAAAATGTTTGTTACTAATCTTCCTTTCATAGAACCTCTATTTTTTTTTTTCTAAACTTGAGTTTAAAATCTTTTTTGTGTTCCTGATAAGGTATGGTTAGCATGCTTAAAGATATTCCTCTTCCAAATCTCAGCACTTTAAAAAATTCCAAATTTTTAAACTTGCTTCCTAATATGTGTACATCATTCTAATTATTTTGTTTTTAGTGGAATATGGATGTATTGGTGTCAGTTTTAAAAAACAACCCACATATTTTGGACATCCCTACATATTTAATGCTTTCCAAGTAAGATAAAAACATTTTATATGTTAACAGAATATATTTGTTACAAGTTAAATTCCAGAAACATAATAAGACTGACAATTCCTGTTTATTTTTTTAAGTCTCAAAATATTTATTGATTTTAATTATCTGCAAAGTGTTAAAATCATGCATTACTCATTTTTGCACTTGAAATTTTCATGTTTATTCCAAGATGGTTTGAAGGTCCAAGAATGAAAATAATTAGGAAGAATAATGTATAACAGTCAAAAAATGTTATGTTGTATTAAAGAGCTTAGCTAAAAAAAATGTTTTTTATAATATATCCTGATAAATGTGTCAGAATGCATCTGTCAAGTTTTTTAGAGTGACCAGTAGTTTAAATGTTTTTCAGGATTTTAAATAATTTGAATGAATTTAAAGACCTTTATTGAAGAGATGATTTATTTAAAAATTCAAAGCATCAATCATAAATTTTTTATAATAAACATCTTTTAAGCTGCATCTCCATACTGATACATACTACATTGCATATGTTGACATTTTATTAATACATTTTATAATGACACAAAATAATCATAGTTAAAAATTCAAAGACCACTTACTTCCTTATGTGGGTCTGTTGAATTGGAAAGAGTTGGTAAACCCAGACTAGGTTTATTGAATAGAAATTGATCCCTATTATTTTGGGAATGCTTGTAGAGCCAGTGGCAGAGACTGAATTTTCCCGTCAATATGAGGTTTGACACCCTGAAAGGCAATGATCATTGTTGTTTTTAGGCTCCTTTACTTTGTGGGAATACAGTATACTTTAAGGAATATACTGCAGATTTTTTTCATAAAGTACTGACAACTTAGTGGGGATAAGGCGTGGTAAATTGCAGCTTGCGATTGATCCATTTCCTGAAAGCTGTGAATATTTTGCTGGGGTACACTGGAGGTACGAAGACTACTGAAAACTTTTGCACTGGATTTTGTTTTTAATTCTTATATTTTCCTTTCATAAAAAAATAGTGGAAGGAGATTATCCATTCCAAAATGTCTTTTATCTGATCACTTAGGACAAACAAATGTCATTATCTCTTGATGGTGAAAACAAGGAGCCAATTAATGCAAATAAACTTTTCACAATATTAGACTTTTCAAAATGTGCCTTTTAATCGGTTAATGAAGCTATATGCTGTGTTTCAATTAAGTAGAGCAAACATATTGTGTACTCTCACATTAAAATCTAGATGTAATGTAGGCCCATAAAATTCTATATGCCTTTCATTTATGGTTGAAGACTCTCTTTAAACTTGGGGGATAATAAAAAGGGTCACCTTAAATGGCCATTTATGAATGCTCAATATTCCTGCCACCAGTATGGTATCAAAAGATGAAGATTTTTATCTTTGAGAAATTTACCCCTAAGAGAATTAGAGAAATTGCTGTGGACATTCATATACAACAAATTGTCAAACTTCATGGAAGAAGCATAAAGCAGTTGCTCAGATTGTTGTAAGTACATATAAAGACCTGGAAATTAACACATTTCAAAGAGAAATTGAGAACTGTCATAAGTTGAAAAACTGTTTCCTTCTCATGTTTAGAACTGGTATTGAGCACCCACCACTCACTAATAAAAATGGGTTTCATAACGTTATTCATGTATATTGTATTATTCGCAACTTGGGTGAAGGTGGTGAATTATGATTAAGCAAGCCCTCACCCTAATTTTCACTGACTACAGCAAACACAGATCCTGTTTTAAGACCATGCAGGAGATGGAATAAACATTTTCACTAAGTAGTGAGTTATGGGATGTTTTATTTTGCTTATTTGGTATTTCTATTTGTAACTAACACAGAAGAAAAAAAGCTGTAGAAAAGTAGGTGGTTTTGGCATACTGTTTATAGTAAGCTAGTCTTTTAAAACTACCTGAAAGTTATTGATTAGTATGTCTCAGTGTCTTTGGCGTTAATGCCGACAGAAAGGATCTTAACCATGTTTTCTCAAATGAACAAAATGCATCCTTACCAAAATTGTTATTTGGAATCTTTCAAAGAAAACTAACAGCGAAACTTGGTAAAAGTTTATAGTATAGCTTAATTGGTATACAGCAAAAACTTTTGCAAAACCATTTTGTCATAAATCTGTGGCAACATTATCTTGCCATTTAAAACTCTGTGAAGTACTGTTGCACATTATAGATCACGTGTCCATCCCTACAGTACGAGGTAGTGATGAACTTTTTAAATTGTTGTAGCTTATTTTGTAACACTACCTCTAGAGCCACGGCACCTATAGTACATAGAATTACAATTTCACTTGTGCCACGGCATTTAGAAACAAGGGTATTTTTATTTTTTTAAATATTTATTTATTGGGCCTCCCCAGTGGTGCAGCGGTTGAGTGCTGGGTTGGGAAGCTGTCCGCAGCCTCTGCAACGCCGGTTCGATCCCTGGCTGCTTCCCGGCCACCGGAGGAGGGTCCCACATGGCGCGCAGACCTCTCCTGCCGCCCGCTGCTCCCCTCAGCAGTGTACTTCGGTCCTTCTGCCTGCTCTGCTCCCCGCTCTGGCTCTGGTGAATTCTCTCACCCTCCCGCGCTTCTGACTGTACCCAGTTCGTGTATAAATAAATAAAAATAAATCTTTAAAAATTATAAATAAATAAAAATATTTATTTATTTACTTATGCATAAGAGCTGGGGTGTGGGCCAGAAGTGTGGAGGGTGAGAGGATTCACCAGAGACAGAGAGGGGAACAGAGCAGGCAGATCTACTGAAATATATTGCTGAGGGGAGCTGTGGGCGAGACAGGAGAGATCTGCTGTGCCATGTGGGTTAGCTCCCTGGCCAGGATAAAACTTGTGCTGCAGTGGCTGCCAACAGCTTCATAGTGCTGAGACTTAACCCCTTGGCCACCAGGGAGACCCATAAGGGTACCTGACAATTGTTCCTGATTTTCTTACCTTCCCCCAGTTCCTCCTTCAGCTGTTCACATTGTGGGCCATGCGTATACATGCAGGTCTATGATGAAGTCTCGGCTTCTGCAGGACACCTATGCCACCACAGTCAAAAATGAGACATAAACTGAGTTTCAGTCCATCCTTGTGGGTTCCAGTTCAAACTTGTGGTTCCAACTTACTCTTCTCCCTTCAACTATCTAGCTTTACTTCCTCTGCCCCTTGGCTTCCATCTCCACATCAGTTGCAAAAACAACAAAATTGAAACAAGTGCCTCCCACAATGAAGGTCAATGCCCAGTAACAAATCTCATTTCTAATAGCTTTGTTTTTCTAACTGAACACTACTAGAATCATAATCTACATGTTTGTCTTTGAAAATTTGGTTATTTAAGTAAACAAATTGTAACTTTTAACATTGTGGATGAAAAAGGTAGTTTTTTAGTGTGTATGGGTAAAATTATACCTTGAGGTTACTTGCGTAGTTACATTAAAAAGCATTTAGAAAAGTCCACTCTTTGTTACCCTAGACCTTCAGTTTTTTATTTTAGTAACATGCTGGTAAAATAACCTTTAAGTCACTGAAAAGATGAACATGTCACTTTCCCTATTATTTTTGCATGGATATAAAGAACATTAGTTGCATCAGATCCTTTCTCTGAATTGTCTTAGGTTGTTAGTAGCATCTACTATACTTGAAGTGTACTAAGAATATTTCCACTAGTAAAGAATGGGCATGGTTAACATGACTTATTTTCTAAAGAAAGTCTAAAACGAATTTCACACGCACTTTGAAATAAAATGAAAATGGGAATAAGCACAGAACAGCAAAGACGCTCAAATTTACCTGCCACTTCAGAATTTAGTCTCAATTTGGAAAACTGCTGCTAATAGTCTTAATAGACATAGTTATTCTGGATGCTCTTAAAAGCACCAGGAACATTTCCGTATTAACTAAAGTAGATGCATGTACACTTGACAAATATTTTAGATAGCACAGGGAGGAAATGCAGATTTTAGATAGACTATTTCTCATTTTCAGTTTAAAAGATGTGTATCAATCTTTAGACACGAACCCTAAGCACTTTATCTGGTTCTCCAATTGAAGAAGGTGGTGTATTTTATTAAGAGGAAGTTGCCTTATTGATACTTGTTCTGGACATATAATGCCCTTAACAGAACCTGTTTTAAGAAGCAAATCCAAGATTAAAGTTAGTTTTACTGGTTTCAGTAGGAGCCCAGTGACCTCTTCCATATAGAATTGATTCAAGGAAGCCTATTAAACCAAAGATGTTCCCACAAAAAGATAAAAGGCCATCTCAAACCTAATCTTCAATTTATCTTTGCACTCTCGCTTAAACATTGCCCCAAATTAAATTATTGCACTCTTTTTTTTTTTTTTTTTTTTTTTTTTTTATAGAGGCATGCTTTTATTTATTTGTTTGCTGGTTTGTTTGTTTTTTTTGTTTTTATACATGCACTGGGTACAGTCAGAAGCGCGGGAGGGTGAGAGAATTCACCAGAGCCAGAGCGGGGAGCAGAGCAGGCAGAAGGAGCGAAGTACACTGCTGAGGGGAGCAGCGGGCGGCAGGAGAAGTCTGCACGCCATGTGGGACCCTCCTCCGGTGGCTGGGGAGCAGCCGGGGATCGAACCGGCGCCGCAGAGGCCGCGGGCAGCTTCGCAACCCAGCGCTCAACCGCTGCGCCACCGGGGAGGCCCTAAATTATTGCACTCTTTGAAAAGCTCCATAATCAAACAGCAAGTACCATGTGCTGACCCAGGCACATGGAGCTACATTTTTTGAGCAGAATTACTAAATACACTGCAAAGTCAGGTATCACTCCCACCTTAGACAGGAAAATTATGGTTAAAAAACTGGTCTCAGCAGCTGTGAACGAACCCCAAATTTGTAATTGGACTCAGCCATTATCTCTCACTTCTGGTAAGTTTAAGCAAATAAATAGGACAAACATTTTTCTAACAAAACATTTTTTATTTCTTGATCATTTTTACTACCAAATACAGAACAAAACCGTGTGGAGGGAGTGTCCACTTGATTTCATCTGGTTATCTGTGTGCAAGGCTGTGTCCCAGTGCAACCTTACCTTTGTGCATAAAATGTTCACTGAAAAATAACCTAGGTATGAATTCCCTTCACTGCAGCATCTTAAATTTCTGGTACTATTTTAGAGTCAAAAATTTCTTATCTCTTTTTGAAAAGTCTTATTTGTATTCAGAGATTACAAGTGAGAGAATGAACTTTGAGTAACAGGTTTAACCATGTGAAACTGCCAATATTTTCCTTTCAACTTACAAAAATGGCTATGTCAGATGATTCAAACTTCTAGAAAGTTTTTATAAGCTTGATGTCATGTTTGTTCACTTTTGTGTTTAAAAATGCAGTGATTATTAGGACTATTACTAATAGTTCTTACTATAGACAAAATTCCTTCTGATAAAATCTTTAAAAAGTTACTACAAACTGTAGAAACAATGCTGCTTTTCTATATGACATTTCAATTTTTTAAAAGTTAAAAAAACTTATACTCAAACTCTGATAAAATCTACAATTCCAAGTCTCAATATCCCCTTAATCCCAGCCACTGAAAACACTACTCATTTTATAAATGATTATACTATTTAGTATTATACAGTATATATACCATTGACAGTCTCTATACTATTCCAGAAAAGGTATTATATTTCACCGAAAATATAAATTTGCTAGATATAGGTGGGATCATTTGGTTATCCTAAACTTCATTGCTTTAGTGAGCCAAATTCCTACACCCAAATATGAGAAAATTACACCAGGAAAAAGACTATTTTAGAGAGAAATGAAACCAACTTTGACAATTCTGATGACAGCTAATCGCTATAGTGATGGATTTCATCTTATTACTATCTTTAAACATGTGGATTGAAATGGGGAAAACTTGATTTGTAAAATGAATGAGGTAAATGTCATACATTCAACAGTGTAAATAAATACAAATACGGTTTTACAGGAACATGAACATAAGTTTAAGGGTTTTATTATCAAAGTCTTGTAAAACAATTTCAGAAACTGTACATCAACATGGCACAGACTGTAGCCTACTTTTGTTTTTACTGCACAAAAGTGAAGCTTGAAACTCCTGTAACTAAGAAAACAGTTGCCTAACTACTTTGCATTTAAACATGGAATCACTGGGTGCTTAAGAGATTACGACTGCAGTAACACAAATTTATTGGTTTTATACAACTTGAGATCAAATAAAAAGTACATTATCAAGTAGATTTGTCTTATTTTAAAAGCATATGAAGGTCAATTTAAAATGCACTACCCCCTTTTTCCAACATTGAGATTAAAACAAATTAATAAAGGAGTGGAAAATTGAAAATCAGGACAAGAAAACTTTCTTTTACAGGTGGACTCAGGACAGGCAGATAGCTTCACTGATGGAGATGTGGAATAAATTACTATTTCAGGAAAAATTTCCGAAATACCTTATGAAAAAGTATACAATTCTACCTCAAAATATGTTATTTACTGTCAAAGACAGTTTCATTTGAAATCTTGTTTCTGTAATTAAAGCCTAATTAGCCATCAAAAAAAGGTTAGTGCATATAACACCTTTCAAAGTTAAACAAAAGCCACAAAAATTTAGCCACAAGGCTTAAAGGATTATCTATTTCAATGCTCATTTCAGATGTAACTATAAGAATGTTAATTTGTCATGTCAACAAACAAGACCATAAGTAGATCCATCATGTTGGAGATTTTAATGACATTTAGGATATTCCTGCCACAATTAACATGCAATCAGTGCATTCCCTACATGGCTCTATTACGGCAATGAATCAAATTCTAGAAATACTATAAGTGAACTTACGTAATAAAGGAGATCATACAACATAAACAATCCATGCCTGCTGTAGATGCATGCAGCTTTTCGTTTTTGTTATGAAGCAGCACCAGAATAGTAAAACTGCTTGGTTACTCAATCACATTTCACCATGTCAAGAATTGGTTACCCACAATATCATTTTCTAAAAGATTTTTGGTGTAAATAACTAATGTCAATATCAGGAGCTTTATAACCATTTTAACTCAGAGCTGTATACATCTAGGTTTGAGATGAACAAATACAGCATTAAGAAATCACACAAAGGAATGACACTGATGCATGTATACAGTCAGATTCTCATGGAGGCAATATTCAGTCACTCATATCCATGTCTTCCTCATGATGATCATCCCCATTCACTTTGGATTCTCTCAGTGAATCACCAGTTCCCTTCTCCACAGAACATTCTTTTGTTTTAGGGGAACCTGGCTCTGTTGGTTTCTTCTCCTCTTTTTTCTCCTTCTCGCTGTCATACCCCTGTTCCTCTTCATCGTAATCCCGTGTAACCTGCTTTGCCAACGAGAATAATAAAAGTAAACTTCTTCAAAGAAAAATCACTTCTTAAAAGTACCAGCACCACCCTAAATACCAAAATAAGTTAGTTTTTAGACTTACTTTTACATCTTTATCACTCTCTGATTTTCTTTCCCGATCCTTTTCCTTATCTTTACTCTTCTTCTTCTTGCTTGTTGATCTTTCTCTTTCATCTCTGCTTCTTTCTTTGTCTTTATCTTTCTTCTTCTCCTTTTTATGTCTAGGATGACAGCAAAATATTCTCAAACAGAGATTCTTAAACAGAACCATTCAAGAAGCTTTACCCTTACGTGCAGCAACAGGTTTTATTTGTTTGGATGGAGAGCTTGATCCAAGTTCACATAAAATTAATAGGAAAGCAACGATGAGAGTTCAAAACACTCGATAACACGCAGTGCACAAGTATTCTATGCAAGATGACTAACTTGGGTACAGATCTAAAATAAAACATTCAGTCTTGAACACTGATTATTATAAAAGTCTCAACTCATGAAGGGAACCTATCAGCAACTTCTTAGGCACTTAGTTCCCGAAGAGGAAAACTCGAATAAAACTGACAGCTTCTGAAAACAGAAAAGACAGAGTGAAATAATGTTCTTACCTCCTAGGGGATGGGGAGCGAGACAATTTTCTTTTAGGAGACCTAGGCTTTTTAGGAGACCTTGTGCCACTTCTGCTTCGTCGTCGTCGTCTTTCTCTAGAACCACAGATGTATAAACTAGACTTTAAAATACAGTATTATCTAAAACATGCAGACACATAGCAGATGTTTCTATGATGGAGCTCCTTTAGGAACTCCGATAACAGAATTCTGTTTTCAAATACTATTTTGAATTAAGGAGTCAAATGAACAATAACTCTTTGCAAACAATAGGCCTTTGTAAATGATACACCCTTCCTTTAAGGCCCTCAAGTAAATCCAATTTTAGCAATAAAGGCATTAGAAATATTAAATTTGAGAAAAGACTGATTAACAAAAATCACTTAAATTGAGTAAAATTTCAGAAAATTAACATTAGTTGGTAACATAGAAATCAAAATGCTTATAACTCTCCCCTTCTCCATCCCTCTTACTTTGAGCAATTAACTCTCCCCTTCTCCATCCCTCTTACTTTGAGCAATTAAAGATGGACAATGTATAATAGCTTTTTCCAATTCTCTTAACAACTTCTTTAAAATCTGAAGTTATGGGCCTCCCCTGGTGGCACAGCGGTTGAGTGCTGGGCTGCGAAGCTGCCCGCAGCCTCTGCAGCACTGGTTCAATCCCCGGCCACCGGGTGAGGGTCCCACATGGCGCGCAGACCTCTCCTGCTGCCTGCTGCTCCCCTCAGCAATGTACTTCAGTCCTTCTGCCTGTTCTGCTCCCGGCTCTGGCTCTGGTGAATTCTCTCACCCTCCCACGCTTCTCACTGTACCCAGTGCTTGTATAAATAAATAACTCAATAAATAAATAAAAAATAAAACCAGAAGTTATCAGACTTGTAAAATGACCATTATAATTTGATTTGGGCACAAACAAAAAAGTCCCTGTACTTTCAGTTGTCTAATAACTTAAAAAAAAAGAATCCTTTCAGTTGTGACCCCATGGTCCTGTGAAACATTACAGTTTAACATTCACTCATCAAATATTTACTACATATACCTCATACTTTTTGCTAAACTTTGTGTAGCTGCTATCTCAAAATCCCCATATGGAAGAAATGTTTTATATTTCTCTGCCTTTCTACAGATTGTAGATTGCAGCATACTGCAACCACACAGTAGGAAATCAGTAAAAACTTATAGCATATGCCTGAACTTAGAATGATCCAGTAAATACTTACGTTAAGATGCTTATAAATAACTTTATTAAAGCAACAGGCCTCCCCCCCGCAAAAAAAAAAAAAAAAAAAAAAAAAAAAAAAAAAAAGCCTCCATTTTTAAGTTAAGAAGAGTCATGCTGCACTCTATCTTTTATGTGCTTCTGCCACTTATTCCTCAGACCTAATTTGGCATTTCCTGCAGTACTTTATGCCTGGCTTTTTTTCTTATAGATTTTATTTTTAAAATTGAGGTAAGTAACATATTTTATTAGTTTTAGGTGTAAAACATGAACACTTGATATTTGATATACTGTGAAAAGATCACTACACCTAAGTTTAAATAACATATATTACCACACAGTTACAAGAACTTTTAAAGATCTATTGTTTTAACAACTTTCAAATATGCAATACAGTATTATCAACAATAGTTCCCGTGCAGTACATTACAATCCCAGGACTTATTTTTATCCACCCTCACAACTTCTAATAACCAATTTGTTTTCTCTATCTATGAACTTCTGACTTATTTCACTTAGCAGAATGTCCTCAAGGCAGACTTAGTTTTTAAGATGCTTCCAAAAGAAACGCCATGCCCTTAGAGTTATGACTTGCCAACTCCGACTAATCTACCTTTATCAGCTTACCTATTCTGATATTACATATAAACAGAATCATACGATTAAGTGGTTCCTTATGACTGGCTTCTTTCATCTAGCAAAACACTTTCAAGGCTCATCCACAGTGTAGCATTCGTCAGTATTTTGTTGATTTTTACTTCTGAATACATGGGCTGTATGGATATACCATTTTCTTTACCCATGATTAGTTAATGACTATTTGGGTTAACTTTTTGGCTATTATCAATAATGTTGGACATTCATGTTCAAGTTTTTTTGTGTGGAAATGTTTTATTTCTCTTGGGGATAGCCCTAGGACTGAAATTGTGTCTAAATGTTTACACTTTCTTAGGAACTACTACTACCTTACACCCATCATCTGTGTACTCCATGACATCATGTTCTCCAAAGAAGTGGAATCATTTTACAATCACACCAGCAACAGATGGTGTTCCAATGTTTCACATCCTCACTAGTACTAGTTATCTATCTTTATGATTATAGCCAACTACAGATGTAGTTTTGATTTACATTTCCCCCATGTCTGATGGTGAAACACCTTTTTAGATACTTAACACCAGCATATTTTGTTTGGAGAAATGGTAATTCAGATCCTCTGCCCATTTTAAAATCAGATTGTCTTTCTATTGTTGAGTTTTAACAGTTCTTTCTATATTCTATCTTTTTTGTTTGTTTGTTTTTTATTTATTTATTTGTTTTGTTTATACATGCACTGGGTACAGTCAGAAGCGCGGGAGGGTGAGAGAATTCACCAGAGCCAGAGCGGGGAGCAGAGTAGGCAGAAGGACCGAAGTACACTGCTGAGGGGAGCAGCGGGAGGCAGGAGAGGTCTGCGCGCCATGTGGGACCCTCCTCCGGTGGCCGGGGAGCAGCCGGGGATCGAACCAGCACTGCAGAGGCTGCAGGCAGCTTTGCAACCCAGCGCTCAACCACTGCGCCACCGGGGAGGCCCCTCTATATTCTATCTTAAGGGCCCTTATCAGATTACAATTTGCAAATATTTTCTAGCACTTTTAAAAAAAATTGAGGTAAAACTGTTTGAAATATTGTATATGATTTGGAGGTGTAGGATCACATGCTTCAAACATGTGTTACTCCATCACACCCACCACCAAGGTACTGCAGTCCTCCACTACAATCCTTTGGGACTCCTCCTCTTCCGCCCTGGTAGCCTCAATTTTACAGTTATTATCTAGGGTTTGTTTTGGTTTGGTTTTGTCTGAGCCTTTATTTTGCTGTATTTCATAGGTGTGAAACCAAGCCGTATGTGCTATTTTCTGACTCATTTCACTCAGATGCTAATTCCCTCCAGTTCCATCTATGTTGTTGCAGATGACAAGATTTCATTTTTTTGTATAGCTGAGTAGTGTTCCACTGTGCACATAATACTGCATCTTCTTAACACACTCATCTGTCTCTGGCCACTTAGGTTGTTTCCATTAACTTGGCTATTAGAAACAGTGCTGCAGGGCCAACTACCATGAGATACCATCTTATACCAGTGAGAATGGCACATATTAAAAAAACTAGCAACAACAAATGTTGGCGAGGTTGTGGAAAAAAAGGAACTCTCCTGCAGCACTGCTGGTGGGAGTGCAAACTGGTCCAACCACTATGGAGAGCTGTGTGGAGATTTCTGGACCTACTAAACATAGAGCTTCCATATGATCCAGCAATTCCACTCCTAGGTATTTACCCAAAGGACACAGAAACATCAATTCCAAAGAGCACCTGCACCCCTATGTTTATAGCAGCACTGTTTACAATAGCTAAGCTTTGGAAACAGCCCAAATGCCCAAAAATAGATGACTGGATCAAGAAGCTGTGGTACATATACACCATGGAATATTACTCAGCATTCAAAAAAGATAAACACATGCAATTTGCAGCAAGATGGATGGCGCTCGAAGGGATCATGCGCAGCGAAATAAGCCAGAAAGAAAAAGAAAAATACCGATGGTCTCACTCATAGCAGTAATCTAGAAAACTTAAATAAGGGACCAGGAAAAAGAATAACTATAGAAAGTAAAAATCAAAATCAACAAACAACTATGAACCAGAGAAACTCTATGGGGGTGGGACCGGGGAGGGGAGGGACTGGGGTCAAAATAAGGAGGTCGCAATTGTATGGGGAATATAAAAATAAAATTTATAATTGAAAAAAAAAACAAAAAAAACAAAAAAAACAGTGCTGCAATGAACACAGGAGTGCCTTGTATCCCTTTGAATTTGTGCTTTGCCTTCTTCAGGTAGATACCAAGGAGTGGAATTGGTGGATCATATGGCATCTCTATTTTTAATGTTTTAAGAAACCTGCATATTGTGTTCTATAGGTGCCAGAACAGTCTACATTCCATCAAGTATGAGGGTTCCTTTTTCTCCATATCCTTGCCAACACTTGTCGTTTCTTGGTCTTTTTTGATATGAGCCATACTCATGTGTGTAAGGGAGTAGATTACTGGGGCTTTGAATTATATCTCACTGATGATAGATATGATAAGCGTTTTTTCATATGCTTGTTGGCCATCTCTAGGTCTTCTTTGGAAAAGTGTCTAATTAGGTCTTCTGTACATTTTCTGACTGCATTTTTGTATTCTTTTTGTTGAGTTGTAGGAGTTTTTTCTAGATCTTGGGTATTTACCTCTTGTTAAAAATATACGGCATGCGGGGCCTCCCCGGTGGTGCAGCGGTTGAGCGCTGGGTTGCGAAGCTGCCTGCAGCCTCTGCAGCGCCGGTTCGATCCCCAGCTGCTCCCCGGCTACTGAAGGAGGGTCCCGCATGGCGCACAGACCTCTCCTGCCTCCTGCTGCTCCCCTCAGCAGTGTACTTCGGTCCTTCTGCCTGCTCTGCTCCCCGCTCTGGCTCTGGTGAATTCTCTCACCCTCCCGCGCTTCTGACTGTACCCAGTGCTTGTATAAATAAATAAATAAATCTTAAAAAAAAAAAAAATATATATGGCATGCAAATATGTTCTCCCTTATAGGGGGGTGTCTTTTCACTTAAATGATAGTTTCTTTTGCCAACCACTTTCCTGACAGTGCTCTTTGAAACATAAAATTTGTTGACTAAATATTTCCCATTATTTACTATTTCTTTTCTGTTACTTAATATTTTTGAAGTCAATATCTTCAAACTTAAGGTCATGAAGATTTACTACATTTTCTTCTCAGAAGGTGTTTAGTTTTAGTATTTACATTTAGGTCTTTCATTTTGAACTAGGTTTATATACAGTGTGAGACATCTATATAAACGAGATTGGGGAAAAAATGCCCTTATGTGTATGTCAAGTTTAAAAAATGAATTTTCAATATGGCAGGTCAAAGGTAGAATGATGAGTCTAAGATTGACAAACCAGAACCTGCACTGCCTTCATTATTTTATCAAAGAACTACGTACTACATATGGGGAAAAAATTATTTGAAGTATTAAGGTGCATCATTTAAGTATAACTTACTATAATTAATTTCATGTAGTAATTCAATTCACTTTAGTTATCAAAACAAATACTTAGGGGAAAAAAACTTGAAAACACTTGGGGCGAAAAAAACAGATCAGGATGTGACCTGCATATAGTAAACATAAAAAATAAGTTCTGTTAAATTCTGTTATTTCAAATATTTTCTATACCATTAAAATAAGTGAAAAGATAAACTTTATGCAGAAACTACTTAATCAAAACAAAACTTCAAAACCAAAGTGCATACTGATGTACTAAAAACCTTCATGTTCACAACCTACTGACTTTCTCTGAAACAAAGTTAAAAAAATATGCCAAGACTTTGTAATGCACCTTACCTGCTTGCACTTCTGGAACGTCTGGCTGTGCTATAACTTTTTGGTGGTGTTTTGGAACGTTTCTTTTCTTTGTCTTCTTTCTTCTTGTCTCTAATAGGACAATTTATGAGCACATTAAAATAGTGAGCTTAAACTTACACAGCACTAAAAACAATAAAAAATGCAAAATCTGAGGACCTCCCCTGTGGCTCAAGGAGTTAAGTCTCGGTACTATCAAGCTATTGGCAGTCACTGCAGCATAAGTTCAATCCCCGGCCAGAGAGCTAACCCACATGGCGCAGTAGACCTCTCCTGTCTCACCTGCTGCTCCCCTCAGCAGTGTATTTCAGTTGATCCGCCCATTCTGCTCCCCACTGTCCCTGGGGAAACTTCTCACCCCCTGCATCTCTGGCCTACACCCCAGCTCTTGTATGGATAATAACAAAAAAAAAAAATAAATAAAATAAAAAGCACAATCTGATTAATGCAATTTATAAAATGTTCCCACAGAAACTGCATAGAAACACTAGCACAAATGGTATATTTGTGGTAAATAACTTTAAAAATCCTCCTGGTATTACTTCTTCTCCAATGGAGGTAAGCAGATTATGTGGTGAGAAAATAATTAGTATGTTGGCCCATTTCTTGCTGTATCTGGCGATACACCATTTATAATAATCACCTCTAGGTTTGAAGCTTCAACATTACCTTTTTCTATCACCATGGCTCTAGATCTTTTACTATCAGATCTAAATCCTTAATGAACTAAATCATAGTGACTCACCAGCATTACAAATGATCTCATAAAGCGTATACCCCATATGTTAATGTCCACCATGGAACAAGTCAACCTTCTACTCTTTTTCCTGTTGCTACATACATATTCTATCATTAAATATCCGGTCATAATGGACACAACCATGCCTGAACCTCTGAAATTTTTTTTAGATTCTTGTAAATTTACTTTTATTCCCCAAAGTATTTCCTCCACAAGATCATTACTCTCCCCAAGACTGCAGGCAAAATGTAGATAACCAATAATATATTTGTTGAATGAGAAGTCCTTTTACCCATGAACAGACACATATCTATGTTCAACTACACTATAATTTTTAATGATTAAAATATGTATGTGCATATATAATTTCAAAGATTTATTTTTATTGTTCTAAATTAATTCACCTGCCCTATATTCTCTATTTCATACCCTCCCTTCTTTGGTAATCCTCTTTCCATTCAAAGTCTTTGCCATCTAATTCCTAAATTATTTTAACAGTCCCTTAAGTCCTAATCTGTTTTCTACAAGTTCATCTCAGACCTTTTATCAGAAATATTTCTAAGTACAAACTTGAAAATATCAGCACCCTGTTCATCCTTTTTACCATTCCCATTCCCTCCTCGAAAAACGCAAATTTCTTAAGTGTTAACAAGAACTTAGCGTGAACACAACTTTCTGTGTGTGATCTGTCACTTTAACATTTTTCTAACCTCTCTTCTTGGCACTCCTATAACAGGTATTTGCTATTTCTAGAATTTATGCTTTGAAACAACATTCTTTACTTGAAACCATGCTACTTACTGAGTCTAGTAGAATCTATCAGAATTTAATACTTGAGCATAATTTCTCAATTAGGCCAATTCCAACACTTAACACAGTTCTTTCTTTATAATTATATTCATTTCTCTCCTGATGTAAAGAAAGTTTCGTGAGAGAAGGAATGCCTAATTCCTCTTTGGATGATACGTGTTTCATTAAGAAAGCTTGTTTGCACGATTGACTAGATGACTCACTCTGCAAAATATAATGACGAAAAGCCTGAACACTCAGTAAAGCTATTCCAGAACATCAGTTTTCAGCTGAGTTTTATTCTTACTAGGGATAAATTTTACTGGTACCCAGCTGTCTTTATTTTAACTTACATAATCAAATGAACAGATAAAATAGTATGAAATAGAGGCTACATCTTAAAAGTTAAGGCAAAGAGAAAGATAAGACAGTTGTTTAGTGTTGTGAAATTATATGTGAATATCAAAAAAATTCTAAAAAACCTAGGTACTTTCAAGTGATAGTTTTTTTGGACACTTTAAAGGTGGTTCAACGGAAATAAACAGCAATTTATCACTCAAGACTAGGCATACTAATTTTAAAGGGTTTGGCCTAGATTTAAAAAAATGGATTCCTTAATACAAGCATGTTTAAGTCAAAATGAAATGTGAAGATGGGAGTGTTTTTTTTTTTTTTTTTTTTTTAATGAATCCTTACTTTAACTCTCAACTGGTTCCATCCAAATCACAGGCTAAGAGCCCCTAATAAGCCTAATATACACAGAAGCTTAAAATGTTTGCTATAAAGAGATACAAAGACAAGTCATAGTTATCTGCCATAACCTCTGGCATACTATGAAGAAAGGCTGTCAGCACTAAATCCTTAGTGGTGATTGAGTGGAAATGAAAGAAGGTAGCAAGACAGCTAAGAATTTTTACTACAAAGAAATCTTATTTATATAGGCCTTGCTATAAACGGATATCTGTTTACTTACAAAATGTCAGTTTCCTCAAACTCTATAAAGTTTCTCTCCAGTCTACTTCAATCTCCTCTATCATTAATACAGTATTGGATCTTGAAGCTTTAAAATTTGTTTTCCCACACAAAGTTGAAGTCTAATGTACCTGTTTTTTGATGTGCTCCTTGACCTTCTACCTCGCTCTCTGGAATGAGATCTTCTCCGTCTTGGACTTTTGGATCGTCGCCTACTCCTTGACTTAGAATGTGATCTCCTTCTTGACCTGCTTCTTGACCGCCTAAAAATATAAAAGGAAGCCAACACACATATAAATGTAAAAAGACTAGCTCTTGCTTGTGAGTATTTTACTTGGCACCAGACAAAAAACTCACACAACTGAACTAACCATCAGTAAGTGGGGATACTTGCCTGGTGGGTGCTGTCATTGCTGCCACTATTTACTTAGTTCATACAGTAAACATCTTCGATACCCTAAAAATTAGCAGAACTTTTTCATAACTGTAATTCCATGCATTTTAATCTTTTGCTTAATCTGTCAAACCAGTGCTTCTATGTCTACTGAAACTACAACTCCAAAGTTAAAAATAATGGCAAAGATTAAAAGGAACATTAATCTGACTTGCATCACCTCTCATAATTACAAAGTAATTTAGCATGTACTTGATTCCTCACTGATGCATGGTAAGTCTATCAGTTATCAAATAGTTATATATTCTTATTACTTGCTTTCTGAATGTTATCTTCTATGACTTCTAATTGTTATTCTCTAAAAAATATCCTATCCTTTGATTTATAATTTAAAATAAATCTAAGCAACGCTTGCCCCACATATATATATATATATATATATAAAAATAAAATTCTGGGGGCCTCCCTGGTGGCGCAGTGGTTGAGCGCTGGGTTGCGAAGCTGCCCGCAGCCTCTGCAGCGCCGGTTCGATCCCCGGCTGCTTCCCGGCCACCGGCAGAGGGTCCCACATGGCGCGCAGACCTCTCCTGCCGCCCGCTGCTCCCCTCATCAGTGTACTTCGGTCCTTCTGCCTGCTCTGCTCCCCGCTCTTGCTCTGGTGAGTTCTCGGGCCCTCCCGTGCTTCTGACTGTACCCAGTGCTTATATAAATAAATAAAAGTAAATAAATAAATAAGTCTTAAAAAAAAAAAAAAGACTCAGAAGATCAGAATTTGGAAATTTAAAAAAAATAATAAAATAAAATTCTGTATAAACTGCCTTTTATTTTCATTTCTTCTCAATATATAGATCTGTCTATATTATTTCTTTCCTGAAACATAACAAAAATGTTTCTTTCAGAAAGGTTCCCCTATTCTGTTTTCTTGAGGACATTTGAAGGACAACTATCCTTTTGATGTTGTCAATGATCCTCATTCCTGTATTTCATTCTCCTTGATTTTAAGAACAATTAGCAAAAATTTCAATCCTTTTCTTAGACTTGATCTTTCAACATCTACTAGTCAAACTTGTTCCAAGGAAAATTTTAAAAGAGGATGGGACATTTAGAAATGGAAAATATTCATGTTCAAATTTCACTTATAAGAAAGCTGAGAGCATATATTTAGCTATTTGAAGTCTTCATCAAAGAAATATAGCAAAGTCACTTTTACACACTGATATATTTGATTTTAAAAAATAAGAGATCAGCATATATAATTATATAAAAAAGTCTTACTGAAGCTTACTGGTCATTTTCTTTAATATCAAGAGACTTAAGACACTACCACCTCTAATAATCATCTCTCTATTATGATGTCCAGTGTCCAAGCACAGTTCAAAAGCACTGCATTCTGGGAAATAAATGTTTCAGTTATTTCAAATTACAATTTAAGCGCTAGCATGTACTTGGTATGTACAGAAGAAAAAAAAATTGTCCTTTTTACATGTTAAAGGAGATTATGACAGCAACTGTCCTGGAAGATTATGACAGTATACAGTACCAACACTTTACAAAAGTGTAAAATTAAGCAGCATTTGAACAAAGAAAAAGGAGTTCCTCAAAAAGAAGTGAAGATGTACCAAAATCTGCAATGCAGAAAGAAACATGAAGAGTGAAAATGACTACATTCAGTCAAGTGTTACCATGGCTCTTTTGGAATGGCAACTGACATAGATGGAAAGACAAACCAGACCAAATAATAAAGAACCCTGAATAGGGTTTTATATTTTACCTTATTAAGGTAATAAGGAATTTGTCAAGGTTTAAAAGAGTTGCAGTATGATCCAAATTTGTGTTTTTGAAAGTCAGCTTTAAGAACGAGATGAGTAAGAGAAATGTGGGTGACAGGAAATAAAACAGAAACACCAGATAGGACAACCTTCTAACAGCTAGCCATACTGAACGTGTACTGCAAAAATTCTGACATGAAACCTAATCCCAAGTGTGATATTTTGAAGTACGGCCTTTGGGAGGTGATATGGTCAGGAGGGCATAGCTTTTATGAAAGAATAGGATACAAAACCCTTATGAAAGACATCTCAGATCCCTGGCATACTGCCTATGAGGATACAGTGAAAACACAGCAGACTATAAATGAGGAGGCAGGTCCTCATCAGACATCACATTTGCTGGCACCTTCATCTTGGACTTTCCTAGCCTCTAGAACTGGAGACATAAATTTCTGCTGTTTACAAGTTATTCAATCTATGATTCTTATTAAAGCCGTTGTATGAGCTAAGACACAGCCCCAAAATGAACTTGATGATGTCATGGAGTCTAATGAAGACAAAATTATTTTGAAAACAGTAACAGCATTATTACTTGCCTTTTCCACTGTATTGACAATTGCACTAATAGTGCAAAAGCAATGGTAGTGTAAAAAGGCTGGCATCTCCTTTAGTATAAATCAAGGTAGTGGCAAATGAACTGTCCTAGTAGTCACTGTATTCTTCATTAGAATTTGCAGTATGTACTTGCAATGAAAGAGGAAGAAGAAAAAAAAAGCCATTTTCACTAAGGATGTCTTGGATGAAGCAGTAAAAATTGATTTTATTAAATCCAGTCCTAGTACTATTAAAGCAGTATTTCAAAATCTAGTCTCTTGGGCATTATTCTAATGGAATGGAATGGGATGCATGCACAAAACACTTCTGGTAATTATAGCTCAATAGCTGTATCAAGGAAGACAGTTGTGTGACTGAATTATAAGCTTAACTAATTGTTTTTCCATGAAACATCAACTTTATTTGAAAGAAGTGAGCAACCAAGTTGCTGAGACTTGGTTAGATGGCAAAATTATCTTAAAAACATGGTAAGAATGAAGTCTATCATTTTAAGGAAGATAACTACACTGATGCCAATGATAAAACTTGAATTAACCTTTGTGAACATTACAACTTTGTAATACTTAAAATGATTTTCGGATTACAAAGTGTCACTTTTGTATCATATAACACAATGTGTCAAGATTTAGGTGACAAATTATTCTCCAGGCCACCAATGCCTAATTTTACAAAACAATGACTGGAAGAAAATCCACTCAACGTAGAGGATGAGATTTTAACAGAATATGTAAAATCATTATTATGGAGTTATGGTGTTACATAGCAAAGAATATTCATAATATTATCACCTAAAAAATCACTTTCCCCTTTTCTAATTACATATTCACATGAAGCCAAATTTACTAACCAGAATCCCATACACCTTCAGTCATGCTAAATATTAAAGAGATTTGTAAGGCAGTAATACATAGCTGTTTTTTTTTTTTAAAAAGATTTGCTTCTAAGTTACATTAACATGTATGGGTTTACCACTGACATTTCAAATCTTAATGGCCAACATTGACAGCTCTCACCCACACATTTTTTTACAAGTACATAGAGATTACCAACCTGCAAGTTTGACAGCAACTTTTGAGAAAAACTTGCAGAACATAAGGATATTATCAACAGTGATTACTAGCAATTTAACCGGGAGTTAGCAGGTTTAACAGACAGCAAATTAACAAAGCAGTGACACACAGAAATTATCTTTGTCTAAGGTACAACTGACCACAAAAAGTGATTAACCGAACCTGTGCCTAGAAGATGAGGGGGTCCTCCTCCTCCTAGAACGTGATCTTGACCTTGAGTGCCTTCGTTTTTCCTCCTTCTTATCTGTATTTAAAAATGAAAATTTGGATTTATAAATAACCAAATAAATAGGGAGATTACTCCAATTCAGGAATTATTCTAGGAACTTATACAGCTATAATCACCCTGCTGTGAAATTTAATTTTACACATTTATGTATTAACATGTCTCCAAACAGTACTTAACTGTAAAATGAATGTAGTGTTCATAAAAAAAAATATAATAAACATTCTAAATTTTTTTTTAAAGTTGCAACAGTAGTTTATTTTATTTTTTTAAAGATTTATTTATTTATATATACAAGCACTGGGTACAGTCAGAAGCACAGCCGTAACTTTCAATTGTGTATATGGATGAGACATATAGACTAATCTCTCTCCATTTCCTAGCCTTTAAAGAAATTCCTTCAAATAGTAATTACTTAAGATATAAAGGCAATGCATTCTTCACTCATGGGCTCTCATCAAAGTGAGACTGAGATCATACCTTTCACGTTAAATCATTTCATTAACAGGATTCAATTTATTATAAATGTCATTACACTAATAATAAATTGACAAAAATACTGACAATAATAATCCAAACAAAGCTATTTTTAATCATTTCAGTTGTGAGTTTTCCATGAAAACAGAAAATAGTTACATCATGTTTTGGAGTCACACAAATCTATCTGTGTATCTAAAGTCCCTACTGCTTGCCATGTAAATGCAGGGCTAATAATTTAATATTCTGTGGCTCAAATGAGATAATACATAAAGCACTTGGTATCAATTTGCCCAAGATTATACTTTATTATTATTATTATTATTTTTTAAAGATTTATTTTATTTATACAAGAGCTGGGGTACAGGCCAGAGTCACGGGAAGGTGAGTGACAGAGTGGGGAGCAAAACAGGCAGATGCACCAAAAGCACTGCTGAATGGAGCAGCAGGCGAGACAGGATTCTCCCTGGCTGGCCGGGAATTGAACCGTTGCAGTAGAGGCTTCATAGCACTGCGCTCAACCCACTGCGCCACCTGGGAGGCCCAAGATTATACTTCAATGGAAAAAAAAATCCAGGAGAAAAGACCCAAATACTGCCAGATAATAGGATATATGCTCATTCTGCCTCGAAAAAAGAAAAAGGGCAGAAAATACAGTTTTTTTTCCTCTCTTAAATGGCATAACACACCTTTTTTAAAAAAAAGATTTTTATTTATTTATTTATTTATACAAGAGCCGGGGTACAGGCCAGATTCACAGGAGGGTGAGAGGATTCACCAGAGACAGAGTGGGGAACAGAACAGGCAGACTGGCTGAAATACACTGCTGAGGGGAGCAGCAGGTGCAACAGGAGAGGAGAGGTCTGCCACGTCATGTGGGACCCTCGCCAGCCGGCCAGGATTGAACCGGTGCTGCAGAGGCTGCGACAGCTTCACAGTGCTACGTTCAACCACCTGCACCACGAGGGGAGGCTCCATACCTAATCATGTTAATTAGGTTTCTTTTGGTCAAACAAATGACAAAAATCAATTAGGCTACCCCAACTTAGGCAAACATAAATGACTAAAAACCAAAAACCGGGCCTCCCAGGGGTTAAGATGCAACCTACGAGGCTGTCCACAGCCACTGCAGCACGAGTTCGATGCCCAGCCAGGGAGCTGCCCACATGGCTCACCCGCTGCTCCCCTCAGCAGTGTATTTCAGTCAATCTGCCCGTTCTGTTCCCCACTCTGTCTCTGGTGAATCCTCTCACCATTCCACACTTCTGGCCTGTACCCCAGTTCTTGTATGCATAAATAAATAAATCTTAAAAAAAAAAAAAAACACAAAACCTCAGAAATAAAAAATAAGAAAAATACCACAACAAATATTAGATATACTTAGATGCTACTAACATTTTGGAACAGATCATTCAGTGTTGGCTGAGGGTGGCATCTATCCTCTACCCACTACAGGCAACTGGTACCAACATGACAAGTCTCCATATAATTTTTCAAATATATCTTGGAGGCAACTCTGCTTCCCACACTGAGAATCATTTCATTACTTGACCCTTTACCAGAATTTAGACAATCCAAAAAAAAAAACCAAAACAAAACAAAACAAGACATCTAGAGTATTATTTTAACAAATTTTCAAAAGAATCGCTTTTGTGAATAATCAGTTTAAGACCGAAAACAACTGCAAAAACAAGAGTTTACCTGGTTCTATAGCAGCAGAAATTAGGGACTGTGCTTCTCGTACTCTCTTCATGGCTTCCTCTATTTCTTTACTAGAGGTATCTGATTTCAGGCTTGGTGAAACAAGACCAGCAGCTACATGATTCAACCTGAAACAGAAGCAAGAATTGAGATCTAAAATATTTTAAGAATATGCAAAACATGTAAAATAAGTAAAACATCATTTTAGTAAGTTACTTGTTGGAGGGAAAAAAGGGAGGCTGCCATAATCTTCGTAAACAATACAGAGTACAATATCAATTAAACCATCCTATGAACTTACTATCAAATAGGAAAAAACTTCAGTTATAGCACGAAGGGAACTTCTAAAAGCACCTAAAAGATGATGTTGGCTAGTATGTCACACACACACAGTACTTACTACTTTGCTATGAGATAGTGTTTCCTCACTTTGCCTTCCTAACTCCCTTCATCCTTTAGGGCTTAGTCTCTGATCTTCTTCTAAACTCTCCTCCTCTCAATTAATTCCCAAAGCAGCCCTCTCCTTCCTCTAGTTACTTTATTATGTTTAGCAACATCGCTCTTCCTTTCAGAGCATAAATGCTATGAAAGTAAATGTTTGTAATAAGCACTCAGCACATATTTTTTTAAATGAATCAACTAAAGATAACATTCATCTCTTTCACTGTCATCCTGGCATGAGCTATTGTCAGTTATTTCAAAAGACTCAAATTACATAAAAACAAAACCTTTTACAAATGGGCTGACCTCTGGATTTTTCTCATTTTAGAAAACAGAATTACATATTGCATGCCTTGGGATAACTTTTAGCTAACACAAAAAACCCAACTGCTTTCTAAACATTCACACACACACACAATTGGTAAGGAAAAAAACCCTTACTTGGGATCAACAGTACTCATAAGCTTCAGCAACTGATCTGCAGCAAGAGACTACAAAAACAAAAATACGAGTGAGCACACATAAGACAATGATTATATTTCATTTTGGGTTATGCTGAATGTATTGAGACAATCTGGCAAACCTACAAAAAGTACAATATTCTTGGCACAACAATGACCAATAGAAATATAATGCCAACCAAACACACTGTATTAATTTTTCTGGCAGCCACATAGGAAAACAAAAACAGGTGACGTAAGTGACTATAGTATTAGAAATCTAGAGCTACTTTAGCAAGTCAAACACAAAGATAATAGTTACATAGTCCAGATTTTAAAGAAACTTATCTCTTGCTTACTTTAAGATGTTCTGAGAAAGTTTTAATCAAAAGATTTCTACAAAGGGCTTCAGATAAAAGTTTAAGCAAATTATAATTTACTGATTGCATGATACGGTATGTATAAGCTTTTTATTAAACTACTTTCTAATTTGAACTATAAAATAAATTCTTTAATGGGTAAAAGGCTAACAATATAGTAACCAAAAATTTCTTTATATTAAATTTGAAATGCAGCCAATGAGATGAATTCTTTAATTAATTATAAAGAGAAGCTCAAAGTGGAAGGATGTTAGGTTATACCTGAGAATTCAAGTTTGCTCCAGGAAGCCCAAGTGCGGCAAGGGCAGGATCAAGAGTAGGGGCTCCCAAAGCAGCCAATGGAACAGCGCCAATCTGTGAAATTTCAAATTTTATTTAAAGTTTCATTTTTGTTCCTTCTATCAAAGGGTTAATTTTTCCCCCCTCTAAAGGTCCAAATAAGTTTAAGTCTACCGGCTATGTGAACTGTTGCAACTACTTAACTATGCCACTTCAAGCCTGTCAATAGTAACACAAAATGGGCATTGTTAAGTGTTCTAATAAAAATATAAAAACACAGGGGTCTGCCCAAGGGTTATAGTTTGCTTTGCTTCCCACACATTATAGCACATTTACTTCAAAAATTAGATTTAGAAAAAACACAAAAATTTTATTTTCTTGGGCTAATAACATTGCTTCTTTAAAAATGCTTATTGGGAAATGTTTGGTTTATGTTTTATGAGTAAAGGCTCTCATTTCTACAAATGCCTTGTCTATTATATCATACCACCACCAAAGTGCCCTTCATCCTTCACCAGTTCACTGGGCTCCCTGTCATCCCAACTCCCCACCATCCTCCCCTCCTGGTAGGGAGTATCAGTTCTTAAGTCAGATTTTATGTGTTTGTTTTTGTCTGTTTCTTTAATATTGGTATCTTTGTATTTACTGCTTTTTAGTTCCAAGTTCATTGTTTTTTGCTCTGCTTTGTGATACTAAAGGCAGTAAGTATCCTTAGAGGCACCCTTTAGCAGTTAGCATGATACTAAGTTTCATCTGTAGGGGGAGCTGGGAAGACACTGTGAAAGTCTCTCTTCCTGGTTCCTTTGTCCTCTGATTGCTACTGCAGCTCCATGTAGCCTTTTATTTCTGTTTGTTTCAGTGACATCCTCTCTGCATCTTCCTGAAAAGTTGTGTGGCACCCCAGAAAACTTCTCTGCTATCTGCCCTCTTTTCAAAGGAGGTCTGAATAATAGCCTCAATGAGGAAGAAGAATCCTTTCATCCAATGTGTCTTTTTCCCTAAGTCTTAGAAGTAGTGAGACTGATCTGGATAGCGGCTACTCCTAGATTCCTTAGCATTCCCCTCGTAATTTCCCGTTACTAGTTACCTTAAACTTTTCCTGTTCAAATTACCATGTGGTTTTGTCTTCCTGCCTGACCTAAGCTAGATTAATCTGTAACACAGAGACACAAACCATGCAAAATCCTATGGCTTTAGAGGCAGTCTGAGCGTCTCCACAAGCACTAGGCTAAAATTTAAGTTTCAATTATTTAGCAAATACAGGTACCAAGCTTTCTGTAATTTAACTATATTGAATACTACTACTACTATACAAATCACCATCTTAGTGATTACACAATTTTATACATCAATGCCTCATTTTATAGATTAACAACAACAAATCTAGGAGTTAAGGGATAATCAAAGTTATACTCAAAATGCTAAGAATACCTGATCTAGTTCTCATTGCATAATACTATACTACACATTCACTTAACAGGTAACTGAGCAAACGATATAACAGAAAGAATGCTGTCAAAAAGTTCTAGCTGAAGGCTCATCGTTCACGATCACGTGTGAAACCAACAACCAGTTGTAATCTCTTTGAATGGTTATATTACGTGACATTTACAGACCCATAAAAAAAGCTATAGGCTTTTTATAGCATTATTAAGGTAAAAACATCCAGTAAAAACTTTCTCCAGTTTTACTTCAGTCCCCTCATATCAACCATCTCTATTGAGGATTTGTTATTTCAAATCACCTATTTAATTCAAACCCCAAGATAAGAGCAGAAGATGAAAGGGGAATGAGAAAGAAAAAAAGAAGTCTGAATTTTTATTCTCCTCCTGATTCAAATGAGCACCCAGTTTTTAAAGTATGTTCACCAGAAGTTTATGTTTCATGAGATTTCATTCACATAGTTACTACCTATGGGTTGTTTTGAGAGAAAGTGGCAAATCGATGTAACAGATTCGATTTGCAGAACGTTCTTGAAAAGTGTATTTCCAAGAGAATCCCTTTCGTATTAGTGACTATAATATAAACCTTTAACAATATTGTGCACAGGTAATAATGCTCTGTGAACTACAATTACAACACCATTTTAAAAACTCAAATGTTTAGTTTTATACACAATTCTGCATTCCTCCGCATTTTAAGAGTCTAACAGAATACCTGGGTAAGTGGGTTAGGGGTAGGCAGGAGTCCACCACCAGGCAGAAGACCTGCCACTGCATTAGCTGGTGCCAACAGAGACAATGCCTTAGTCTCATCAGGAATAACTCCTGCAGAGAAATATCCACGCATTAGAACACACTCTTTTGTAAGACAGAAAACACACAAAAACACCCAGAAAATGTCTCCCTGATACACCACCTGAGTTTGTTGAAAGTACTTATGTTCGCCAAAATATAAGGTTTGATTTCTATGATTTATCATTAATTTTATGTCAGAAAGTTCAATGTGTGAAAATTTGTTTCCTTTTCTCTACAAATGGTTAAGTTTCTAGAGTAAAAAAAAATAGCACAATACACACTACTTTTTTGTTAACACTGCCAAGATTTCATCACCTGTACTCGATTTTTAAGTCATGAACCAAACGTAAGCAAGCACAGTCGGTTCTCCAGGGGTGTGCTCTCAACTTTCAAAAGCTGTTTTATGAACAACGACTCGTGTCGGCTGCTTCACTATAAAGCACACAGAAAAATCAAGATACACAAGACAAAAAAAGTTTGATTTAGGGGTTAATAATATGGTACAGTTACTATGATTTTTTTTTTTACACCTACCATACAAATTTTGTAAAAATTAAGAGAAGAAAAGTATGTAAAGGAAATATTCTGTTGGAATCAAGCGTAGGGCTTTTGCTGACTCATGAAAATGAATATGAATGTTTCTGAAGGTCTCTGAATACACACAGGATGTGTGTGTGGGAGTGAGAGAGAAAGAGAGAGAGAGAATAGGTAAAACAACATGGCACATTCCTTACCTGTACAGTAAAATGCTTTACGTTCCAACATGTGCCATGCTAACCATACCAAAAAAGGCTGCTATACAGTGTCAGTTCGAAAGCTAACTGAGCCAAACTCCTAATGCCAAGAATGACATGTATGTCTGTTTTTAAAGCCTAATCTGTGTATTCAGATAAAATCTAAGGGTCCTAAGACAAATATTCATGTAGACAATTTAAATTCTATCCAACAGCAAAAGCCCTATACAGATGGATTAATCTGTTAATGTGCCCAAGCCCCCAAAATGAGAGTTCAATAATACAATAAAACTACATATTTGCAAATACCAGTAGTATTTCTGTAATACATATTAAGAAACTGCATCTCATCATAAAACATACAATATGTACAGGGCACTTAAGAGAAACTGGATAAGCTGCAGAAGAAAACTGTTGGGTGGTATTTTCAGCAGGGCCTGGTATATAGTTCAGGCTGAACCAGGGAAAAGAACTGTAAAACACAACAACAAAAAAGAAAAACCACTGTTAAATAAAGGTAATGGTTCCTTCCACCTATACTGAGAAGTGCCGATAATATAAACAAATGTATACTACACAGCACTGTTATCTTGCTTGTGTCAGAGCTGTCATCAATTTAGATACCAAGAGTTATGGAGGGAGGGAGAAGATCATTTAGATATAGGGCATTAATGCATCAATATTAACAAACCTACAGAGATTATGGGATAATTTGCATGCAAAATTATATCTCAAGAGGATAATATTAAGTATCAACATCTTACTCAAATTAGTGCATTTGCAACATAACTGGCAAACTAAAATCCTCTTGAATTTATTGTGAGACACCTGATAGAAGATCTGCATCCATTAAAAAAAAGTCATGCATCTGATCCTCTGATTAAAAAAAGACTATTTAAAAATAAAACTACAATTTAAAAATAGCAATGAGGCCCCTCACCAGTTAATTTTCATGCGTCAAGAGTATTTTTTTTACTGCTGCTTTGATAGAACCATGAAATACTGCATGAATGTGTAGAAATGAAAGAAAAAGAAACAGACAAAAGAAACAAACATTAACCAAGGAACCTAAATAACCCCCAGATCCATTACTATTAAGAGTTCCTTCCAAATCCAGCTAAGTTTTAGCAATTAAGACTATTCCTTACCGTAAACTTTGTGTCTATTGTTCTAAAACACTGACCAAGAGCCAACACCAAAGTGTGAAAGCTAAAACCAGGGTGAATGGTGCCAAAGGGATTGAATACCCCAGTTATTTAGTGGAAATAACATTAATACAGCATACCATACTAGCAGTCAAATACACTAAAAACAAACTTTGGGACTAATATCTTGTAATTCTGTCTATAAAAAACTCCCAAATATTTCACTTCCAAAACAGACCCAAAAAATTACCATGGTCTAAAAATAGTTATGAAATCCAGTTATATGATATACTGTATTATGTTCAGGGTCTGGGAACTATATTATTACTTAGGCAATAAGAATTCTTTTAAGTTAAAAACTAGTTAAATGTTTTGCATATTACTCACATGATTTGACCCCTTTTCCAAACACTATCATCTATTTTACGATAGTATCCTAAATCTGAATTCTGAAAATTTTCTCTTGGTGATAAAATCTTATTGTACAACAGGCACACTGACATAAAAGAAATTGCTTAACCAAAACACACTAACTCAAAAGTTCATCAGCATATATACACACATATATATATTTTAAAAAACAAATTTGGGCTCATACTTTAATTCATGAGATAAACGTACTGTTATATAACATGCCTTAACCCATCTATGGATGCACTTCAATTTCTTTTGAAAACCACAAAATTAATTATTTTGAGTTTTATGGACTAGACATTTCACAACGTTTACAAGGTATAGTGTAAATGTTCACATTGGTATTCAAAGATCTAAGAGAGCATGTAAAATCAACAATACCGAGATTGTTTCCACTGACCAATTCATTAAGGAAAGGGTGAAGCATTTAAATCCTGGTCAGCATATATGTCAAATTGTAACTTAAATCCAGTAATTCTATCATATTTCAGTGATTTCTTTGATTAAAATTTATAATTACCAAAAAGCAAATAAAGTAGCAGTACAATGGGAACAAACTAATTATAAAATATGCCTTAGAAAATTACAAAATGGAATTAAAATAGTGCTGTCTTGCTTGTCACAGTGGCTTTTTTAGATCCCCAAACCCTGCTCATTATTTACTTTAACAGCCTAAAATGTAAAAAGAGAAAATGTAGTTAACAAATGGTTACACCAGGAAAACACTTGGGGGACTTGAGTGCTTGCTGGCCTTTAGTTAATGTCTAGAATCCCCTGTAGCTGCAGAGGACCCACTGTTTTTCAGTCATCTGGAAGAGTTTTGCATTTGCCTTCTCCACTACAAAAATCACACACACAAATAACAGAGAGAAGAATTTATTATTTAGAGATATTCTAGAAAATATAGCAAGAATGAACAAGAAAATCTGGCATAAAAAACAAAACACCCAGTGCCCATCTGGCACCTAAACTACAGGAAATCTTGAACTTCATAAAAACCAAAACCATTGCAAACCCTTGGTATACTGGAATTCAATGTGGGCTTTTTTTTTTTTTTTTTTTTTAAAGTTACCAGTGAGTGGAAGCACTAAGGAAACAGAACTAACCTAGTTACTTATCCAAAGAAAGATATAAAATCATGCATTTATTTTAAAATTTCTAGTATTTGTGCATGGAGTAAACCATTCACCTTCAAGGACTTTTTCAATAAAACTCAACATTAAATTAGCTAAGTAACTAAGTAGATGTCTTAAGGAATTACAAGCAGGGAGATAATTTTATTGAACTTAAAACTTTTAAATTTTAAAAGAATGCAAAAGGCTAAAGTCTTATAAAAACATCCAATTTCTAATTTTTAGAATTAATGTGGACTACAGTATAACAAGGGTTTCAAAATGTTAATAACTTAGATTTTTAACATGCTACTAATGCTCACTCTAAAACTATGCTGAGGTAGATGGTCATCATAGGATGCCCAATAGGTAGTTAAACAAAGCACAAACCTTCTGCATATGGTACGACTATCAAAGCTCTGTCAACGAATACAGTGTTTGTCAGATGCTGTGCCACAACTGCTGAGTCTGGATCATGGAACTTAACAAAGCAGACACGGGATGAAACTGGCAAAGGTGAATCACTAAAAAAAAGCGACAGAGATAAATATCAGCTAAAACACAAATGTATGATTCACAAATCAACATGCACTCAAAACGTGAACTAGGCAGATACAAATACCTAACTGTACATATATTAATAAGTGCAAAAGAAAACAGCATTTTTAATAAAGAACTACCTACTGAACTCAAATACAATTTGCAGAGTTAAAAAAAAAAAAATCACTTTAAAATTACAGTGCCTTGAGTTAAAAACAGTTTGAAACTAAAGCCTCAACTCTGAGCATATCAAAGTGCCAACATTTTCTTCCCATACCATTTATTTTTAAATAAAGGTTACAAGTTCTGGCTTAGAAAACTTTTCAGGTGAAATTTTCCACTTTGGATACAAACAACATTATAGGAAAATACAACTATCTGAATATCATTTAATGAGTTTTCCTGACCTGCCTACTAAATGTTTTATGTTGTACATGTAAGAACTTTTAGGTATTACAAATAATTCAGGCTTTCTGGCTTAGGTAACTTTCAGGAAAAAAAAAAATCTCTTAAGCACACAGGGAAATAGTACCTTACCCCGAGGCCCCAGAACTACTGTGCAATATTTCAGTAAGTCAGAGTCACTTCCTTTAGTGAAATGACTTCTCAGTAAAATGAAACAAATGCTAAAATGCCAAGTTATGGCAACAGAGGCTAGATTACATAGGAAGCAACAGCTTTTCTTTTTTTCTTCTATAAGGTGGTTCAAATTTCTGCCATGAGATCACTCTGTGAGGAAGAGATTTAATAAAGCATGGGCTGCTCCCTAGCCCCAGGTTACTTGATAACCAGTTCCCTAAGGTAGCAGTAATCACACTATCCCCAGTTAAACATGAGGATCTTTTTGGAGGGAAAAATAAAATCCATGCTCTTTAGTTCACATCAATTAAATCAAGATCTCTGATGAATTGAGTGCCTTCTTTAATTTTTCCAGACAGTTTTAATATGCACAAAGAACCAGGATTTATCTTAAGAAGTCAATGACAGGGCCTCCCCGGTGGCGCAGCGGTTGAGCGCTGGGTTGCGAAGCTGCCCGCGGCCTCTGTGGCGCTGGTTCGATCCCCGGCTGCTTCCTGGCCACCGGAGGAGGGTCCCACATGGCGTGCAAACCTCTCCTGCCGCCCGCTGCTCCCCTCAGCAGTGTACTTCGGTCCTTCTGCCTGCTCTGCTCCCCACTCTGGCTCTGGTGAATTCTCTCACCCTCCCGCGCTTCTGACTGTACCCAGTGCATGTATAAACAAAACAAACAAACAAATAAAATAAATAAATAAAGCATGCCTCTATTAAAAAAAAAAAAAAAAAAAAAGAAGTCAATGACATCCTAAGACTCAATAAAAAGGGAAATCCTGTAATATTTGAATGTTATTAAAACAGAGCTTATTTTTAATTTTTTATTGAAAGAGATATCCATGTGGTAATTATACCATATTTGGCTACATCAGGTATTTCAGAGATTAAGTACTGTGTGGTTTAAAGGTTTTTTTTTTTTTTTAAATGATTTGACACTAACAAGAAATAAAAACTCATAATTTGAGGACTAATATGAAAACTCAAACTCATTATAACTTCTAAATGTAAATTCCATAAAGGCATTACCCATACTAAGCAGAACCTAACCTTGATTTAAAGCAAAACTGACAATATCCAAAGGTATTTAAGCCATCTTTAAGGTATTTTAGACAGTTACCTGTAAAAGTTTTGGAAAGGATACATTATTTATTTTTAAAGAATTTTTTCTTTTTTAAAGATTTATTTATACAAGCACCGGGTACAGTCAGAAGCACCCGAGGGTGAGAGAATTCACCAGAGCCAGAGCGGAGAGCAGAACAGGCAGACTGACGAAGTACACTCCTGAGGGGAGCAGCGGGCGCGGCAGGAGAGGTCTGCGCACCATGTGGGACCCTAGCCGGAGGGATCAAACTGGCGGCTGCAGAGGCTGTGGGCAGCTTTGCAGCCTAGCGCTCAACCGCTGCACCACGGGAGAGGCCCAGGATACATTATTTTTAAATGTGAAAATTTACTGATAAAATCTAACAAGGTTGCAGCCAAAGTAGTGTAAAGAATGTCATTTTAGCAGTTGTAGGGCTAAAGCATCTATTTCTTGTTCTGACATCCATATTTTTACCACTAAATTGAAAAATTCTTTAAATGCTATCATTTGTTCCTAACAACTAACACAGTGCCTTGGGAAACAGTAGCAACAACATTTCATATACAATGACCTTTTCATTTCTTTGCTATCATTTACTGTCATCTGAATAAAAGGGGGGGGAACCCTATCAAATATGAGGTCCTTAAAGATTATAAATAGTTCTTTAAAAATTACAAAGTGCCGGGCCTCCCCGGCGGCGCAGCGGTTGAGCACTGGGTTGCGAAGCTGCCCACAGCCTCTGCAGCACCGGTTCAATCCCTGGCTGCTCCCCGGTCACCGGAGGAGGGTCCCAGATGGTGCGCAGACCTCTCCTGCCGCCCGCTGCTCCCCTCAGCAGTGTACTTCGGTCCTTCTGCCTGCTCTGCTCCCCGCTCTGGTAAGTTCGCTCGCTCACCCTCCCACACTTCTGACTGTACCCAGTGCTTGTATAAATAAATAAATAAATTAATTAAAAAAAATTACAAAGTGCCACCTACAACTTCACAAAGCTTTTCCATTTACTGGCAACTTTTAAATGATTCATTTTTTTCCCCTACCCACTCATGTCATAATACTGGTATAATTTGGCTATAGCAAACCTGTTAAGAGTTGGTAAGGATTAAAAAAAAAAAGAGTTGGTAAGGATAAAATAAGATTTACTTAAATACCATAATTTAAATACCATGGAAAAGACAGGGACAGTTAAAGACAAGTTTAAGGGCAAATAATTTATCTCTCCTGACTTCAAATGGCCTTGTTTAAGGGTTTAAAGTCATAGCTATTTGGTCCCACAATTGTATTCTCAAGGCCAGTGTTAAAATTTATTAATGAAAGACACACGGCTAAATAGTATGTGCAAATGCCACTTCTGAAAATATGATTATTTCACTTCTTATCTTTAAGAATATGATGAGGCAGAGCAATAGAATTGTGGAACAATATAGGGGAAAAGTGAGCTCCATAGGAAGCTTTTGCCCTTCACCTCAGAATGGTGGTACCATTTCTAATATTTCTTTGTTTCCTCTAAGGGTTGTTTCAGAATCTTCTGGTATGTACATAGAAAACTCACGATTTCAATGTTTCATTTCAAGCCCAAAGAATTTGAGACTCCCTTTTAAAGGGGGGGGCTCTGATTCTTAACAAGATCCTCAACTGATATCTGTGCTCATGAAAGGAAGTACGCGAACTTCTGGTTTAGGCCACTGACAAATCTCTGAAGCTGCCCCCTGCCCCATTAACAAGTGTGTAACAAACGTGAACATTCATCTGAAAACTTGACTCTCTTGATCTCACATGCCCTCTTCTCATTATGTTCCTTTTCAGTTCTGAAGTAAAGTAAAATGCTGCATATATTTAAAACAAAAATTTTTAAGGCAAACTAAGTTCTTTCCCTTACCTAACTATACCGAGTTCCTCATAATTATATGATCATCAAAGTATTTTTGGTCACTAAAAAGCTACTTATGATTTTAAACTTATCTGTAGTGTTTCAGTAGCTGCGAAGCAGTGCATAACTTTGACATATGCTTTCACTGGGGTCTTCATCTAATTCACACCTCCAGTTATAGTCTCTACTCTGAAATCCCATGAAAACCAAACATTTGAAGAATATCAACAATCAGTATGAAAGAATGAAACCACTCACAAGTTGCTTGGCTAAATCAAGGAATTCCTGATCCAGTGGCAAAGAAAAAAATCACAACATTGAGTTTTGATACTTACAGAGTGGCTAGGGTATATAAAACAACCTATGTGAATTTCAGCCCACTCAAGGACAAAGCATGATAAAACATACTTAGCATAAAATAGACACTTAGACAATACTGAATTTCAAACACGCATTTTAGGGAAAACAGACTCAAAGTAACTTTAAAAAAACTGCATTGGATAGATGTTTTTTAATAACTATAGAAGAAGTGAAGGGTTAGAATACTGTTCAGTGTGAAGACAACAGTGTATCACTGGATGAAATCACAGGTCAGCATTTTCTGTTGCTTAAAAGGAACCAAGATATAAACAGATTTTCAATAATCAAATAAAGGAAATCTTCTCTAAGAGTCTGTCTGACAAAATCTGTGTGAAACGTCTGATATAATCCCAGGATCCTCCCTCCTCTACAGGCACTTAAAACTGAATTTAGAATTTCAGTAGGTGTGGGCTAATGTACACTCCCACGTACTTAAAAAATGTGCCCTAGGTGATGAGGATGTCCTCAAGGGCTCTCTATTCTAGAGGGGCCGTAAGCTAAACTTAACCTGTCAGTGGGTAATAGGTGCTATAGAAAAACAATAGGTAAACAGAACAGAGAAGGCAAAGAACAAGGGTATTTTTACATATTATAATCAGGGACTACTCTGATTTGACATTTGAGCAATCTAAGAAAGCAGGCACATCAGGGGACTATCTAGGGGAAAAGAACTCCAGCACACCATAAAAAATGACTAGACAAGTATGTTTATGCTAGACAATTATATAATCTAAAACCCCATGGCCAGTTATCCCTAATAAGTCTACTGCTGCATACTGCAGTGTGTTTAAATTGACAATAAAGAATTCTCAAGAGTAAAAACTCAGTATCAAATTATAATAGGCATCTATATAAGTACTATTGAAATTAGGAAGCCCAGTAAAATTATAAGATTAACTATACTGTAATCTTGTATAGCTTTTGATAAGAAAAATGATATGTATGTGAGAACATACAGGAAGGAGTCAAAAGAGCAAAAGTGTGTCAATATTTAGCCTCTTTTCCCAACACAATATTTATCCTCTTTTCCCTTAATGCACAGAACCCTACATAACGTTATCTGGTGGACATCATTTATGATAGAACTTTCCCTTTGATTACAAAGCTAAAAATGCCAGATTTGCTCCATTATGACTCCCTCTAAGAAGGTACTACTTGCACACTGAGTAAATGAGGAAGTAAACTGCCTATACTTCTCTGTCAACTTTTTATAAATGCATCATAAAAAGAACATTTTAAAAGAATAAGCAAAAACATTTTAAAGCTAGCAACTATAAAAGAATAGATACTAGTGTTTCTGCAAAACACTAAATTATTGTCTAAATAAATCCAGAATCTCACGATAACAAAAAGTCACTCTGATTTTCTGCCATTTTACGGTTAATTCCACAAACAACTTAACAGGATGTTGTGAGAAAATTGAATAACAGCAGTCTATTACATTCATACTATGAAAGCTATTTATTCTTCATTGTCAAAATCAAATTTCTGTTGAAAATAGCTACAACAAACATGTGCTCCAAAAATCCTACATTTTTTACACAAGCATCTGAAAATATTTTCAGACTGTGATAAAATATGGTCAAACTTAATACCTCATTATGATCAACTGAACAGAAATGTACATAGATTAATGATTTATTACACACATCACAACAGTAGATTCCTTGAGCATTCCAATTTCCTGTTTAGCACTCACGTGATGTCATAAAACTCAAAACATACTATGGGTACTGAGTATTTTCCGAAATTACATGTGAATTTTCACTTTCACCAGTCTTCCCAAAGAGCACAGGGTTGTTTTATTTCAAATGTTTGTTCTAATATTTATTACACCTTACCTTACTGAATAGCCACTTTATTTTTTCCTTATAATTAATTCACTCATTTTACACTTTTGCAATAAAGAATGTAAGATAAAAAAAAAATACACTCCAAGTGAAATATTTAACATCCTGTCAAATTTAACATCCTGTCTCAAAACCCTAGGTTTCAGTTCTATTCCATTTTTATCATTATAGAAGCTAAGTATTCACGCTCGTTAACTAAGCGGTCAAAAAGTGTATTAGTCCTGAACGATACCCGTGAAGCCAGAATCGCCACCACTGCTTAGCAGCGAGTGCACAGCCAGAGCTCAACATCAGACACAGGAATGAATTATTTTGTTGTTTTTCGAGGAAGGCAAACACTTGATAGTCTTAAAGAAACAGCTTACACACAAAGCACATAAAGTGCAGCTTGCTCTGCTTTAAGAGACCCAAAAAGAACGACCACGTTGGCGCAATCGAGGAGGGAAAAGCCCTGGGTCCGCGACGCCGAGGCCGCGGCGCGGGCCCCGGGGCAGGGCGCGCGGGGCCCGGCGCAGGCCGAGGCCGGGAGAAGTTAGCGCGGCGGCGATGGTGGCCGATACTCACTCCGGCGGGAAGAGGCGCAGCTCGTCGATCTTGCCCAGGAACCCGAAGAGGGTCCGCATCTGCTCGGAGCTGGCGCTCGGGGAGACGTTGGTCACCTGGATTACCTCGGTGCCGCCGCCGCCGCCGCCGCCGCCGCCGCCGGGCCCGCCGCTGGGGCCCGGGCCTGCGGTGCTGGGGACGACGGTGGTGTTGCTCATGGCGCTGCTCGGGCTCTCGCTCCTGCTTTAACACATCAAACACACAACAAACAGTGAGAGGGAGGGGGGAGGAACCGGTTCGCCGGAGGGGAGACGGGAGGGTCCGCTGCTACAGCCGCTGCCGCCACAGCCGCTGCGCCGCCGCCGCCGCCGCTTCTCCGCCCCGCCGCTCGCCGGGGGGAGGCAGGAGCGCGCGCCGGAGAGCACGAGAAAACAAACGGCCGCCCCCGCCTCGCCTCCAACCACCTAAATCGCGGGCCCGAGCTGCCCACAATGCCTTGCGGCGCACGGGCGCGTCACCGTTGGCTCCACCCCGCGCAGGCTCAGCAGGAGCCGCCTGCAGCCAGAGAGACGCTGGAGGGGCCGGCGGCGGAAGGCGTCCCTGGGCTGGCTGTTTTCGCGTTTTGTAGAAGAGACAAGTGGAAGGCATTTACTTTTTTTTTTTTTAAGCAAGCAATAACTTCCTTGCAAAACACTAGACACTTTAGCAACTATTCTTATTAAAAATGCCCACGATCTTTATTTCTTTATACAACGCAAAATCTACAGATATGTCCCGTTACAAATGAAATTTCCACCCAAGCTACGAAGGTTTCCCTCTCCACCACTATTAGTTTTTCTTAATCCTTGGGAGTGCAAACTGGTCCAACCACTACGGAAAGCTGTGTGGGGATTCCTCAACCTGCTAAAGATGGAGTTACCATACGACCCGGCAATTCCACTAGTAGGCATCTACCCAAAGGACACAAAAACATTGATTCTAAAGAACACCTGTACACCTATGTTTATTGCAGCACTATTTACAATAGGTAAAACCTGGAAACAACCCAAATGCCCAAAAATAGATGACTGGATCAAGAAGATGTGGTACATATACACAATGGAATATTATTCAGAAATCAAAAAAGATAAACTCATGCCATTCACAGCAACATGGATGGAGCTAGAAGGAATTATGCTCAGTGAAATAAGCCAGAAGGAAAAAGAAAACTATGGGATGGTTTCACTTATAGCAGGAACATAGGGGAACCAAATAAGACATTAATGCAATAAAAATAATACCAATCACAACAAAGCAAAAACAGACAATTATAAATCAGAGACATCCTGCAGGGGAGGAGGAGGGAGAGGGATCAGAGGGAGGGAGGGAGGAGCACAGGACTGAGGTGATGGTGCACTGGTGCATTAGGGAAGGAAACTCTATGGGGACTACACCTGAGGGGGTGGGGGGAAGCAAATATTGTTTAAAAATGAACAATGATGTAAAAAATGAAAAGAATAATAAAAAATAAAAATTTTTCTTAATCTTTACAGCGCTTACATTTTTGTAACATTAAATTTGTAACAATCTGATTTGTCACTAAAACCTTCATAACAGATACAATGTTACACTTGCTAGGGCCTTACAAACATTTTATTTCACAAGTTGACATTTTAAAATGTGAAGACTTGCACAAATAAGCCTAATGACAGTGTCCTTTACCAAGCGAAATTGACACAATTTTGCGACTTTTATCTAGCAACAGATCTTTTAGCAATTAAGCAGCTTTCTATCAAATAGATTTTGAAAACTGGAAAGGCAATGTACAAATTTTTGTATTTTTGATGCCCAACAAAATTACACAAAGTCAGCATTTGGCAAAAACTTACTGAGTATGAGCTTTATGCCAAAAATATTACAATGCTTCACCTAATCTGCTCAACAAAGGGTTAGTGAGTGAAGCTAGGAGTGCATTTTTGAGATTTACAGAGAAATTTGGACTTGATAAACTCTGAGTGTATTTTGCTATAATTTCCCCCCTATAGTTACAGAATGAAATCTACAAAATGAAATGCTTATAAATCTGTAACTTTAAAAAAATTTATCTGTAGACCTATTTTATACTCTTCATTCTACAACTTAAATAACTATATTTCTAATTTTATAGATTAGAGAATTCTATAAATATTATCTATTTTAAAATCAAAATGGTAAACCCCTCACTCCCTTTTCCTTGGCTCCATCTAAATAAATGAAAGGGAAATGCTAAAAGATGAACTAGCATTAGGAGCGGAATAGATGAAAGGACCACAAACACACATTCTAGAGCAGAAAAAGTCTACTTGTTTCCATACACTTGTTTTGTTTAATTTACATAGTTTATCAATAGAGGGGATTCTATACTTACATTTAAAAATTGATAGCACAGGATTTGAACAGCTTGAAATTGTGGGCAAAAACCTGGATGTGCTTTTTTTCAAAGCTTGGTATTTACAATCAACACAGGAAAAAAGTAGTAGTTTTGAGTTATTGCTGCCTCTATCCATATAAACAATATACTGTATTTAGCTGTATTGAATATACGTAGCTTTAAAAATCACAATTTATTTAGCTTTTTGAATTAAATGGGGCCAACAAAATATTTAGATGGGGAAGCTTTGGGGACTGGCTTAGCTACCATGACTACCCACTGTTACATATGATCCTTTTGGATTCTCAATTGAGAAAAGGCCATTTGAAGAAATATTTCACAATCCTAAAAAACAAAAACATGTATCTTTACTCTTAAGTAGTTTCAAGCACTTTAATAGTAGTTTTCCCTAACCAAGGAATTAGATATTTGCACCATTTGAGCTCTTTCCTATGCTGTAAAATTAACTTTCTCTTTACAAAGGGAAAGTATTTCTGAAGTCATAAAACTGGCATAAATTAAACTCAACTTAGTAATATGAGGACGTACATTATCTGAATGCTTTGGTAATATCCTTTAATCCTCACAAAACTTGAAAGGTGTTGCAATGATTAAGAATGCAGCCCTGGAGTCAGAAGGGGATTTCTCACCAATTAAGATAATGATGAACTTTGACTCATTCCTTTGTGCTTCAATTTCCTCACCTGAAAAAATGGAGAGAATAATAATGCTCACCTCACTAGTTTGCTTTGAAGATGAAGTGAGAATATTAATATAAATGCTTGGAAAATATAAATATTAGCTACTATTAATATCCCTATTCTATAAATTAAAAAATTTTCATTTTAAAAAATGACTGGTTACCTCAATTGGCTCCATTTCCTAATGTCACTACTTTAGGCTGGCAGCTTGTTTTAATTCTACTCTATCATTCACATGACAGATAGGAGTCAAAAGAATCAGTTTACATAGTGAGAAGAGTTTTTTATTTGAGATTCCACATTTTAACATAGGTTTTTTTGTGTGGCCTATTTAACTTATTATTAAGTAATAAATGCACGTGCTAAATATTCAAATTATAAGTATGAAGAAGTTCCTTATTCTACTCCACTATGTATCTTCTCTACCACTGTAATAGGTGCTGCCTCTGATTGGCCTTGCAAGCCCCAATTACCTTATGTGAAAATAAGGGTAATGATACCATTTATACTTTCAAAGATTAGAAATATGGATATGAAGCACCTAGCACAGTACCCAGCACACAGGAACTTGCGCCATTAAAGAAAGTTAGCTTTCAACTTCATCTTTTCAATGGCTGAGTAACAACATTCTGTCTCACCTTAGAGTATTACTGTCAAATGTGAAAATATTTTGTAATCTCTTAAGTGGCAGTAAACATATGAAATATTATTATTAGGTGCCCCTTCTCCTTTAAGAATGTGCTGCGGGCCTCCCCGGTGGCGCAGCGGTTAAGCGCTGGGCTGCGAAGCTGCCCGCGGCCTCTGCGGCGCCGGTTCGATCCCCGGCTGCTCCCCGGCCACCAGAGGAGGGTCCCACATGGCGTGCAGACCTCTCCTGCCGCCCGCTGCTCCCCTCAGCAGTGTACTTCGGTCCTTCTGCCTGCTCTGCTCCCCGCTCTGGCTCTGGTGAATTCTCTCACCCTCCCGCGCTTCTGACTGTACCCAGTGCATGTATAAACAAAACAAACAAACAAACCAGCAAACAAATAAATAAAGCATGCCTCTATAAAAAAAAAAAAAAAAAAAAAAAAGAATGTGCTGCAATGGACACCAACAGATCTCAAATTTTCATGTTTAGTTTGATCCTAAAGTAGCGCTTTATCAATGGCACACATAGATGCAAAAGGGTCAGCATCTCTAAAATGAAAGGGAATCAAAGCTGTATTAAGGATACACAGGTTTAGGGATGAGTGCACAACATGGACATCTGGAAAGATGAAAAGTAAAGCTGACTTCACAGGTTAGCATTTTAGAGACCAAGTATTTCAGTACTTCAACATTCCAATGATGGCGCCTTTCAAATTATTGAAGTGCATTTAACAGTGATTTTTAAATGATGGGAAGAAAAAGCTGGATAGTTTGTAGGTATCCTGAAAATTAAATTAGCATTTATCTTAAATGCAACTGTGAGTATAAGTATCTTATTTTGAAATTTGAGGTTTTTAACTAAAAATCTCTTGATTGTGACTGTAAACAAATTATCAAATTATCCATTTTCCTCCTCACTCCGTTGTCACTTTAAGTTGATATTGTATCTCCTCTTATGAACGTTTGTGGGGAGCTTTGCTCATACAACAATATTTGCCATGTATAATCATTCAATGTCTGTCTGTCTGTCTGTCTGTCTCTCTCTCTCTCTCTCTCACATTCTCTTTCTCACATTAAGCAAACGAAGCCGCAAACCAAATCCAACAGTACTAAATTGTTGGCACAGGGTGACACAGTCACACTTTAAAATAGTGAATTTTGATTAAAATTAAATTTTAGAAAGATGTATTCAGTAGTGGTTTCACATGTGATAACACAACTGAAGACAGAATACTATGAGACACACTCCAAGGTTTGGTGTCATAATTTTACTTCTATTACATTACTACTTTAAAGAAAAAAATCTAATATAATTAATATTACAATTAAGATTTTACACTATAGAAGATATTAATCTTGGGAAAATGAACTATTAAAGGTTAAGATTAAGAATCACTGAAAACAGGGCCTCCCTGGTGGCGCAAGGGGTTAAGCACAGCACTGTGAAACTACCTGCAGCCTTTGCAGCATGAGTTCTATCCCCAGCTGGCCAGGGAGCTACCCACATGGCACAGCACACCTCTCCAGTCTTGCCCGCTGCTCCCTTAGCAGTGTATTTCAGTAGATCTGCCTGTTCTGCTCCTCACTCTGTCTCTGGTGAGTCCTTTCAGCCCCTACCCCCCACACCTCAGGGCCTGTACCCCAGTTCTTGCATGCCCAAAATCTTTTAAAAAAAGAAAAAAAGAATCACTAAAAATAATGGGATACATTTTCAGCTGATTTTAGAACAACCAATAAGTAATATCATAGTGCTTTTTATTTAATGATATAAGCAAGAATCCTATATAGCCACGCTGGTTTCAACTCTTTTTAAATAGGAAGGAAAAAAAAAAAAAAACAAAACACCCAAAAGTAAAACTAAAAGTAATTAGCAGAAAAGTCTATTTGTAGGAGGGAAATAAAAATAATATTTTTTAATAATAGTATTGAAAGTAGAGATTTAAGTTCTTTTGAAAGTAGAGAGAAATATTTGAAATGTTGAATCAAATATTAAGCCTCCTGGAGGAAATTTTATGATTCAAAAGTAAGAGAGAGCAGCTATGTTAACATATAAAGAATACACAAATGTATAATCTAGAAGATACACACTATCTCCATCAGAAAAATTACCACACACAACTCCAGCAACAAATATAATTTGAAAGTATGAATAAAAATGCAAAATATGCACTGCCTTAAATGAAATTAGTAAAGAATATTTTCAACTGACTATTTTTAAAAGTGGCAGTTTTAGGTCTGAATGGAAAACAAATGTGAAACTGCAAGCTGAAATTTTGAAAAGAAACTAAGACCTGTGTAACAAACTTCTTTGAAGTTGAATATTAAAAACAAGTTCTCTATAATTTGCTCTCAATTTTGATATATAAAACAAATTTTTGATAAAGGAACAAATAGAACCTTTTAATAAGCAATGTTACATGTAACAATTCCCAATAATCAATGTTACAAAATGTTCTCAGTATAAAGAACTATATCATAAAATAGCAATTCTCAATAAGGTGATATTCTTAAAGACAAACATACTGACTCAAAGTAAACTAACTCTGTTCTCTCCACAAGAAAATTCTAGAAATATTTGCAAAACAAATTTTCTTTGCTCTTATTTGATGTTTTTAAACATATGTATTAAAAATTTGCACAAATTAATGGCATTTTGTTCATTACAATTTCTCAAATTGCCTCAATAAATACATCTTTTCAACTGTGACTTTCAGCTTTCCAAAGATTTACAGACATGTTTGAAAACGTCTTATTAAATTTTAATGGTAGAGATAAGCCACTTTGTCAAACATTTTATCTTACTACATATAGTAGTCTTCCCATTATGAAACTGAACAGCATTTGTTGGCCAATATGATTCTTAGGTTTGTTTTCTTTCTCATTTAACAATGAAGTTAAGAGAATGAAACCCCCCATTACTTTAACAAAATAAAGATATTAAATCATAACTATATAAATTCTGTAATAATAGGTAGCTATGCCCCTACGACAGCTATGCATCCATTCCACATTAGTAAAGAATATGAAGTACTTTTTTTTTAAAAAAGCAAACACTTTCACTTAAATGTTCATGTTTAACAAGGGTTGGATTTTTTGTAATGCATTCTTCTAGAACAATGTAACTAATACAAAGCACTAATTCCCCAAAATTATATGTAACTCTAGTCTCACAAAGAGAAGCTCACTTCAGGTTGGTAAGCTTTCTATTTCCATCAATTTGAGATAAAATAAGTAATTTTTCCCAGCTGCATCAGGTGATAATTTTAACCTTCCACTTCATTTTCACTTGCTTCCCAGATACTTTACATAGCATACTACAGATCTATACTAATACAATTTTTATGTATTAAGTTTACCACAAGTGTATGGTCACCTGGATTTTTCAGAATTATTTTGCCATTAAACAGGATACACTTCTTATATACAAAATGAAAAAAAATATTTTAACACACTATTATAATTAAAGGTCAATAAGAAAATATTTACTTTCAAATAGAAGCACAACAAAAATTATACCTTGTTTTTTAAGAAATGTTGGACTAAAGAATCTATCATAGAGGGGAGTGATGGCAACTGTAACATTTTATACTTGAGCAATTCATCCTCCAAAGGTAGTAAATCTTATAAAAAAAGGGTTTTTCTTTAATAAATTTTAGAATATAATTGAATTCTTCCTTAAAATGGCTTCAGGATAAAAAAACAGTTGAAAAGAATGAACCAAAATCCACTAGGCAAATCAAACTGATTAACAAGAATGGTTTGGGAGACAAATTTAGGTTCTAATTCCTGGCAATACCACTTACAGAAACGTGTTGCCTTCAGCAAGTGTCTTAATCCCTTTTTGCCTCAATTTCTTTATTTGCAAAAATTCTTTATTTGGTCATTGTGTTAAATAAAAGACAGCAAAAGAAGTGGTATTAGCACTAAGCCTGGCACTTAGTTAAGGACCATGAGGTAACTTAGTAATCATTATTGTCAAGTCATACTAGTCTTCCTGACAGCAGTTCCCTACTCCCACTCCCCACCCCACTATCATTTAGCGACTTTGCAAAAACTGCTATGCTTCTTTTCTTGCTTGGTAGTGTAACTATTGGTACTTTACTGCTGTTCACTTTTAGTGAAGTCCAGAGAATAATGAAGAATCACAGAGAGAGGAAGCTAAAGAGAATTTTACAGGTAGCAAGAATCTGCACTCAGGAAAAAGTGTGTGAGATGCAGAATTTGTCAGAGGGCCATCACCCTACCTTCTAAATATCCTACTGTTGCTCCGTTGAATTGAAACAAGCTTAGGAGGTAATTTCTCGGTTTATGTTTTTGAAAACAAAATCACTTCAGGTCAAAGAACAGCACCCTTGGCAGTACTGGAGAGGAGTGAGTTCTTAATAATTATTTATTGAATGACTCAAAGCTACGACAGAAACGAACTTTCCAGGAAAATCAAGTTATTGAACAAAATTTTCATTTTCTATTCAGAACTCGAGTCCCTTTCCTCTGCAAGAGAAAAATATTAAAAATTTTACCTTTACTTGTTTCAAAACCCTCATGAAACAGGGATTATTATCTCTAATTAAAAAGAAGTGAGCTTGCTTTAAGATAGTGAGCATTCTGCCTCTTACAGTTACAGAGTTTTTAATGTACAGAATCAGCTAGGATTAGAACTCGGATCTCTGGGACTCCAAAATCCAAGCTGGCCTCTCTTCAACCTAAACTAATGCTTCCAAACCGTCCAGCAGACAGAACTTTTATTATTAAGCTTCCCCCCTTCACCCTTCTTTGTTGCCAACCCTTCCGTTTCACACTATCTCATTTGCCAGGCTAGAAACTCAATACAACAACAGGCACGGAGCTCTGATTCTAGGAATCCGAGTGTAGACTTGAAGAAACCAGTGGGCTTCGTTATCGACGCCGGATGGAGACCTCACGCCACCACCAGCTACAAACACAGACTGGGGTGCGGAGAGGCTGCAGACCGCGCCCAGGTTTCAAGTTTTAGTTAAGGCCTACGTTCAGGCCACGCAAGGGGAGAGAAGAGGTTACCTTTTCCGGACCCCTTCGCCACGGCGGGAGCACAGAGGAGAAGGCTGGAGTCGCAGTAATAGTGCACACGCTAAGCCCTCGATCCCTCTTCAGCCCCTTAAACGCACTTACTTGAGCGAAGTAATTCTAAGACACAAGGCCGGCACCGGCAACGGAACGGGCTCCTCTGTCCTCCAGCCCCAGGCGCTGGCGGTGACGACATCTGGGCCGCGCCGCCGAGAGCGAAGGCCCAGCGCCGGACCACGAGCGCAGTGCACTGAGCGCGCGCTCGGCGAGGGGCGGGAGCAGCCGCCGCGCCACCTTTTAGCGTCACGGGCGGGGCTCAGCTTCCGAACCCGGGGCTTTGAACATGTCGCGCCTGAAGCGGGCTGGGGAGCGGGATCCCCGGGCGGGTTTCAGAGCGGAGAGGAGCGACCGCGCTACCTCGGTGCCGCAGGGACTCTTGAAGGCGGCGAGGAAGAGCGGCCAGTTAAACCTGTCGGGGCGGAACCTCACTGAAGGTAGGATCCGCAGAGGCGCCCCGCGTCCCGTCCGAAAGCCCTGGCTCCAGGCCCCCCCATCTCTTTCCTCCGTCTTGGCTCTCGCCGCCTTGCCTCAGGCAAGGAATTAGGATGTTTGGTGCCCGGTGCGCTAATTCTGGCGCTGTAATTCCTCATCACGTTTCTGTCTGGGTGCCCCGGGTTTGGTTCCTGCTTTCTCCTTCCAGGCATCTCTGGTGATGGGACCTTGCTGTATAGGTGCGCAAAATGTAAGCGCAGGCGCTTTCTGAGATTCTTACGTTCTTTGGGATAAATAATATAATGTGTGACTAAATTAGTTATGAAGTAATAGGTCCCCCATTTCCCTCTTTTTAATTTGATTTCGTAGGGCACTTTAGCAAGTCTTCTATGTGCTGCTTTGTGACCCTAAGAGTGAATGCCACTCCACGACCCTTTTTCTGTATACAGCTTGGCAGAGTCCTAAATACAGGGAATAATGAGCATATTTGCTGAATTGAGGGTCAAAATAGATACCATACAAAGCGAATGGGATACTAAGCAAGCAAATTCTTGCTGAATGACCGAAAGGATGTATGATTTAAAATCTCTGCTTCACCAGGGGAAGTTTGTATAAACAGTGGGAATATAAGTATTTTGAAACACAGATGTGCATGTACACTTGCTTTTCCCAAACACTGGCAGGTTTTCCTTGATACCTGACTAGGGCTCATTCCTTTGTTTCCTTAGGACTCTAATCAGAGATCACACTTCATAGGGGCCCTTCCTAGTTATTTTATCTAACTGCCATTGCTTACACTCTGTTCTTTTATCTGTTTAATTTTTAATAGCATTTATCACTGCTAGCACTTGTATCATGTATTTGTTTGTATATTGTCTTCATTGCCTAAGGACTAGAATATCAATATGTTCCATATAACTTTAATTTTCTCTGGGGCGCGTGCGTTTGTGTGTTTCTTATTAGACTTTAAAGATAACTTGAAAGTGACATTGTAATTGTGGTTTGTCAATATGGGATTCTTTAATTAATATAATGAGGTCATTGGTAGCCATAAATAAACAAATGTGGAGAAAATTGGAATGTTACTAGTGGGCTTTCCTGAGTTCTTTATATAATGATTTGTTTTATTGGTTTATTCTTTTGAAGTGCTCATAATTAGCACTAGTAGGCAGTTTAGTGAATGACGTTTGGTGTATTATCAATACATTATCCTACTTGAAGACTTGCCTTATTAATGATATCATTAGAAAAATTGAAGTTTTTTGATAAAATTCAGTTGTCAAGTTTTTTTTTTAATGATTGTTACTTTTTCTATATTAAGACATTTTATCCAGAGCCTCCCTGGTGGTGCAAGCAGTTGAGCGCAGGGCTGTGAAGCTGTCCGCAGCCTCTGCAGTGCTGGTTCCATCCCCGCCCGCCTTGGAGCAACCCACATGGCTAGCAGACCTCTCCTGTCTCGCCTGCTGCTCTCCTCAGCAGTGTATTTCGTCAGTCTGCCTGTTCTGTTCCCCGCTTTGTCTCTGGTGAATCCTCTCACCCTGCTGTATCCCGGCTGTATCCCGGCTCTTGTATTTAAAAAAAAAAAAAAAAGACATTTTAGCCATTCTGAAGCTATGAAGATTTTCTACTCTGTTTTCTGTTAGAATATTTATAGTTTTGTCTTTTTTCATCTATTTGGAATGAATTTTTGAGTGTATTACAAGGTAAAGAAAACTTGGTTGATTTATTATTTTTATCCATGTGAATTTATAGTCTTAGTACCATTTGTTTAAAAAATTGTTCGTTTCTCATTAGATTATGTTGGCAGCTTTGTTAAAAATCAGTTGACAATATTTTATTGTCTGAAAGTTTTTCTGAATTCTACTTTCCTCTGGATCTATGTCTTTAAGCAAATAACACATATCTTGAAAATTTTATTATAGGACTTGAAATCAAATACTATTGAGACCTTTAACTTTACTTTGTTTCAAAGTTGGTTTTTTTTTTTTACATTTTTTGTTTTTTTGGGTTTTTTTTTTAAGATTTATTTAATTTATTTATTTATACAAGCACTGGGTATAGTCAGAAGCACGGGAGGGTGAGAGAATTCACCAGAGCCAGAGCGGGGAGCAGAACAGGCAGAAGGACCGAAGTACACTGCTGAGGGGAGCAGCGGGCTGCAGGAGAGGTCTGCGCGCCAAGTGGGACCCTCCTCCGGTGGCCGGGGAGCAGCAGGGGATCGAACAGGCGCTGCAGAGGCTTCGGGCAGCTTCGCAACCCAGCGCTCAACCTCTGCGCCACCGGGGAGGCCCAATTTCAAAGTTTTTTAACTTATTTTCATTCTTTTGTATTTCAATATATTTTTTAGAATCAGCTTGGTAATTTCTACAGAGAAGCCTTCTGGGATTTTTTATTAGAATTGTATTGAATCTGTAAGTCATTTAGTGGAGAAGTGACATCTTACCAATATTGAGTCTCAGACTGTCATGTGGTATATTTGTCTACTTATCTGGACCTTCTATCAATATATATGTAATATAGGCTCATGGGTTTCAAGGTCTTGTATTTTTCTCTTCTATAAAACCATTGTGTCAGAGTTCTTTTTCTGAGTTGTACTTTGGTGTCCTGAAATTGAAACTTTGATCACTGAGGTGGATAATCAGTGGTTTGATTAATATAAGCTTAGTGTTCTAAGTCATACTCATAGGTAGTCCTACTTTTTTTTCAAGGAATGAAGGATTATACTTAAAATAGTTTTACTACAATCTCAACAAGTTAATATCTTCTGGAGCTTCAAGTTCTGTAGTGATTCAATGGATTCTTCTTGTTCAGCTTGTATAGTATTAATTGCTGTGCTACTGGAATTGCTGTATTTTCTGAAGTAGAATGAACACAGTGTTGTGTGGTGGGGTAACAAATAAAATTGTAAGTTAGGTAAAATAGAGAGCAGCTACCAGAGTTAGATATGCCTTTCAAATGTTCACTGAGAGACCAAATATGTATGTCTGCCAGTGTTTGAATCCTATCTCTGTTACTGACTAGCTGTATATCTCTTGGTAAATTATTCTTTCTCTCTGTGCTCGTTTTCTCATCTATGAAATGAGAACAGTAATTGCTTCTACGTCACAGGCTTGTTATGAGATGTAAATGAGTGTGTTAGAAAGTTGTCTAGTATTTGTAAATGTTAGCTATTATTATTAGCTATTATTATTTCTGCTCCTTTCTCACACTTGGTCTGTATTTCTGTTATAGGAGTTTCTTATATCATATATATTGATTTCTGCTCTTCTGTTATCATAATGATAAAGTCCACTTATTTGTCTTATATACCTACCACAGTGTGCCATGTGGAGTATATACATAGTAAATAAAGTTGAGTGAAGTTAAAAGTGAGATCTATTAAGTAAAATGCATATTAAATGTATTTTTTTTGGAAAAGATCAAATCACTATAATCTAGTTGCAATTTATTGCTATTTGCTTGAAAGTTTAAAAAGTTTCAATAATTGCCCTTTAGTAGATAAACTGAATTGCTATTATAAAAATATGTCACTTAACAACGTCTTGTTTTCTTTTTTTGTGTGGTTTTGGAAATAGTGCCTCAGTGTGTCTGGAGAATAAATTTGGATGTCCCTGAGGAAGCTAATCAAACTCTTTCATTTGGTGCTACTGATCGATGGTGGGAGCAGACTGATTTGACCAAACTGATCATTTCAAACAATAAACTTCAGTCACTAGCAGATGACCTTCGGCTGCTGCCTGCATTGACTGTTCTTGATGTAATTATGAATATTTTTGAATGATTATAAATATTAACTCTAAAGCTAAATTTAGGCTGTGATAAGCAGAATATCCATGTTTAATTAATAGAACTCAAGAAAGAATAACAGGTTATTATATTTGGTGTACCATTATGGTTAAGCATGTAGAGTCAGAACATCAGGCTTCAAACTTTGCCTCTGCCTCTTGATAGCTGTATAACCTTGGGAAAGTTCCTCTTTGTGCCTCAGTAGCCCTATGTATAAACCAGGACTGATAATTATTCTTAGAAATTAAATGAGTTAACATGTACAAGATTTTGTAAATGGCCAAGTTCATATATTGTTAACTATGAAACTAATATGTCTTTTAATAACTTTTAGATACATGACAATCAGATAACATCACTTCCTTCTGCTTTAGGAGAGTTGGAGAATCTTCAGAAACTTAATGTCAGGTAAATTATAAGCTTATTTACACTAATATCACAACTTTAATGGTGTTAAGTCTAATATTTGTTAAATGTTTTTTCTGAAACTAGATAATCTTTTTTGCTAATGTTTTTGTACCAGTTTTTAAAGGAAATGGTTAAAGCAGAATAAGAATTTTAAGTTTTCATTCTTATTTATTTTTATTTTTGTTTAATTTTTTGTTGTAAAGTTGCCTATGTATTTTTCAGTTTTACAAATCTGAGGCCAGCTGCTTTTTTATTTTTTTTTTTTTTTTTTTTTTTTTTTTTTTAATTTTCTAGAGGCATGTCTTATTTATTTATTTATTTATTGTTTGTTTGTTTGTTTGATACATGCACTGGGTACAGTCAGAAGCGTGGGAGGGTGAGAGAATTCACCAGAGCCAGAGCGGGGAGCAGAGCAGGCAGAAGGACCGAAGTACACTGCTGAGGGGAGCAGCGGGCGGCAGGAGAGGTCTGCGCGCCATGTGGGACCCTCCTCTGGTGGCCGGGGAGCAGCCGGGGATCGAACCGGCTGCAGAGGCTGCAGGCAGCTTCGCAACCCAGCGCTCAACCGCTGCGCCACCGGGGAGGCCCCCAGCTGCTTTTTTAAAAATACTTTTTGTTATAATTTTATAAAGCAATTTTTTAATGGTTATTTCAGAAATCCTCTTTGATGACATCTAATTTTGATATTTGAAAGAATAGGTGCTAAGCAACAGGAAGAAATTTAAAATAATTACTTCATCAATGATAAGAAAATTTCATGGTTTTGGTATTAGTTTTTTAACTTTTCTGGGAACTTTCGGGTTTTCACTAATGTTTTTGGTATTTAGTGGTATGAATATGGGGGGCTAGGCACAAGGTTCTAGCTAATTCTATTTGGCCTTCAATGAACATCTCTACTTTTAAGAAAGAATAACTGCCTTATGTGTTATATATACACAGATTACGGGAAAAGAGCTTAAGGAAGATTTCATTGCAGAGAAAAAATGAAACGGTTTAAATGTTCAAAATATGGTTTGAAAAATGGTGGTTTAGAAAATAGATAAGGCTATAGATCTATGCATCTTACCACAGTGAAGTCTCAATTTCTGGAGATGAGTTAATTGGTTTGCGGGAAAATACTTCCTCAAATAATAGTCCTCATGTGTGAAAAATTTTAAATTACCATAAATCAGTAAAAATATTTATGCATACTTAGAAAGGTATTAATTGTTTGTAATATACTAGGACCTCTTTCCCTTACACATCAGAAGCATAGATGTGGCCATCAAAAGCAAAATGGGGAAGGTTCAGAAGAAGAGGTGGGATAATATGTAGTGGGGAAAAGTATGTGTTAGGATAGAAGTAATAGAATAGAAACGGAATAGAAGAAATGTATAGTTAGAATTATATCTCTACTCAACATGCAAAAATTTCTATTTTTAACGGTTTTTTATTGCTCTTAATTTAGAAGTCTTTTTTTGTATTTTAATTTTACAAATAATTTTACTTTAATAAAAGCTTACTGTTATTACCATATACTTCCCTTATCCCCCATCATTTGTAAAGTAATGGTATATGGCTTGAAAATAGAGCAGAATTCCTCAGTGAATGGTTGAGATAAATCTAAGAACAAGTTAAATTATCATTTATTTATTTATTTTTTTAAAGATTTATTTTATTTATACAAGCACTGGGCAGTCAGAAGCGCGGGAGGGTGAGAGGATTCACCAGAGCCAGAGCGGGGAGCAGAGCAGGCAGAAGGAGCGAAGGACACTGCTGAGGGGAGCAGCGGGCCGCAGGAGAGGTCTGCACCCCATGCGGGACCCTCCTCCGGTGGCCGGGGAGCAGCCGGGGATCGAAATGGCGCTGCAGAGGCTGCGGGCAGCTTCGCAACCCAGCGCTCAACCACTGCGCCACCGGGGAGGCCCTAAATTATCTTTTAATTATCAGGGTATTCATCATTGTAGGGTAAACAATTGTTAGGCTTTTCTGCCCTCCCACCATTAGGATTGATGATGGATCCCTGTGACCCTGAATGCATGCCTGATGGCGGGCACCTGGAGTGGGGTGTGGGCATATGTAGATGTTATTCACCTGGGTTGAGAGGGGGCCTATAAGCACGGTGTCTCGGGGGCGCCAGTGGAACGGAACCATGAGAAGAGAACAAGTGAGAGGCTGGAAGAGAGCCAGCAGAGAAGCAGAGACCATGAGAACATCAGAGAGCCCAGAAAAGAGTGAAGATTCGCTGGGGACCGGGAGGCCTGCCAGCTTCCTGGCCCCCCTGGCACCCTTCCTGCCATGTACCTGGTAAAACGATAATCAAAGCCACCAAGGGCTCCAGGACTCTCCTTCTTTACCCCATCTGCTCAGATCATAGAGATCCTACCCTGTGGCCTTCCTGCCACTACAATCATCTTCAGTGACTTGGGACGTCTATGAAACCAACAAGCTAAGTATCTCTATAGCGGGAGTAAGCTGAAAAGTTAAGACTAAGCACACACAAAAATGAATAGAGTATATTAAATTCAGCCGAATATACCAGCATCTCAAATCGAAGTTGTTATTTTTGTATTAAGTGCTAAGTTTAACACCTAATCTCTAAAGATGTGACACCATTGTATATGTAGCTTTGTCAAAATCCAGAAACTCAGAAACAGTATAAAAATTAATGATCCACTATATCCTTTCATATTGCATGTAAAAATTGATTATAAAGAAATATAGACACGTTGTTTGGTTAAAGACCTTTATTTCTTTGTTATTTTTCTTTGAAATCCTTTCCTTGATTAGATTATGGTCATTGTAATAAGTATAGACTTTTAGGATATGAAGTTTGGTAAGTACTTGAATTAGCAATTGTATTTCATTTTTTTAGTGAGCCATGTAGTTGGCTAACAGATAATGCCTTTATAAGTATCATGTTGTCATCAAATTACTTAGCATTTATTTTATCAATAATAGCCATAACAAACTGAAAATACTCCCTGAAGAAATTACAAATTTGAGAAACCTGAAGGGTCTGTATCTCCAACATAATGAACTCACCTGCATACCAGAGGGATTTGAACAACTTTTCAATTTAGAAGATTTGGTAAGTTGTGATTTTCTAATTTTTGAATAATTTGGGACTGGTGGGATTTTTTTTATCAGGCTGACTAATTGGATGTAGTATTGAAATCATGGGTCTTGGATAACTGTATGACTAGATTATCAGAAACTGCATTTCACTTAGTTTGTTGAATTACTAATTGTCAATTTGTTTTCCTTTTTCTTATGAAGTCACCCTAAATTTTAATTCAGAAACAGTTTGGAAAAGGGGCAATGAGGATGAGTTTGTTATTCAGAAGCTTTAATGTATTAGCCAATAGAGGAAAGGTGTCTTTAGTATATACCAACTCCTTTCGTATACCATTCCCACTTTTCTCTATAACTCCTATGGCTCTGGGTAACTCCTAGCCACTGGGTAACCAGGTAATCCCTCAAGCCCTGCCTTTTCTTCCCTGTTTTTCGAAATGGCCACATTTCTTGCCAAGCACCATGGGCATTATTGAGGTAATAAATGATGATCTGTGAAATTGTCACTCTGAGAGTTATAAAATTTATGAATTCTGAAATAGCCTTTCTGTTGAATTTTCTTCAAATTCCAAAATCCCCTTTAGGAATAATTTATTTATTTATTTTCTCATTGATTTATTCATTCTGTCTTTCTCTTTTTAAAGGATCTTTCAAATAATCGTCTTACAACTGTTCCTGCTAGTTTTTCTTCTCTATCCAGTTTGGTGAGACTCAATCTTTCCAGTAATCAACTGAAGAGTTTGCCAGCAGAAATAAGTAGAATGAAAAGTAAATCTTCACTATTTTAAAAATTACGTAAATATGAAGGTGCAACTTACATCTAGAAAAATTTTATATAGTTACTTACAAAGAAGTAAGATAGATTTTATGGTGGTAATGCAAACAGTAGCAAGCAGTCGGTTTTTCTTTAGGCTGTTATTGTCTAGCCACCTCTTAAAGAGTTACCCCCCAAAAGATAACTGGGCTTATCAAAAAGAGGAAAAGAAAATATGATTGTAAATTATAGAAAAATTATATTCTGAGAAATTGACTAGGGCTTTGAGCTGTGCTCTCACTGTTCATCCATTCTTTCATTTAGGATTCACTAAAAGATTATTCCCCTCACAGGTGATTCTACCTGTGATAAGTGGTTATGTTAAAGCTAAAGCCTCCTGGTGTCCCATAATGTTTAAAGATAATCTAGTATTCCCATATCAATGCTTTTTGTTTAAAAAATCTAAAATTTATTGGTTTTCTTAAAATTTGCCATTAATGCATCATATTTGAAGGTTTTTAGATATAAAGGATTAAAACATTGAGGTACATTTCAGTTCCTATTAAATAAAAATACTTAACCATCTTAGAAGTCTTAATTTTGAGTCTAAAATCATTATAGTAATTTTTTTTGTTGTTAAAAGGCATCTTGGATGACCACACTGTGTGTCAACTATCGTCGTCTTTTCCTTATCTAGTCTTTTTTTGCTAATCATAAATAAGCCCTCTTCATTTTTTTCAGACCTTTTTGTAGAACAAGTCATAGAAGTGATATCCAGTGATATCCAGTGATCATAGAGCACTTTGAGATGAATTTGTAAGATTATGCTGTTTTACATTAATAGTTACTTGTCCTTTATAATAGAAATGCATGAATTAAATTTGTCAAATATTGAATTGACATTTTATGGGAGTCTTTATTTGGGATACTAGTAGGTAAGAGTCTGATTGTCTTTACCATTTTCAATAAAGGTAGCAGAAGTAGAGCTAAACATAATATATGATAATATGAGGATATCTGTGGGGATATAAGAAAAATGGATTTTGTTCCCTATAAGTTGAATAGAGGAACATATGAGATAATCTATAGAAAAAGTTTTGAGTTAATAACAATTTTTCTAGAACTGTATACTAGTTACAGATGTATAGAGATGTATATAACTGTATACTAATATACAGATGCTTTCTGTTCTTTTGCTCTAACAGTAATACTTGTAAGCTATCATCAATAGTTGTTACTACACTATTAATGACTGGATTGCAAGAATAGTATTTTACATTTGTGGAAATGCTTTTATGTGTATCATTTTGCTATCACTACAATTCTGTGAGTTAGAGGGGATATGTGTTGTTTGTATTTTAAAGATTCATAAACCAAAGCTTAGAAATTATATTGTAAATTGTAGAGCCTTGTCTTGAGTGCTTTCTTTCCAAACCACATGTTCTTTCCACTGTATACTGCTTCTAGTCTCAGTCAGTGCTCATAGAGGCAAACCGTTATAAAAATTAGTTTTTTTTTTTTTTTGAAAAATTTATTTGTGCATACAAGAACTGGGGTATAGGTCAGAGGTGCAGGGGCTAAGAGGATTCACCAGAGACAGAGTAGGGAGAACAGGCAGAACTACTAAAATATAGTGCTGATGGGAGCAGTGGGTAAGACAGGAGATGTCTGCTGTACCATGTGTGTTAGCTCCCTGGACAGAGATCAAACTCATGCTGTAGTAACTGGCAATAGTTTGGTAGCACTGAGACTTTAACCCCTGTGCCACTAGAGAGGCCCTACAGTTTCTAACTTTAAAGCAAACTTTTCTTTCTTTTTTTTTTTTTTTACAGATTTATTTATTTATACAAGAACTGGGGTACAGGCCAGATGTGTGGGAGGGTGAGAGGATTCCCCAGAGACAGAGCGGGGAACAGAACAGTCAGACTGATGAAATACACTGCTGAGGGGAGCAGCGGGTGAGACGGGAGAGGTCTGCCGTGCCATGTGGGATTCTCGCTGGCCGGCCGGGATCGAACCCGTGCTGCAGAGGCTACAGACAGCTTCATAGTGCGGCACTCAACCACCTGCACCACCAGGGAGACCCTAAAGCAAACTTTTCTTTATAGACTTTACTGAATTTGGGGTAGATCAGATTGTGATATTTTTATCAATGTTCTAGTCAAAATAATACATAAATTATGTTATTAGTTGAAAGTAGTACCATGGCATTTGCTTTGAAAGGCTGTTAGCTTTTTTCAACAGTAAAAGAAGTTATTTAGGATGGTATATTAACTTGGTCTTGAATTATATTAAAATTGACAGACTGAAAGTACCAGAAAAGAAGGGTTGCAAAATCATATTACATATTCAAATTAAGGGTTGAGAGTGGTTTTGTTGGAAAAAATGCTGACCATGATTAACTGAAGATTCTAATGTGGATCAGGCAGAAAACTGTTGATTGAAGTCTTAAGGAAAAGAAGACCCTTACTTTTTTCCATTTTTGTTTTCTTTTCTGACTTTTAAGAAAGATAGATCCAAGTTAGAGATGCATTAAGTGAGGACATCCTTCTTGAGCTGTTATGTATATCATTGTCAAGTATATTGTCTTAGGGAAAGCATGTGATTTTTTTAAGAGGATAAAGAAGAAAGGAAGGGAAGGGGAAGAAGATAGGGTAAGAGAGAGAGGCAGTTTTGATGGATGAATGAATGGGAATCTGTAGAAATCCAAGGCCTTTTGACAGTTAATTTGTCCGTAAATATAGATGTATCTTAGCAGCATTATTTGGCATCCATTCATACAATTAGTATCATACATATTTATTTGTCCTTAACTACTTAAGCTTCGTCTTTTTAAAAGATTTATTTTAACTGAGGGAAATAATAGCCGATCATACACAGTTTATACATTATAGAGTACTTTAAGTAATTTGTTTTTTCAATCTATTACAAAATGACCTGGACTGTTATTAAATATTAAATTAAATTCTCTTTAAGTGTAAAAAAAATCAAATATTTTTAATTTTCTGGTATTCTAGTGTTCATGATTATAGCACTATGTAATGACCCAGGTTCCTAAGTCCTCATGTGATTACACACACATTTTTTGGAAGGTATATGCAATTATAGACCAATATATATTTTCTCTATTGAAGTCCTTTTGTTTTTTACTAAATATGTATTACAGAATTAAAGCAGTTGGATTGTAATGCAAATCTTTTGGAAACTATACCTCCTGAACTGGCTGGCATGGAATCGCTAGAATTGCTTTATTTGCGGAGGAATAAGTTACATTTTCTACCAGAATTTCCTTCTTGTAAGCTATTAAAGGTACTATTTAGTTCATTACAAAGTATATATATTATTTTCTAAAAGTTAATTATAAAATGAGTTTTTAAAAGGCGATAATCTTGTTTTTTTTTTTTTTTTTTTTTTTTTTAATAAATTTTATTGTTATATTCCCCATACAATTGCAGCCCCCCCATTCTGACCCCAATCCCTCCCCTCCCACCCCTGCCCCCCTAAAAGTGTCTCTGGTTCATAGTTTTTTGTTGATTTTGATTTTCACTTTCTTGTAGTTATTCATTTTCCTGGTCCCTTATTTAAGTTTTCTAGATTCCTGCTATGAGTGAGACCATCCGGTATTTTTCTTTTTCTTTTTGGCTTATTTCGCTGAGCATGATCCCTTCCAGCGCCATCCATGTTGCTGCAAATTGCATGTGTTTATCTTTTTTGAATGCTGAGTAATATTCCATGGTATATATGTACCACATCTTCTTGATCCAGTCATCTATTTTTGGGCATTTGGGTTGTTTCCAAAGCTTAGCTATTGTAAACAGTGCTGCTATAAACATAGGGGTGCAGGTGTTCTTTGGAATTGATGTTTCTGTGTCCTTTGGGTAAATACCTAGGAGTGGAATTGCTGGATCATATGGAAGCTCTATGTTTAGTAGGTCCAGAAATCTCCATACAGCTTTCCACAGTGGTTGGACCAGTTTGCACTCCCACCAACAGTGCAGAAGAGTTCCTTTTTCTCCACACCCTCGCCAACATTTGTTGTTGCTAGTTTTTTTAATATGTGCCATTCTCACTGGTGTAAGATGGTATCTCATGGTAGTTTTGATTTGCATTTCCCTGATGACAAGTGATGTTGAACATTTTTTCATATGCCTGTTGGCCATTTGCATTTCCTCTTCAGAGAAGTTTCTTTTAAGCTCTTCTGCCCATTTTTTGACTGGATTATTTTCTTTGTTGTTGTTGAGTCTCATCAGCTCTTTGCAGATTTTTGTGATCAGTCCTTTATCATTAGTGTTGGGTGCAAAAATGTTCTCCCAGTTGGTGGGGTTTCTCTTTGTTTTTGTTATTGTCTCTTTTGCTGTGCAAAAGCTCTTTAATTTGATGTAGTCCCAGCTGTTTATCTTTGCCTTCACTATCACTGCTTTGGGTGATGTGTCTGTAAAGATGTCTTTGATGTGCAAATCACGTAGTGTTTCGCCTATATTTCCTTCTATATATTTTATGGTTTCAGGTCTTATGTCTAGTTCTTTAATCCATTTTGAGTTGATTTTTGTGTATGGTGTGAGGTGGTGGTCAAGCTTCATTCTTTTGCATGTAGCGACCCAGTTTTCCCAGCACCATTTATTGAACAAACTTTCTTTGCTCCAATGCATATTCTTTGCTCCTTTGTCAAAGATTAGTTGACCATAAATCTGTGGGTTTATTTCTGGATTTTCTATTCGATTCCATTGGTCTGTATGTCTGTTCTTGTTCCAATACCATGCAGTTTTGATGATTATGGCTTTGTAGTATAGTTTGAAGTCTGGGAGTCTGATGCCTCCATTCCCTTCTTTTTTTTTCAGGAGAGCTTTGGCTATTCGGGGTTTTTGGTGATTCCATATGAATTTCATCAATAATTGTTCTATTTCTTTGAAGAATGACATTGAAATTTTGATTGGAATAGCATTGAATCTGTATATTGCTTTTGGTAGGATGGCCATTTTAATAATGTTTATTCTTCCAATCCATGAGCAGGGGATGTCTCTCCATTTCTTTGTGTCTTCTTCTATTTCTTTTAACAGTGTTTTATAGTTTTCTTTGTATAGGTCCTTTACCTCTTTTGTTAGATTTATTCCCAAATATTTGATTTTTTTTGTTTCAATAACAAAAGGGATGGTCTTTTTGATTTCTTCTTCTTCAGATTTATTGTTTGTGTATAGGAAGGCTACTGACTTTTGCGTGTTGATTTTGTATCCTGCCACTTTACTGAACTGATTGATGAGTTGAATTAGCTTTTCTGTGGAGTTTTTGGGGTTCTCTATGTATAATATCATATCGTCTGCAAATAGTGATAGTTTGACTTCTTCTTTTCCTATTTGGATTCCTTGGATGTCTTTCTCTTGTCTTATTGCCCTGGCTAGGACTTCCAGTATTATATTGAAAAGCAATGGTGAGAGTGGACATCCTTGTCTTGTTCCAGATCTTAATGGAATTGCTTTCAGCTTTTCACCATTGAGAATGATACTGGCTGTTGGCTTGTCATAGATGGCCTTTATGATGTTGAGGTATGTTCCTTGTATCCCCAGAATTTCAAGGGCTTTTATCATGAATGGGTGTTGCACTTTGTCGAAAGCTTTCTCAGCATCTATTGATATTATCATATGGTTTTTATATTTCTTTTTGTTGATGTGTTGGATAACGTTGATTGATTTTCGGATGTTAAACCATCCTTGTGCCCCTGGAATGAATCCAACTTGATCGTGGTGAATTATCTTATGGATACATTGTTGGATTCTGATAGCTAAAATTTTATTGAGGATTTTTGCATCAGTGTTCATTAGGGAGATTGGCCTGTAGTTTTCCTTTTTTGTGTTGTCCTTGTTCGGTTTTGGTATTAGTGTAATGTTGGCTTCATAAAACGTGTTTGGTATTGTCCCTTCCTTCTCAATTTTTTGGAAGAGTTTGTGAAGGATAGGCACTAATTCGTCTCTGAATGTTTGGTAGAATTCATTTGTAAATCCATCAGGTCCTGGGCTTTTGTTTTTGGGGAGGTTTTTTATTACCATTTCAATTTCGCTAATTGTAATTGGTCTGTTTAGGTGTTCTATTTCTTCTTTATCTAGCTTTGGGTGATTGTAGAGTTGTAGGAATTTGTCCATCTCCTCTAGATTGTTAAACTTGTTTCCATATAACTGTTCATAGTAGTTACTGATTATTCTTTTGATTTCTGCTGTGTCCGTTGTGATTTCTCCTCTTTCATTGATGATCCTATTTATTTGTGCTTTCTCCCTTTTTTCCTTTGTGAGCCTGGCTAGGGTTTGTCTATTTTATTGATTTTTTCAAAAAACCAGCTCTTGGTTTCATTGATCTTTTGGATTGTTTTTTTAGTTTCAATTTCATTTATTTCTGCTTTGGTTTTTATTATTTCTTTTCTTCTACTGGTTTTGGGGTTTTTTGTTGTTCTTTTTCTAGATCTTTGAGCTTCGAGATGAGGTTGTTTCTTTGCGTTCTTTCTTGTTTCTTGATGTGAGCTTCTATTGCTATATATTTTCCTCTTATTACTGCTTTTGCTGCATCCCATACATTTAGGATATTAGTGTCCTCCTTGTCGTTCAATTCAAAAAATTTTTTAATTTCTTCTTTGATCTCCTCATTAGTCCAATGGTCTTCCAGTAGTGTGGTTTTTAATCTCCATGAGGTAGGAAAGTTCCTTGCCTTCTTTTTATGGTTTATTTCTAGTTTGATGCCTTCATGGTCAGAAAAGATGGTTGATATGATTTCAATCTTGGTGTATCTGTTGATGTTTGTCTTGTGCCCCAGTATGTGATCGATCCTGGAGAATGATCCGTGTGCGCTTGAGAAAAATGTGTACTCCGTTTTTTTGGGGGTTTAGTGTTCTATAGATGTCTGTTAAGCCTAATTGCTCTAGGTCCTTATTTAGAGCTTTGGTTTCTTTACTTATTTTTTGTCTTGTTGATCTATCCATTGTTGATAGTGGTGTGTTGAAGTCTCCCACTACGTATGTGTTTTCTCTGATGTCTGTTTTCAGAGAGGACAACAGTTGTCTGATATATTTTGGTGCTCCTTCGTTTGGTGAGTATATGTTAATGAGTGTTATTTCTTCTTGAAGTATTGTCCCCTTGATCATAATGTAGTGACCATTGGGGTCTCTTTTTATCTTTTTGAGTTTGAAATCTGTTTTATCTGATATAAGTATAGCTGTTCCTGCTTTCTTTTTTGGTCCATTTGCTTGTAGGATTGTTTTCCATCCTTTAACTTTGAGCCTATTTTTATCTTTTGTAGCTAAATGTGTTTCCTGGAGACAGCAAAAGGTTGGGTTTTGTTTCTTAATCCAGGCTGCCACTCTGTGTCTTTTTATTGAAGAGTTTAGTCCATTTACCTTTAGAGTTAATATTGATATGTTAACATCTGTATTTGCCATTGTGTTTGTCTTTCCTTTGATTTTATTTATTTATTCTTTTAATAACTTTTTTTTTTTTTTTGGCCTTCTTTCATTGTTATTCGTCCCTCTGAGGTTCTGGCTTTAGGACTCCTTGTAGTATTTTTTGGAGTGGGGGTTTAGTTGCAATGAAATTCCGGAGTTTCTGTTTGTCTGGGAAGGTCCATATTCTTTCTTCAAAGAGGAAGGAGAGCTTTGCGGGATAGAGTATTCTTGGTTGGCATCTGTTTTCTTGGAGTCTGTTGACTATGTCCCTCCACTCTCTCCTTGCCCGTAGTGTTTCTTCGGAGAAGTCTGATGTCAGCCTGATTGGTTTTCCTTTGAATGTTATCTGTTTCTTCCCTCTTGCCAGCTTCATTATTTTTTCCTTGTCCTGGATTCTTGGGAGCTTTACTATTATGTGTCTTGCTGTATTTTTCCTTTCGTCGTGGAAGTTTGGTGTTCTTCTTGCTTCTTGTATATCAATTTTCAGCTCCTTCTTCACATTTGGGAAGTTCTCTTCAATTATCTCTTTGAATATTTTCTCTGTTCCTACATCTCTCTCCTCTCCTTCTGGTATTCCTATAACTCTTATATTTCCTTTCCTCATGGAGTCAGATAGTTCCCGAAGTCTTTCTTCGTTCTTTTTCCTTCGTACTTCTCTTTCCTTTTCTGTTTTGGTTCTTTTTATTTCTGTGTCTTCAAGATTACTTATTCGTTCTTCCATTTCATCTATTCTGCTTTCATTGCTTTTCCCAGAATTCTTTAGTTCTTCCATTAATTCTTTGATCTCCTGCATTTCTTTTACTTCCCTCTTTAGGGACTCAATTTCTTTCTTCTGACCATTGTTTTCCCTCTCTAGGGACTCAATTGCATTCTTCTGATCATTGATTATTTTTCCCTTATCATTGTTTTCCTTTATGACTTCTGTCAGTTTTTTAATCACGGCAATTTTAAATTCTCTTTCTGGAAGGCTCAGAAATTCTTCCAAGTTATTGTCTTTGCAATCTGGGGGCTGGCTTTCTTTTTGTGGTGTGCTTTTTCTCTGGAGAGTTGCTAGGTTGCGTGTGGTTCTTCTCCTCCCTACTGTCTGTTTTCTAATTTGCCATATGCGTTGGGACACTGTGTTGTTGGGACTGGCCGGCATCTTGGGTGGGCTTCTCTGTTCCCCTCTGGTTCTTCCAGGAGTCATCTGTCAGTTTCAAGCAGCCTTTAATGGAGAAAGGTCCCTGTTCTAAAATGCCGATGTGGGGACACACTCCCCTGTGCGCCTGGTCTGCCCCGGCGGTGGGTTCCTGCTCCCCTCTGGGCTTGGACTGCAGGCCAGAGGGGGTCTGGCGTGGGCGAACTTCCCCCGCTCACCTCTGGCTCCTGAGGAAGCCTTCGGCAGGTAGTCTTTACTGAAGAAATGTCCCTGTTCTAAAATGGTGATGTGGGACACACTCCCTGCGCGTCTGGTCTCAGGCACACTCTTCTGCGCGCCTGGTCTGCCCCGGCTGTGGGTGCTCGCTCTCCCTGTGGGCTCAGACTACTTGTTCGGAAGGAGCCAGGTGTGGGCTAACTCCCCAGCTGGCCACTAGCTCCTTCAGTAGCCTGTGCTGGGGTCAAGTCGCTAGGTGGCGCCAGAGATCTCTCCTAGAGCCCTTGGGGAGCTGATTTTCCACCCCGTGGGACAGGGAGCAGAGCGGGGATGGTAGGGTACACCTCAACGGCTTTGGGGTGCTGTGTCTGCCTTGTGCCCCACCGTCGTGGGGAACCCACGCCCCTAATTTCGTGCCCCGGGTCTCAGTTCCAAAGCCCTCAGTTCCAGGACGCGGGCTGTAGCCCAGATCAGTGGCGCGGGAATGGCGCCTTTTGAATCCCGCTCCCCTGCCTGGGCGCCTTGTTCCTGCTCACTCAGGGAGGGCCTCCGCCGTCTCCCCGCAAGCCTAGGTCGCAGGCGCGGGGACCTGGGCAGCTGCGATCCGGTCTGGATCCGCGCCACTTTCCGCGCAAGCTTACCGGGCGGCCGGGGCTGTGTGCTGGTGCTGGTGCTGGTCTCCTCCTGGGGGCGGGGCTCTCTTTAATGGCGCCTGGAGCTCACCTCCGCGGCGGATCCTGCAGGGTTCGCCTCAGCTCCCGTTCACGGGGTGTGGTGGCTGCAATAGTTCCTTTCCACTCACAGTCCCGCTTGCTGTGTCCGTTTTTCTTGTTGGCCGTTTTGGTTTGTTGTTTCCTCCTCTCTGCCGGTTGGAGAGTGCCGACTTTGTGGGCGGGGGAGGGGAGCAGGGTTCTGCGCTTCCCTCCCTTCTCGTCCTCTTTTATGGCAACTTTCTTCTTCGGGCAGTTTGCTGGAGTCGTCCGTTTATCTTCCGTGTCCCAGTTCTCACTGGGACCTGCCGCTTTTCCTCCCTATTAACTTTTTTTAATGGGAGATCTTACTCGCAGCGTCTCCTCGCCGCCATGTTGCTCCGCCCAATCGATAATCTTGTTTTATATTGTAAATATATATTGGGTATAAGTGCTGTTTTTCCTGTATTAATAACTTTAGAACTTTAATATCATCAATAAGTTTTTTAAAAAGAAATAGTTAACTTTAAAAAAGGAACTTGTCCATTTCATTTTGATAAGTGATTTGTAACTGACGTGTGGTAGATGATGAGGCTAACACAGTAAGGTGTGATATTGTTAAAGACCTGGAATATCAGTAAAGAATATATATCAAATTCTGTAAGTTGCGACCTCACATGTTTGCCTGATCAGAATGAAATCCATTTAAAATTAATCTTTCTTTTGGTTTTAATTATATACCATTAATATTGTCTGAAATTTACTGTTTTCCCTTACATATACTTTCATGCATTAGTATTAAAAAGTTTTTTAAAATAAAATGGTGACATGCTGGTGGGAGTGCAAACTGGTCCAACCACTATGAAGAGCTGTGTGGAGATTCCTCAACTTACTAAAGATAGAGCTTCCATATGATCCAGCAATTCTACTCCTAGGTATTTACCCAAATGACACAGAAACATTAATTCAAAAGGCCATCTGTACCCCTATGTTTATAGCAGCACTATTACAATAGCAAAGCTATGGAAACAACCCAAATGCCCAAAAATAGATGACTGGATCAAGAAGATGTGGTATATATACACAATGGAATATTACTCAGCAATCAAAAAAGATAAAGCCATGAAATTTGCAGCAACATGGATGGAGCTAGAAGGGATCATGCTCAGCGAAATAAGCCAGAAAGAAAAAGAAAAATACCGGATGGTCTTACTCATAGCAGGAATTTAGAACACCTAAATAAGGGACCAGGAAAAAGACTAATTATAATAAAGTAAAAATCAAAATTCACAAGCAACTATAAATCAGAGACACACTACTGGCGGGCGTGGGAGGGGTGAGAAGGGGTGTGGGGAGAGGAAGGATGAAAGTCAGAATGGGGGAGGTGCAATTGTATGGGGAATATAACCAAAATGAAAATGCATACATTGTGCAAAAATGAAAAATTATGTAAGAATTATAAAGAATAAAATATTAAAAGTTTCCAAATCCCAAAAAATAAAAAAAAAAATCGTGTCAGTGATAAAAACGGAAAAAGTTATCATTTAATAAAATTAATTTAAGAGTAATTACCTAATAAGTATAGATTTTGCTAATGAGAAAGCATAATAATTGCTAAGGAAAATGTTAAATAACAAATTGGTTATAACTTTTTCTAACTGGTATTGAAATGTGGTATTTACAGATGTTGAATTATAATGCTATACTCCTGAAACTATAGGGTTTTAAGCCAATGTAACTTCAGTTAAAATTTAAAAATAAATAAAATATATCAATTTGTTTTGAAACTTCCATTTTTTATTATACAGCCATTGGATTTGTATTTTTATTAACTCTATAAATAGAACTACAAAACCACTTCTCTACTTTGGCTTTATTAATTTTGAACTTTCTGCCAGATTAAACCTTTAATTATTTTTAAATTACCAGAAAAATTTTGAAAATTTTGTTTCTGCTCTTTTTCTTTAGCTATAAGATAGCTCAAAATAATTGAAAATTTAAGTGGTTTAGTGAAGTTTTTTTCATGTTTTCCAATGAATTAAATTAAGATTTCAACTTTGTGTTACATAGTATAAAACTGATTATAGAAATAACATGATTGATACTTGGTTTTGTAGGAATTACATGTAGGTGAAAACCAGATTGAAATGTTAGGGGCAGAACATCTTAAGCATCTGAATTCCATCCTTGTGCTAGACCTGCGGGACAACAAGTTAAAATCTGTTCCAGATGAAATCTCACTACTAGAGTCTTTGGAAAGACTTGACCTAAGCAACAATGATATTAGTAGGTAAGTTTAAGATCAAATGAAGAAGAAATCTTACCGTATTTGGTTATGATTCTTAAGTTCAAATATTTATAAAGCATGTAGAGGTCTTTTTCAAAATTGAAATAGGGCAGGAATCATGTGCAGACAAATAAAGATTAACTAGAATTAGTCTTGGTGGCAAGCTTCATATGCTGATAAAATCAGATGTATTTACAAGTTAGTCTAACCTACTGGAATGTAACTCTAAGAAGGCTGGATTTTTATCTGTTCTATCTCAAGATCGCTAACTTCTAGCTTAGTACCTGGGGACATAGAAGGTGCCTGACAAATATTTGTTGAAAGAATGTAAAGAAGATATATAAAGTGCTTGGGGGCTCAGTGAAGATATGGGAATCATTTTAGTGAGGGGAATAAGAACATATTTTATTGAAGAAGTGATTTTTTTAGATGATCTTTGGGACTGGGACTAGATTGAGACATTAATTGTGTAGACCACAAAATTTAAGAACACCATCATTTTTAGCATTATGCCTCACCCTACTTCCACCATATGATCTTTCAGGGATAACCTTGATTTTCAAGTGCATGTGTAACATGGTTAGAATAACCTACTGTTCAGGAGAAAACAATACAAGCAAAGCTTTGCCATATGGAAGAGGCTCTAAAAATGCCTGTAAAGAATCAATTTCTTTTTCATTAGTTAAGAAGAAGCTATTGAAGGATTAAGAACAGAATCATTTTGATTGCAATCTCACTAAAAATTGAATTGATGATAGTGGGTTGATACATCGAACTGTTATGATTTTTTATCCGTCTAAATAAACTCTACTAATCTAATATTCATCATTAAGGAGCATTTGCTTTATGCAGTTCACTGTATTGACAGCTTTGTAGATTTTTCTCTTGTGTAATAATGACCTAACTTGAGACAATGGAAATGGAAAGATGAGACTTGAGAGGCATGATAAGTTAGAGTAAATAGTACTTGGCAGTTTTTTGCCTGTTTTGGTGATGATGAGGAGGAGGTTAGTGAAAGAATCATAAGAAGTTACAGAATCATGATTTAGGGATGTAATTATTTCACAAATATAAGAAATAAGACTAAGATTTATCGAGGATTATACAGAAGTTAGATGTGTGAGGTTTTGTGCCTGAATGTTAGAAACATGGTTTGTTATTTTAGTAGTAGAAAGGTCAGGCAAGACAGAATTTTATGAATGTGTATATATTAATATAGTTTTTAAAAAATCAGTTATTTTCACAATGTATGTATGTAATACAGTACCTCTTCATTATAGATCTAATACTTGAACAGTGACCACTCTTCACTCATTTCTGTTTGTAAGAGTGTTAGTAAATGACCTGGATATCCCACATTGTGCCTGTCTTACAACTAATGAATAAAATAATCTGTTGCTTTATACATATTGACATAAAATTTTCCCAGTGGTATTTTTATTTTGGCTCCTAAATGAAAGCAATGGGAAACAAACATCGAAAGCAAAACTATGTCAAAACTAATATAGTAATTGGTACCTTTTTTCGTGATATATATATATACTTCTTCCTCCAGATGTCTGGATATAGTATGTTTATCTTACAGGGCCTAAGCACATAATGGCGTTTAATAAATATTATTTTCCTTCCTTTCCTCTTTGTTTCTGTTATACACCCTAGATAATAGAAACTTGAATTCATTTGTACCCCTCTAGAATCTCCTCTGGCTGGACAGTAATTGCCTGCATTGCATCAATTGTTTTTTTAAAAAGCAAATTATCAGGTTATTTTAGTAATAAGTTCTATGATTCAATTGTTACTATACAATTGTTACTATACTATTCAGTTGTTTCCTAAATATGGCAATGTATCAATCTATTGAGAAACTTTAAGGAAAAAAAACACAAATTTGAGACACCAGTGAATCAGAATCTTTAACATTGAGATCACAAAATTGTTATTATATTGTTTTGTATCAAACAGTTCCTAGGAGGTTTTGCTGTTTCTGTTTTTCCAACAAGCAACTGGGAGCTATTGTCTTAAAGTTCAGACTTTCGAGCACAGCATTCAAGGACATCTCACAATCATACTTAATTCTTTATCATCTTTCACTCCTACAGGCATCCCACTATCTGACTGCACCAAATTCTAAATGTATCGACTCTTTCTTCATTTTACTCCTTTATCATAGAATGTACTTTTACTGAATTACTCATTGCCTAATGAAATCCCATTCCTCCTGCTATGACAAAATCCAGACTTTGCTATTCCATTCTCTCCCTAGCCTGCTTGCTAGTTTCTACAGCTCTCCTCTCATAGCAACTTTACTTATTTGGCATTATCTTAATTTTTAATATATACACACATATAATATACAAATACATATATGTACACATATATGAAACATGCATGTATTAAATGTACATTTGTTCAAGTACTCACATACAATAAAATTCATCCATTTAAGCCTACAATTTGATGATTTTGGACAAATGTATATGCTTGTGTAACATGTTTGTGTAACCATTATCACAGTAATGTAGACCATTTCTCTCCATAGTTTCCTCATGTTATCACACCCCTTGTTATACCCCAAACCTATAGCAACCACTATTGTGCTCTGTCACTAGTTTTGCTATTTTTTTTTAGAATATCATAATCACACAGTGTATAGTTTTTTGTGTCTTTCTTCATATATCATAAAGCTTTTGTGATTCATTCATACAACTGTGTATATCAGTAGTTTATTTTTATTGCTAGGTGTTATTCCATTATACAGGCTTAACACAATTTATACATCATTTCATTACTTAGTTGATGGATGTTTGGATTGCTTTCAGTTTTTTTGGCAACTGTGAGCCTTCATGTAAAATTCTCTGTGTAGACATTATTTTCATCTCTCTTAGGTAAATAATAGGAGTGGAATTGCATAGTTGTGTGGTAAGTGTATGTTTAACTCTAAAAGATTCCGCTTCTTCATATGCTCACCAGCAACTTAAGATCCTTCCTAATTATTATATTTTGTATCTTTTTTCTTTGCTCATCTGAGGACTCCCTAAAAGGAAAGATTTGTTATCCCTATACCAATGCCTTGTTTGTTGTAGCTAGCTAATAAACTTTATTGGGATTAAAGTTATATGTATAAACAAGTTATTTTTTATACTAAAGATAATGATGAAACTATGAATTGGGTGATTAAGACCTTTTTTATAGAAGAATTTTCTTTTTTTTCTTGAAAAACAAATAATATCAGTGAGGATGACTATATTGAATCACCAATTAATTCAAATTAACTTTTTAACATTTACTTTTAGCACTGAATACAATATAGCAAATGTTTTAAAAAACACACCCATTCTGTTTTCACAAGACCACATGGGGATTTCAAAACAAGTGTGGTTTTTCTTTTACATGTCCAGCATTTATCTCAACGGGAACTATTTTAGGCCTATATTATTTGGGCTTTCTTTGAGACTAATATGTCAGAGTTCATATGGTGTTTATTTTATAGTTAAGTTTTATTTTTTTTATTTTTTTTTAAAGTATTTTGAAATTCCATCTTTATTTATTTATTTATACATACATACATACATACATACATACATACAAGCACTGGGTACAGTCAGAAGCGCGGGAGGGTGAGAGAATTCACCAGAGCCAGAGCGGGGACCAGAGCAGGCAGAAGGACCGAAGTACACTGCTGAGGGGAGCAGTGGGCGGCAGGAGGGGTCTGCGCGCCATGCGGGATCCTCCTCCTGTGGCCTGGGAGCAGCCGGGGATCGAACTGGCACTGCAGAGGCTGCGGGCAGCTTCACAACCCAGCGCTCAACCGCTGCGCCACCGGGGAGGCCCTATAGTTAAGTTTTAGTTGAAATGTAATAAATGTTTTCCCCTAATCTTTTGTAGTTTGCCCTTTTCATTGGGAAACCTTCATTTGAAATTCCTGGCTCTGGAAGGAAATCCTTTGAGAACTATCCGAAGAGAAATTATAAATGTAAGTTTAGAATTCAACTTTTTTTTTTTTTTAAAAATATAAACATGTTGATCTGTAAGACTACAAAGTATGTTTTGGTGAATGTGTATTTTTCTCTACCTTTTCAGAAGGGAACCCAAGAAGTTCTAAAATATTTACGAAGCAAGATTAAAGGTATTTTTTTTAGATTTTGAAGGGTAATATGAAAAGTGGTGGTGTATATTGAGTGTAAATATCTAGAAGAAATGATCCCTGACAGGTATATCTCCAGTTTTTAATTTATATAGACCTTAGGTATGCTGAAGTTATAAAAACATCCTTAAATTCACAATATAATAGTCTATCCATAATCTTTCTGAATCATATTATAGTGTATGAATTAGAGAAAATAACCAATGTATGTAAACACCTAGTGCTTTGACTTCTAAAAAAAAAAGCAACACTTCACTTTTATGGTATAATATATAGCTTCTTTTGACTGGGAAGTATATTAAAAATTATTTGAAAATCTGCAGCACATATCATTTTACTAAGTTCTGACAAAAACAAAACACATTTTTCAGGATATTTAACATGAACATACACCAAAAGAGAAAATGATACTTTAATTTTTAATGCTTCACTAAAAGTGTGATATAGCCCCCTTTTTTTTCATTTGTGTCTTTGAAGTATACACTAAAGCATTAAGAAAAAAATTAGTTGTAACAGTATATTGTACATAACAAACCACTCTAAAACTTAGTGGCTAAATATAGAGCTATTAATTTAGCTCACAACACTTTCGGTTATACACATAGCCCAGCCTTGTACCATATTGTCAGTGTATGTTAAAAAAATAAGACATTTGTAATATATGATAGAAGTACTCACAGATAAAGTGGAAGAACGTAGAGGTTGGGATAACCTTCTGCCCTAAAAGCAACTATAGAAAGAAATATTTGCTCAAGGGAGGACTCAGAAGTTCCCCAAATAGGGTCTTAGGACTTTCCTGTGGAGAACTCAAACTAAGGTTGGTGGCTGCTGGGGGGAAGGAGTGCAGGGAAGTAAAGAGGGGCACAGCTGAGAGAGTATGCCCAATCTGTAGAATGGGATGGGGATGATTCTCTAAGTCACGACTATGCACTCTGGGGCTCTATGAATTTCCCAGGAGGAACTTTTCAAAAAGGGAGTGCAGGCACGTGGGTTTGACCTAGGAAGTTGGGAACTCTGCAAGTGGTGTGAGCAAGGAAATTACTCCCCTGATACCTCCTCCCAGAAATAAGAAATCAAAAAGTTGCTAGCCATTGCCAGGCTGGGAACCATTGCTGGCCAGTAGAAGGACTAGTGAGAGAAATCACTAAAATTCCTTGGAAAGTATCAAGCAGGTACACAGAACTTAAAGCTGTAGTCCCTCAGAATTGGCACAACAGAAGTGGAGGTGGAGACAATTGTGAAAACCACTGCCTGTGTCTATAGCCAGACAACGAGGCACATCCTTCTCAAGCGCCTCTTGCCTGCCAGGTCCAACTAAGTCCTGGAGTGTGAGCCTAGTGGACCAGAGGTAGCCCTCAGCAGACTCAAGCTTCATAGCTATTGACCCAGTGCCCCAACCATAAAAAAAGCAAATAAGCCAACACACATGCCTTGGAAACAAGGTACATTTGAACAGAAGATGGAAAAAGAAAATAAGAACAGAAATTCTGGAACAAATATAAAGGATACAGAAATACAGGACCTATCAGACAAAGACTTAAAACAGCAATTAAAAAAATGCTAATCTTAAATGCCTACCAACTGAAGTAAGATCAAGGTTACTACTGACTTTTTTTTTTCACCTTTGTTCTGCTCTTGACATGAATATTGGACTGTTAATAGTCTTATTTGGCTTTTGTCTAGATTGCTCAAATCTCTTATTGAAAAATCACAAAGCTGATTCTTTTAAATATGTATGTTTGTTTTATTTTTTTATACCATAGGGTGGCAGTGTTAAACAGTCTGTAAGATAATGAGTGTGTGATTGTGTGTGAATGTGTGAGTATGCCTGTATGTTAGGATATATACATTGAAAATAAAGTATTGCATATGCTAAGAAAAAAAATCTTCACATAAATAATGTACCAAAGCTTACTTTATTATGTAGGTTGTCAAATTTTAGATGATTGGGAATGATCAGCATTGTGTCCTAAACTGAAAAGATAGGCCTATTTGGCCGACATCTTTGGGAAATAATGTTTTTCCTTTGTTAACAAATTCCTTCTAATGGACCATATTTTGCTTAATTGGAAGTTTTGCTTGTTACTGTTTCTTCTGAGACATTGTAGTTACTCTTTGACATTTCTTTCCTACTCTCAAATTTCCTTACTGCATGAAAAAGGTTTTGAATCTGTATGATAGTGTTTTTCTCTACTGCTTTGTACTAATTAAATATTAATTCTAGACTCAGATTTGAGTTATTGGAAATAAAGAATATGACTAAGATATTCTCACCAATCATATGTAGACATCATATGTATTATCTTTATGTATTTTCAAGAATTAAAAAATGACCTTGTAGTGTAAATATTGGTTTTATATAACTTTTCTTTTGCCAGATGATGGACCCAATCAAAGTGACTCTGTTATTGACACTGCCATGACACTACCAAGTGAATCCAGAGTCAATGTACATGCCATCATCACATTAAAATTATTAGACTATAGGTATGAGTTTTTTTTTTTATAATATTGCAAAACACTTAGGAAACTTTCAGAAATAATCATTCAGAAAAAAACAATTGGCGAGGAAGAATTCATCAGAATGTATTGGTATTTGATTTATTATAGCAGCAGTTGTAAAAATGATGCCATAAAAGCTTATTAAAAGTATAATGAACTTAAATGTCCATTTTTAAGGTGATTTGTGTTGTGTTTGAGAGACCATTATTAATAGTAAAATCCTTACAAAAAAGAACACTTTGTTGTTATAAAAAATAGAAGAGTGACAGTATTGGGTAGTAATAAAATTTTCTGCTCAGCTAGCATTCAGCAAGAGTAAGTATCAGTTAGTCAAGACAAAACTTGAGAGCTTGTTTCTTAATATATCTAAATATAGATTAATAACAATGTGCTCTAACACATAATATGAAACCTGAAATAATTAGAATATTGCTATATAAATGTCATATGAAAGCCTAATTTTTTATATATCATGGAATTGTCTAATTGGTGAAAGAAGATACCTATGTAAAGATTTGGAGTGGTTGTCAAGTATTCTTTTAGTACTATTTTTAAGGCAACAACGATAAAAATAACCAATACAGTCATAGCTCTTGCAGTGCTTGGCTCATGTTTAGTGCAGTGTAAATACAAAAGAATACAGACTATAGTCAGGTATTTTATTTTGTTTACCTTATCGCATGCTAAGGAGAGAGAAATTAGATTTTGAGAAAATTAGCTTAGTATAATGCTTAATTTTTGAAAATTATTGTTATCTTGCAATAAACTATATCTCCAAAAAAAAGTTGAAAGGTAGCCCCTTTAGAGATTTTTTTTTTAAGATTTATTTATTTATTTATACAAGCACTGGGTACAGTCAGAAGCGCAGGAGGGTGAGAAAATTAACCAGAGACAGAGCGGGGAACAGAACAGGCTGACAAAATACACTGCTGAGGGGAGCAGCAGGCGTGGCAGGAGAGGTCTGCGCGCCATATAGGACCCTCACCGAGGCTGGTTTGCGGCGCTGCAGAGGCTGCGGGCTGCTTCGCAGCCCAGTGCTCAACCACTGTACCACCAGGGGAGGCCCCCCCTTTAGAGATTTTTAAGAAAAGGGCTAAAAGCAGCTTTTAAAACTTTAATTTTAAATTTTTATTGAGGTAAAATTGGTTTACAAGACTGTATGTAATTCAGAGTTATAGGTTCACACCACTTCAGATGTATGTAACCACACCACACCCACCACCAAGGTACCCATAGTCCTCTACCATAGTCCATTGGTAAACCTTTAACTCCTTTATCTCCATGCTCCTTCTCCCTCTCTGGTAGCCTTAATTCTGTAGTCAAACTTCAAAGGTTTGTTACTGATTTGAATCGACTGATACTTTGTTTTGTTTCTCTATATTCCACATTCAAAAGGACTGTAGGTAGGAATGTAGACTGGTCTAGTTCCTATGGAAAATAGTATGGAGATTTCTCAAAATGTTGAAAATAGGCCTTCCATATGATGCAGCATTTCCATTCCTAGGTATCTACCTGAAGAATGCAAAAACAGTAATTCAAAGAGATATATGCACTTTATATTCATTGCAGCATTATTAACAATAGCCAAGTTATGGAAACAATCTAAGCTCCCAAGAACAACCTAAGTGCCCAAGCTGAGTAGATTAGGAAGATGTGGTATATATACACAATGGAATTATATGCTCAGGTGTAAAAAAAAAAAGGTAAATTTTTGCCATTTGTAACAACATGAATGGAACTGAGAGGATAAATGCTAAACAAAATAAGTCAGAAAGACAAAGACAATAACTTTTAAAATTATAGATTTAGTTCTACTCTGAAATAATTGAATCCACTTATTAAATGATTATCCATTTACTTTATGACTTTTAGATATCTTTAAAGATTATGTTTTTATTCACATAGCGCATGAATGTTTAGTATTCATATGTTCTAGCACAACATATCTGAATTTTTGACAGTTAACATTTGTGGGTTTGCAGGTTTTTGTGACTTTGTTTATGAACTTCATAATCAACTGTCTTGAACAATCTTGTACAATCTTTAAAGGTCATTAAAAACAAATAATCATATCTTTCTATACTGCTAAGAATAATGCATTTTTCAACTATTTTTTGTATAGTGATAAACAAACAACTTTAATTCCTGATGAAGTGTTTGATGCAGTAAAAAGCAATATTATCACTTCTATTAATTTCAGTAAGAATCAGCTCTGTGAAATTCCAAAAAGGTAAGAACTCTTCATGATGCCATTTCTATTAAGTTGTGACTCATTCTCAGTTGTAGTTGTATCTCAGTTCCAAATATGATTATTTTCATAGTTTTTAATTTGAAAGATAATGTAATTTTTGTGTTAATATTAGAGGTACTTACCAAAATTTACTTATTTCTTGAGATATTCTGAATATTTGTTCTGATACATAGACCTTTTAGAAATGCTATTTCTATTTCTTTTACATCTTAAACTTAGAAAATAGGTATCAGAATTATTATAAGTATCAAATCATACTTTTTTCCCATATGATGAAATAGAGGGAAAGTTTTATGAGATAATCCAAAGACCTGTCCATGTAGATTAATAGGAATTTTCATTTTGTGGGTTATGTTAAATAATTGCCAATAATTGAATTTTCCATTGATAATAAAAGCAAAATTGACTGGATCCTGTTAATTTTTTCTTACCAGAAGGAAAGAAGTCTTCACTTGCAATCATTAAAAGTTATGTGCATTATTGTTCCTATGGTTTAGTATATCTTTGTTGATATTAATTATAGCAAAATCTTCAGGTATGACAAAGTTAAAGACTGAAATTTTAAAAATTATTATTTTGAAGTAAACTACCCAAAGGATATTCTTTCTTTCTTTTACATTTTCATTGCTAATGTGATAGACAAAACAGATTTATAGTTATAGTTTAACTTCATATATAACATTTCTTATTTCAGTTAAGGTAATAGCAAACTATAAAATTACTAAACTTGATTAGGCTTACTTGGGATCATTGTATTCTTCCTCTTTATGTCTGTAGCTTAAATTTCTTTGTAATGATACTTGCCAAACTTAGGAATTAACTTAAAAATTTTTTTGTAATTACTATTAAATGTATGATAATTTAGTGAACAAATACTATGCTATATTTTGAAAATGTTTTTAAAAAGTTGAAGTGCCCAATATGGTGGTATTATATTATGCAATATAAAGAGTAAACTACTATATTACAAGATATGTCTAACAATTTATGGATTCAGTGCCTAGATTTGATACTTTTTCTTTGTCCATAATTGATTTCAGCGTAAAGTAAATAAGCTTTTAAATCAAATTTCATTGTATACTCAAGGTCAAATAGAAATTCTTCTACTGATAATATCAAAACTGCCTTAAAAAGTATTTTATCAGTTACACCAAACTCAATGAATTTTTTGTGAGAAAAGTAAAAGTTACAGGAAATCTTAGCAGAAATAAGACAGCATGTACCCCCCATTGTCTACTAGTTTTGAAGATAGGAAGTTAATGCAGTTGCTAACATTTTAAAATTATTCTTGTTTCAGGATTGTAGAACTGAAGGAAATGGTTTCTGATGTCAATCTTAGTTTTAATAAACTTTCATCCCTATCAGTGGATTTGTGTATGCTTCAAAAATTGACATTTTTAGATCTCAGGTATTTATTGATACTGTTGCTTGGCTTTTCTTCATTATAACTTATTGTTTGCCTACTTTTTGCCTGTTCCTTTGTATTTTCCTAAGTAAATATGGGAATTTTTTATTTGATTTAATATATTTTTTACATCATTTTTCATTTTTGCATAATGTATGCATTTTTGTACTGTTTACAGTTGGAAATTGGTTTTAATTTAATAATACTTAGGAGAAATTTCAAATTAAGCATTTAGGAAGTATTTTAATTAGATGTCTATCATTTTTAAGCAATTTATATATTCAGTGATAGGACAAAATTATTTAAAATATTAGCATTCTTTATATTCATGCTGAATCAAAGTTACAAATAGCACATGGAAAGAATTGCTTCATATTGCTTCTTTTCTGAAAGCAAAGAGCATAAAACTGTCATGGCCCTGTGTTGGTACATCAGCTTATATGGCTTCTCTAAAAAGAGCATATTTGGCTTCAAAATATTACATTAATTGAAGTGACAGAATCAGAGTATCATAGTTCTTTAAAGGTAATAATATGTATTTAATATATAATTATACAATCAGTATATTTACTATGTATTATAGGTTACATAATGTGTAATGTAAATAATATGTGTTTAAAGGTAATTTATAGATGTCATTTATTTGCTTGGACTTCAAATTTCTATTTGCAAACTATATCTCTATTGCCTTGAGCCTCTCACTGCTCATTTATTGTTAGTAAGTGTGTTTTTAGCTTAAAGTATAGTGTTTCTTGCTCTGTTGAAACAAAATTATCAAAAAAGGAGTCAAATAACAGTAAACTCTTTGAAGGTCTTCTTCCTGTAGAGATAAAAATTATTCATTTATAGAATCAAACAAATTTAATACTGCCACCCTACTAGCTGTGGAATTGCTTCCATTTGGGGTGGCAATCACACTAGCAAAACAATGTAAAATTACATTTTAGTTCAGTGTTAATGGAGCAGAGTATGAATCCATGTCTTCATTGCTAGTGTCTTTACTTCTTTTGCCCCCACTCCTTTATATATAAATAATCCTTTGTCTATAATTAAACCTGGAAGTTCCTAACCGACTGGCTAATATTTGCTTTCATGTTTGATAACAGTAGGTAGAAGGCTCTATGAACAGAATAGAAACTAGCCCTGGGTTATTCAACACAACTTAATAAAGACAGTAGCTGGAGAAAAGTCCAGAGGAAAAAAATATATAGATTATGCTGTGGAAAGTATGATTCTTAACTTGACTTCTTAATCTAAAGAAATAAGGTAGAGAAAATTATTCTCTGGATATAATAGGTAGCCATGTATTTGGAGAAAATTTTCTCACACATTTTACAATATTAGTATTATATAACCTCTACAATCCTTCTACCTTCTTGTTAACATTTTTTCTAACATTGCTCCCAGATTCTTCTACTCGTAAATGAGATTCTGTTTATTACCATGTTTCATAATAAGATCTAAAGAGATAAGTGCTGTGCAAATTGAAATTCTAAACTTAGAGTATAAATGGATTTGCTTCAATACCGATGTAGTAGAAAGCTCCAAGTTTCTAAATATATAGAATGTTTTTACCTTCCTGTTTAATTTTTTCGTATATTTTTCATTTTTAAAATATTTATTTATGCGTACAAGAACTGGGGTACAGGCCAGAGGTGTGGGGGAGAGGGGTGTGAGGATTCACCAGAGGAAGAGTGGGAAACAGAACAGGCAGATTGACTGAAATATACTGCTGACAGGAGCAGCAGGTGAGACAGGAGATTTCTGTTGCGCCATGTGTGTTAGCCCCCTGGCCAGGGATTGAACTCATGCTGCAGTGGCTGGCGCTAGCGTTACGGTGCTGCAACTTAACCCCTTGCATCACTAGGGAGGCCCTATTTTTCATTTTTTGAAGTAAAATTTCATGTCTATATGTGTGACATATGTATTAACCCCAATCCAATATCTGTGGTATCAAGTATTATGGTATTTAGATGTGTGCTCTTAAGGGTCCTAACTATTGCGGAGCTCAATCTGGGGAAATAAGGGATTAATTTACAGTGTTTACCTTGGCAAGTCTTTTATTCAAGAGTTGCTCTGTTATTTGCATATTGGTTTTATTAGGTTTGACACACTAGTCAAATACTTGAGGCAGCTACTGATTCAGAATTCACTGTACTTAGACTTATTGAGCTCAGATCAATGATTGACAAACGAGGCTACATAATTTTTTGTCTAACACTTTTAAATTAAATTGATACACATTTTCACACTTTATATGTCACCTTTTTCCAATTTAGGAATAATTTTTTAAATTCTTTGCCTGAAGAAATGGGATCATTGATAAGACTACAGACAATCAATCTTTCCTTTAATAGGTAAGAAACAGAACTGACAAATCTAACAATTTTTTAAAACATTACTTTTAAATAAGTTAATTCAGTAATACGGCTAGATGATAAGAAAGGCAGGAGCTCTCCACTCCATCACTAGCACCCACAAATGTGTCCAAGCAGACAGGAAGTGGAGGCGGGGTGGTCAGAAGGCTAGTTAACAGATAACTTTTTCTTTTTTCTTTTTCATGACAGCTCACTGCCTGGAAATGTTTACCCAAAGGAAGGGAGTTGTTTTTCCATCCTGGCTCTGTAAACAATTTGTAGGTCTTTCTTACTAGAGAATAAATGCAAATAAAATGGCCCAGCATGTTTACTTGTTTTATCCATCTTTGTTTTTATTTAGTTCTACTTAGAATTGAAAGTGATGTTGCATTCATATAATTTTCACATCTGATGTGTGGTAGACTGTTTTTTTAAACAATTTTAAGAAAGGTGTAGTTTAATAGGAAAACAGATGTGCAGATAAATAATTGAAATTGCTATAGTAGAAGCATGGTGCATAGAAAAAGTTGTTTCTTGCAATTATCTGAAGGTAAAGAAGATAGTATTGAAGTAGAGACTTGAAAATAGACATTTTCCAGACATTTAGAGCTAGGGTATCCCAGGTTGAGCAAATAGTATGTACTAGGGCACATGAGTTTGGATAACCTCAATAAACTCATTTCAACTTAGATCTTAAGATTATAAGATAGAAGAATAGAAGTAACAAATGATACTGGGCATGAGTGAAGTATCCCTTTAAGAGCTTTTTTTTTTTTAGATTTATTTATTTTATACAAGAACAGGGGTACAGGCCAGATGCATGGGAGGGTGAGAGGATTCACCAGAGACAGAGTGGGGAACAGAACAGGCAGACTGATGAAATACACTGCTGAGGGGAGCAGCGGGCGAGACAGGAGAGGTCTTCCACGCCATGTGGGACCCTCAACTGCCTGCTTCACCAGGGGAGGCCCTTAAGAGCTTTGTATAATGAATGAAACATGGATTTTGTTCAGCAAGGACTATAAAGATATTGTTACTAATGATGAATACCTAATATTGGCAGCTTATTATCTGCTGACACTGGGCCAAATATTACATATACTGTAAACACATATTATCTTGTTTAATCCTTAAAAAGACCTACACATTAGATTCTGTTATAATATTCATTTAGAAATTGAGGATTAGAAGTAACTCACCAAAGGTGAGTTTTGAGCTGGTATTTGAGTTCAGGTGGTTTGACTGGGGCTCTTAACAACTGTCACATCATTTCCTATGATGTAAGTTGATTCCGACAAGAAAATAATATATATATTCCTGATACTATCCTGAAATCTGCATATATATACATTCAATCCTTATAACAACTCTATAAGTTTAATACTGTTATTACTCCTCACTTAACAGGTGAGGATGCTAGGGCACAGTGATGTTAAAATACTGCCTATTTAAATTTTTGTTGCCTGCTCCATTATTTGTGCATTCTCGTGCGTTGTATCATTATAACATTGTGGTCATTATTTAGAAAGATATGCACTACTCAGATCTCTTCTAGTTTTTGTTACTTGAACTGCCAGTTCTCTATTGAGTTGTTTATTGAACTATCAATTGCATTCTAATTTATTTGGGGAGGTGGTAAAAATTAACCCTAATTTCTGTGTTAGCAGGTGAGCTACGTCTTTTTAATTACTTTCTTCTTAGATTGGGGCAGAGAAACCACTTAGGGACTGTTTGTCCACCTGCACTCCTCGTTACTGGTTTTCCAGTCCCTCTGGAAGTACAGAACTGCTTTGAGTTTTACCTTTCACTGTTGCTTTTTTTACATCAAGGCAACAAAGAAAGGGCAAGACCGGGATGTGAAAAGGCCACTGCTGTTCCACCTTTCATCCACCCAGTACTGTCTCTCCTATCCAGCCAGCAGTTTGCCTCACATGAAACCATGCCAGCCCTGCCTCTCAAGAGATCCCCAGCCATTTTGTGTTAATAGCTGAGTGTTGTTCAGCCTTTCCCTCATTTGGCATCTTTAGGGTTGCTTTAGAGGAGAATGCTGGCAACCTATGCTAGTTTGTCATCTTTTCAAGAACCAAAAATACACTCATTTTGGAAGCTTCAGCCAAGCAAAATATTAGTCTTTAATTTTTATTTACTGTGTTGACAGTGATTCTGTTTCATGAGAAATAAAAGTGAACTAAGGAAGAAAACCTGTATGGAGACAATAATATATAGAGAATTTGAGGAGGATTTCCTTGTTTCCTGTATGTGAAAAGAAACACATGGGACAGTTTACTCCACACTTTTAATTTTCTACAATAAATAGAAACTGTTAGAAGTCTTGTACTTCCATGTATTTCAAAATTTCCAAAATTAGTCCATTTTCTGGAAAATTTGAAAACAGGACTTACTCCAAATATACAGTAACTTAAGGTAAAGAAAATTGTATCTCATGATAATCAAACATAAGGTCATCCATTGGAAGGAATGCTTTTGCCTGATTCCAATATACCTAAGTATTCTGTTCATGTTTTAATAGGTTCAAAATACTACCTGAAGTTCTCTATCGTATCCACACACTTGAAACAATTTTGATTAGTAACAATCAGGTTGGATCTGTGGATCCCCAGAAAATGAAAACAATGGAAAATTTGATTACATTGGATCTTCAAAATAATGACCTCCTACAAATTCCACCAGAGCTTGGGAACTGTGTGAACTTAAGGTAACTACACAATTCTATTTTGCATATATTTGATTTGTTGAAGTTGTTTTCTTGTTTTTTTTTTTTTTTTTTTTTAAGATTTATTTATTTATTTATACAAGCACTGGGTATAGTCAAAAAGGCGGGAGGGCGAGAGAACCCACCAGACCCAGAGTGGGGAACAGAACAGGCAGACTGACGAAATACACTGCTGAGGGGAGCAGCGGACGCTGCAGGAGAGGTCTGTCGTGCCATGTGGGACCCTCGCCTGCAACCGGGGATAGAACTGGAGCTGCTGAGGCTGCGAACCAGCGCTGCTGAGGCTGCGGGCAGCTTCGCAGCCCTGTGCTCAACTGCTGCGCCATCAGGGGAGGCCCTGTTTAGGTACTCTTGCAATAAAGCTAAAGTAACAAATTTAATGTCTTATTGAAAATAAGTTAACAAGACCCAGAAACTTTTAAATTTTACCAACTATGTTGTTAGCTTTGTTTATGTGGTGTATGTGTAAATACAGTAGCTGATTTTTTTCTAGTGGTACTTTTCTCATTGCTATGTATCTGTAACCTGAAATTCTACTACATAAAAGTGCCAGGCGAATATGAAGTCCATAACTGTGCATACTGGGGTTTACAAAAGCTGACCACAAACTACCACATTTCAAGCTCAGCACGTTCTTTCACAGTGCTTGCCTGAGCCTCATATTCCTCTACCCTGCTCTTACCAGTAGTCAGCCTAAGTATCACCTTTGACAACCTTCCCCATTCTCCACGTAGAGTTAGTCCCTCCTCTAATCTCCCTTCTTGCTGTTTGGATTCACTTATACCATTTATTTGTCCTCCTTTAGAAAAGAGTTGTATCAGGGTCAAAGGTAATAAGCATCCAGTAAGTGCTTGATTTGTGAACATAAAGGGAGCTTGAGATGTCAGCTGAAAACTTACTAGCTGAATGTAACAGAATAAGTTATTCACTGGAACAGCATATAATGGTTTGACATATTTTACTTAACTAGGACAGCATTGGCACCAACTCTGGTGCCTCATATTAGTGAATTTTCGGAAGTCTGTTGATCTCGTTCTTTGCAGTAGTTGTAGTCTGTGAAGTCTTTGTGAACACCAAACTGGTGAATAATGAGCCATTACTTTGAGGACCAGTACAGAGTTAGGTTCCTCTGAACATTTGGTCACAACATTTTCATCAGTTAGTCAATACATGACCGTGTTTTAAGCATTTTCCTGTATTAAGATTCCTTATTTAATACTGTTGATTCATTAACATAGAACTCATGGTGAAAGAGTGCTGTATAATTCACGCCTTAAGGAAGCTCATCTAACATGTGTTTTTTCTGTAAGGAGCATGACAGCCCTCTTATGTTTAGGAAAATTAGACAATACTTTAGCACTACACCTTCTGGCCATTTTAAACAGTGAAATCGCCAACTAAAAGTACAAAATTCCAAAAGTTCAATTAAATAGAACATGAAAAGTATACTTGTTTATAGTACAAGGGCTGAAACAAGAAGGCAGAGTGTCACCTTGTTTAACCCCCAGTGGAATGTGCCTGTTGAGCAACTCAAATTTTTTGTTCTGTGCGAATTACCACAGATGACATTGAAAGTGTCATTGTATATTGATTTTGGGGTTACAAATAAATTTTGGTGAGTAGGCAAATTAGCAAAGAATCTATAAATGAGTATTGACAGTACTTTTTTCTATAAATTGAGAAAATCCACTTTCAAAAGTATTCCCAAGGCATACAAATATTTGAAGATATAATTTAGATCTATTGTTTAATATGGTATGAGTCCTTGACTTTTATTACATACTTATTAAAAATTAATGTCTTTTATAATTGAAGAGATTTCATAAATTACATCAACAAATCATTAAATCCTTAAATCTTACATTGAATCTCATTTCAGAACATGTAAATAGATTTTATGTGTGTATCTGACAAAGGAAAGGGCAGGTGTGCATTACTGTTTCCCAGGAAGGAGGGTGATACATTGATTGCATTACAGTCCCCAGTGCAAGTGTTCATCAGTGTGTTCATTCTAATACTGTGTAAATCTAGTTCAACCATTTAGTGTTTGGTGTAATAAAGCTAGACTGGTGGTTCAAACAGCTTTTCTATTTAATAGCTATGTGTGTGATCTTGGACAAATCCTTCTACCTTCCTGAACTTGTGATTCCTCATCTATGAAACAGAAAAAGGATTAAGATAATTAAGAGAGTCAGTGGATATAAATTACTTAGCACAGTACCTTTCACATAATAGATATTCAATTAATACTGTGTCGGTTATTGTAGTTATAATTCAAACTTTTAAAAATGCTTAAATTTGAAGGAAAAATACACAAACTTATAAAATTGCAAATGAAATTAGGAGAAAAGCCTACTTAATGAACATTGTTAAAATTCATAATTTTTCTTCTTTATTTAGAACATTGCTTCTAGATGGAAATCCATTCCGTGTTCCTAGAGCTGCCATATTAATGAAAGGAACAGCTGCTATTCTGGAATATTTGAGAGACCGAATTCCTACTTGAATGAGAATTGTTTTACATTTTTCTAAGGTGTTATACATTTATTATGGTAACCACATGTAGTCTTCATACATTTGTTCTGAATGTTTAATACAATACTTATGGTATTCACTTTTATTCCCTTATAACATGAAAGTCTTCAAAGTGAATGTTTAATGTACTTTAATATTTTTATAATCACTACCTTTTTTATAGAGTGGGTTTTTTTTCCTGTCCCATTTCTGTTTGTTAAAATATGTGAACAATTGACTTGAATATGCCCATCCCATTTCCACCTTTTCTTTAGATATAAAATTGAATTTATTATCCAGTACTGTATTTGCCTTTGAAAAACTGCTTTACCCATAATAGGGCTTTTTTGTAGTTGCAAATAAGTTTAAGTTAGCTTTTTTTTTTTTAAAGATTTATACGGGAACTGGGGTACAGGCCCTGTGGACACTGAGTGGGGGACTGAGGACACTGGGGGTCCTGGGTGGGAGTTGGGCCCTTGCGGGGTGCTGCTGGGGAGGGGACTGAGGATGCGCTGCCCTGGGGGCTCTCCTCTGGGGAGGGGACAGAAAATGCTGGGGGACGTGGGTGGGGGTTGGGCCTGCCCCAGGGCTGAGCTGGGGGGCCCCTTTGCTGTCTTGGCTCCTGGGCCCTGCTCCCTGGGCCGGTGAGCTGGCCGGGAATCGAACTCGTGCTGGGTCTGCAGGCAACCACAGGCGCACAGGCGCTGCTCGGCACTCAGCCCACTGCGCCACGGCTGGGGCCCCCTTTGTTGCCGTGTTTTTTAACCTAGTTGAAGTGTTTCTAACCTAGTTGAGATGGTTGTTTTCTGCCCTTGCCCGGCAGGGAATCGGGAATCGAGCCTGCGCCAAGGCTTCAGATAGCTTCACAGCGCAGCGCTCAACCCACTGTGCCCCTGGGGAGGCCCCTTCACAGTCTTTTTAACCTAGTTGAAATGTGTGCCCTTCCCCCATTTTTAAATTGTTTTTGTAGGGTTGGTTTCTAATGTTCTAGAAAGTCTGCCCAAAATAGTTATTGGTGGAGAAAGTAGTGTTTACTCTCACAATTTTGAATTTAAAACATGACAGATTTTCTTTGATGTCTTAGTATTATTTCCACAAAACAATCTAGTACTTCAAGCTTAAAGAAATTTAGAGATTGGAACTATATATTCTTCCCTCAAAGTGTGAACATGTTAATACCTTTGCTGTTTAAAAAAATGTACTGAGCACCTTATTTTGTTAAATCTGTAGCAACAGAAAAATAACTCATGCATAGAAATCTTGAAATGTTCCTTAAGTACTTATTAAGCAGATATTTGTATATATAACCTATTCTTTTCGTGTTTTAATTCAACCTTGTGCTTTTTAATTTGTAGGGCCTTAATTTTAAAATTTGCCTGTAATTTTGATAAAACTAAACTGGTGGTTACATGGTAATTTTCTAAAAGGGAATTTGTTACAGGTTGATTTAATTTAATAAAAATTAAAGAAATATTTTATTTACACCAAAAATACCAGAATAGGCTGATTAGTCATTATAAAAAACCTACCATGAGATTCTATTAAGGGGTCAATCAGTAAAATGCGTATTAACTAAAATAGCTATATATAGATGGATAGCTAGCTAGTTTTGGATGATTGAGGTGTATCGTATTATGAAAGAAATCATTGCCAATAAAGAATACTACATGTTAATAAGTTACATTTTTCAAATATTGATTATAATCTGTTTTTGGTTTAAAGAAACATGCCCTTTTCATATGACAGTTCTATGGATGACTAAGAAGTCAGTCTTGATATTAAACAGGAGGCATTTTACAATAAGGTGACATTTTATTATTTATACAATAAAGAGACTTTTATGTTATTCAAAACACTTTTTTAAATACTGAAAAAGTTGAGTACACCAAAGCCGAAAAATGGCTCTGCTATACACTGCACAGCATTATTTTAGTCCCTGTATTTTGTATCTGTACAGAAAGCATCTTCAAAATGCATTCTAATCACATTGTACACCTTTACCGATTTTTGTCAAAACATAAAATAGAACTGGAGAATACAGCTTGCATTTGCAAATTAACTGACAAAGTAACTTCACTGATTCAGTAAATTTAAAATATAGATTCATAGGACTTCTTTGCACATAAAATGAAGCAGCTTTTAAGGTCATTATGGTCTCATACTGCAAAAAAAAACCATTAAATACATTCACAATCTATGTTAATGAAGTAGTAAATATGTCTTCATCCAGTTTTTATTTACATCAGTATGTAGTTCAACTAAAAATTACTGTTGTGATTGTTTTTTTAACACATACAAAAATGACAGTTTTTTATATATAATTTAAGCTCAAAATCACAATTATCTCAAAATATTAATTACAATACAGCCATTTCAATTAAACATGTCATGATTTAATTTTTTTATAAAATGGTAAAATTTTTATTAAAGTAAGCAATTTGTTTTGAATTGACTAATGTTTACCCACATAGAAAACCTTAAATGTTAAGAGGTGTTTCCTGCCCCCTCCCACCCGAATTTTATACAGCCACCTAAGCTAGCAAAGAGACAGAAAAGGCCCCAATTTATAAAGATTAAGCCTCTTTTGCTATACTGCTGTGGCTTGTTTCTTCCATAAAAGCTTTACAAGGGGAGTGTCAATAAACTATGCAGTGAAATGCATGCATTACTATACAGTATGTCTATGTAAAGTGTAGCATTTACTAATGCACATTAAAATGTTCACAAAGACTGCAAAAGAAGTCATAAATAAAGAAGCACTTACAAGGATCTACCAATTGCAAATTGTAAACTTGAAAACTACTTGATAATATAATTTCTTTGAAAACATACCAATTAAATCCTTTCTCTGGCTAAAGGAGCTCTAGTTACTTGGCCTTAAGATGTCACTGTTGGGCTGCACATATGATAGTGAAGTCTGATATCAAAAAAGACTACCAATCTAGAGACCGTCTTCATTTTGCTAAAATAGTGGCCCAATGTTACTCACTACTTAGGAATTTTTATTAAATTTGCAGAAGAGTGAAATATTTCATTAACTGAATTATATGACCTCATGAAATGTGGAAGGTATGTGTGCATGTGTTTAGCACATGGATAATTATAAAAATAAATTGGAATTAGGTCTTCATACAATGAAAGCATCATGACCCCAAATAGATTAGAAATAAATATGAGATAGCTTAGGAAAGAATTTTCATGAATACTTCTTAAAAATCTCAAAGCAGAGTTTCTGGTATCCTTTTACTTATAATTCCTAAACCAATTAAAACAATCACTTAAATGATGGGGATAAAAAACATCTTTTCATTTAGAATTTCTGATGTTAATTTACCATTTCTTCTCTCAATAGAAAAAGACCATAGTTGATATTATGGTTTAAACCCGGTAGCGGGTATGGGGGTGGGGGAGAGCGGCCCTTGCATGGTTATGAAGTGGGAAACTTACAGTACTTGCAAACCTTACTTTTTGCAAGGTTATTTGTGATCATCTTTGAAATTTACAAAAAGATTTCAGTATCTACTTCTGCTTTTCAACTGGGGAAAAATTCCTCCTTCATATGAGAACATGTCGTCATCTTTAAGCTTCCTTTAGTCTTTTCCATACACTGAGTACAAAGAGCAACTTGATTGGCTCTTGAGACAAAAATATCCAGTTTATCTATCAACTATCTTTCTCTTCTCTTCCTTCCAAACAGAAAATAGTAAGGCTTGTATTTTCAAGGGGAAAATGTAGTTGAAGATGTTAAAGGGAAATGCCTAAATGTCATCCAACAATATTAAAACATTTATTGCATTCATTGAAACTAGGTGTCATCAAAGCTAACGGGAATTTCTTAGAGCGGAACCTAACTTAACACCACATTCCTTACTCCTCTTTACCACACGCAAGACCACTAAGAGTCCTCTGAGTGGCAAGACTACAAGTATTGAAAGTAAAATTAACTTCAGCAATACATTTTGGAAAATTACATTCTAGAACATATTGGAACCACTTTATATTCTCTCTGCATGAGAATTTCATCTTGGTTTTCCTACAGACTTTCCAAAAAATGAACTATGATTTTCTGACTAAATAAGAAATGTTTATTAGCAGAGAGTTGAGAAGGAGGGAGAGATACAAAGAAATATAACGTGATTTCTTTCGTCCATTCATCAAATGCTTTCATTAGTTATTATGAAGGTCAGCTGACCTGCATACTGGACATTATTTAACCTCATAACTTCTGTGCAAAACAATTGCACTAAGAAAAACACCATGTATGTGTGTCTTTGCAGACACAAAACCTGAGTCACAATAAAAAGTTTTTAATATAAGAAAACTTTTCTTAATGTAGGAAAATAACCTTTAAAGGGCCAAAAATACCTTTGTACAATGTAATCAGCTAACTTTAAAACGTCAGTGTGCTTAAATATCACATATTTTATCACCCGACAAAAAAAGAAATCATTTACATTTGATCATAATCTATAGCTGAAATACCCACATTTTTTATTTGTAACATCTATTTTCATACCCCTGAATTCATGGACTTTCCTAAAAAAAAAAAAATAAAAAGCACGACCAAACATGAAGACTGTTTAAGATGAATAGTTCCTGCTTTTTTTCCCTCTAAATATTGAGGACACAGGAGATTTGCAGTTGCTAGAAATATAACTTAACGTTAAGCCACAATGGAATGCTAAAATTCAAGACAAAATATATGACCTATTATTGAAATATTATGTGGAAAAATATTTTGTAGAGAGCTGGGTCAGTCTGCATGAAGCTATTCTCTCCTTTGCAGACTCCCTTTTTGCAGATTTAATTCTTTAAAACAAAACAAAACCTTTTGTTCTCTATGCTCTATTTCCACTAGGTGTTTTACCTTCATATTTGAACCCTGAATTGTTCCAACCAAAGCGCCTTTGCTCACTGGTTACAAAGTCCTCTTATCTACATCTTTATTATCTTTCCCTCACCTTCCTGAAGCTCAGTTCTCTGGGCTGATTCTTAGACCTCTCTTGTGCCAGTTAGCTACTCATTAGGATTAAATCTGTTTAATTGTTCCCACTGTTTCATCGTTAAACACTAAATTAAGGCTCCTGCCAGGACCTACCTACTTATTCCCTGGGCTGTATATATCTCAGATGCATGCTGAGGAAATTTTATAGACACGAGTGCAAGCTGCACCTTCATGTTGCCCCCAACTGTCTCTTTTTTGCACATTATGCATTTATGTCAGTTAAATCACTGACCTAGAAGAGAAAGCCACCTGAACAGAAAGGCTTAATCCTTGTAGCTGCAGTGAGTTACAAATGTCCTTTGACCACTTGTGTGAATAGGTAAAAGGATTCTGGGCATTGTCCTTGACTGCTGCATTTCCCCTCTGAGGTCACTGTGCCTGGTTTGTGTGTAGAGTGGGGATGCAAACCCTAGAATGCTACAGGATTAGAGACATCAGCCAAAGTAACTATAACCTTTTCCTGCCTTTTTAT